ATGTTTATCTAAAGAAGAGAGAGCAAGCTGAATATCTGCCTCGTGAGAAATTGACTGAGAAGCGTGGCTTGGAGGCATTGTAGGCAAAGGTGTGGTGGGTGCGCAAAGTTGGTAGGGTGACCGACTCGCTTGCCTGACCGACTCGCTTATCCGTCACGTTACGCATTTGGCAACATTCATAGCAAATTTTGTAAAAAAAATCGGACTGGCAAGCCAATAGAAGCCGCATGGACGCAGATCAGCGACTAGAAACCGAAAATCAACCTCTAGCGTGCAACAAACGAGGAGTGACTCCACTGGCCCCGCTCGTCAAATTTTCAGCTGTCTTTACGACCTTGTCAGCAGACATCTATGCATCACAGTCCAACGTAACACGAAAAAGGCGAGATACATGACTACGAGGATGTCGAGTGCTCTATGACCGACTCCTAGCACAAGTACATGAGACCTTTTGGACTAAGAGAGTTCACCGGATCCATCACTACGCTGCCGATGCAGACGCTCAATTCTGATATTATGCAAAAATCACTCCTCATCCTGTCTCCCAGCTCTAGCGTTTTATTGAATTTCGGGCCGCTTCTCGTGGTTGAATTATAAGGCCACGCGCATAGAGAGAAGCAATGAATATAGCATATTTGATTGGTGTTATGTTGTACCAGATCCAGGGATAAGCGTTAGAGTTAGAGTTAGAGTTGACCGTAATCCTACGAGGCCAGGGGGTCAAACTTTGTTAGTGAGGCCTAGATAGCCTCTTCATTCCTCGATCTGTGAATATGGTTGGAAGCATGGTTGCGAGTCTAGATGGATTCTAGAAGAAGTTGATAGCCGCGAGGGTAAGTAGCGTGGCCCAAAATAAATAGATCACATCCTCATTTTGTGGTGTGCCGGATAAAGATTGAGAGCATGCGTGTAATGATATCTCATTGTCGTTTGCCATGAGAAAACTCGAAACCGGAACTATATACAAATCCTGCTACCTGGTATTCTTCCATGTAATCATCATGATGTACATACCACACCGCAAGAAATGAAATTTATATACAAAGAAGGGATGTTAAGCCCAAAATGGGGCTTATCTACTGGCCTTTCCAAGCACCAACAACACAAGACGACACAATAGAAGTATCCTTCCACTGACCGCCGCTCTGAGTAGGTGTCTCAGTAAGCTCGTACGAGCCATCAAAGCCACCAGCCGCCCAGGCGGTGTATCCGAGGTAAACGTCGGAGTTGGAGCTTTGTAAAAGTTAGCAAGAAATCATCTTGGGCCATCATAGGGTAAACTTACTTCAAGAACTTGAGTTCCGAGCAAAGGAACTTCTGGCAAGAAGCTGTGTTACCACCGCCAGTCTCCGACAAGAAAGCCTGACGCTTGTTTTGCCTGAGCCAATCGGCGAGAGGCTTGAAGGCGGTGTCGACGCTGTCCTTGACGCATTCGGTGTGGGTGCCCGAGTTGTCGCTGTCAAGGTACTTGTGGACGTCCATGATGAGGTTGGTGGTTGAGCCGTCGGGGTTCTTGACTTTGTTGAGTGCGGCAGCGGAGCCGGAAGAGACGAATGTCTCTGCGCTGGTGTAGCCCTGGCCGGGGAGTAGGATCATGTTGTTCTTGGCGCCTGCTTGACGGATTGCGGTCACAGCGGCTTGGACAGTGGTGGCCCAGCGCCCAATGTCGGGAATGTCCTAGAAACTATCGTCAGCTTGAGGGATATTTTGAGAGACGTGCTGCGACTCACATGGGGCTCGTTCATGACACCAAAAGCAATCTGAGAGTGACTGCCGTACTTCTTGGCAAGTTGCGTCCACACATCTGCCAACTTCGCGTCGTCTGGGCCGCCCTGACCGATAATCTGGCCGTTCCATCTTGCGTAGTTGTGGAGGTCAAGGATACACAATTGGGCACCGGAGTTCAAACAACCCTGGACAAGAGTATCGTATTGGCCAGCGTTGTTTGAGTCCAGCTTACCACCAAGCTGGTTGTTCAGCAAGAACTGCCATCCAACAGGCAAGCGGAAGGCGTTGAGGGTGTCGTCCTTAACAAAGTGGTTCATCTGAGCAATGCCTGTACCACCGCTAATGAAGTTGTATGGCTTGTTGGTTCCTGTTAAAGCACAGCTGCCGTCGGTAGTGCAGCCAAAATCGAATCCGGCCATGTTTACACCTGCGTACTTGACTTTCGAAGCTCGCGGTGTAACATTAGTAGGGGCAGCAGCCACGAGGGCTGTCCCGGCGAGAGCGGTGATCAATGTAGCCTTCATGGTTATGTGGTCGAAAATATCCGGTCGACTGTAAAGAGTGTGAAACGAGCGGAAGCGTGAGGATGCCTTGATGGTCGAGGAGAGTTGCAAGCTTTTATACGCATATATAGCGATGAGGTTGTTTCTGTCATGTGTCGCTGCTAATCCCGCGGGACATCGCATCACGCTGCTAAATGCACTAATCGTCCCACCCGTCTAAGCAAAACACCGGTAGATTGACTTCTAGCCCCATCTAACCATTGAAAGGTCGAATGTGGATACCGGAACATTGTCAGGCACTACCGGGCCAAAATTCTGCCTTGTTTCATTGACCCTGAACCTGGGGGAGACCACGACTGGGTGTCATATTATGCAAAAATATGAAAAGGTGGACCTGCGAAGACTTCGCTTGGGAAAGCTTGGTCAGGCTTCGAGAAGCTTGGAGTGTGTAAATTGATTATATTAACTTCAAACATGCATTAGTCGCAATCTAGTAGGAATCTTCCAAAACATGGACAGGGGGAAAAGCCGAGATGACGCGGCTGACACGTTGAAACTGCCACTAGCGACGCCTGATTGGGAAAGGCTTGAGGAACTTGGCTAAAATCCGGGGTTATACTTGAGAGTAGTAATCATGCGCGAAAATGTCTACTACTGATGAACATCAGTTCTAGGGAACAATGTATATATTTTGGCCTCTGAAAAAGGTCATGTGTACATACTTGGGATTAATTATGCAATGAGGTTACACGACAAAGAAACTAAGCCAATTGACATCATTGGTGAATTGCAGTCCTCCATGCCTGACTCAGTAGCCTCGACTTAGAGGTGCGACAAAGCATCAAGGTTTCACGCTTGGCTAAACTGCCGGGCCGTCGATCCACTATCACTGACACCGAGACCGATCGATTTCGCATCAATAGTACCAATGCAGTCCCCACTGCGTTTCGATCAAATTGCGGAGCGCATGGATCGTTGTGGCGCCGGCTACTGGCGATTGTTTGTATGAGGACTTAGAGAGATTGGCTGGGAGGCAAGTATCCGCACCAAATTGAGAATTTGTGGGGAAAGCGACAAGGTACGTTTGACAGTGGGTGGTGGGATGAGGTCCGGAAATCCGGCCGGCACTTTCTGGTACCTAGGTTGTGCGCGAATATGCAATCACTCAGATTTGCGCTGTCCCCACAAGCTGTTAGTAGGCTTTTGATCCTAAGCTCTTTCTGGAATCTTACATATAGAGAGAGTGTTAGTCTTAGACATTTATACAGTGATGCGTATACGTTGGCTCCGCGGCTCTGCAAGCGGCACGCGACTCGTACGCAAGACGGTATTCTCTTCCGCCTCCCGAATGTGGCGAAACTCCTGAAAACTTCCTTTTGGCACAAAATACCTTCTAAGCATCGGTTGTTCGTTTTTATTTTCCCGGGGGGCGATCAAACCCACCGAATCTTCATGACGTTTCCCGCCCCTGGTGTCATTATTTGCTTCTGCTTCGAGTTACCTCTCTGGAGAAACTATACTTCATTCTCTGCTCTACACTATAAAACTCTACGCCGCCTCAAAAGTTGAGTTACTCCAGCCGTACACTCTTTTCAGTCGTTGCGAGAAGACCAAAAGAAGCCGTCCCTCAATGATTCCCTGGTGCGGCCGATGCAATGTTATACCTCTGCGCACTACCGCCTTATCCGAAGGAACGAATGTATATATAGAGCCGAGCTTGGGTTCACATGAGAAGCTCAAGTCATCCATAGCAGCTACAAATGCTTCCCATCGGACTGGGCTACGAGCTGCAGAAGATCTCGAAAACAACGATGAAAAGACATTAGCAGTGGAAGGTTTGACTTTGTGAGTTTCTATCGATTCAACGGGCGGGTCGTCTTTGGCGCTCTGCGGTGTGATCTCGTATATTGAACCTTGACTCGGTCGTGTCTTTTCCTTCTGCCTGCGCTGCTGAATAGGTGGCTCTGAGCTCTCGGGAGCTGCTAGCGTCGTGTCTTGAGTCGGAACTTTAGATTTAGCCTTCTGTGCTTCGTGCTGCTTATGGATGTTGGACACACAGCTTTCGACTAGATCTTCGTAAAGAAAACCAAGCTTCGTTCCGGTCTTCTCTACAATGTACTCGTCGAGTTTTGCAAGAGCACCTTCGGCCATGCCTTGTTCGAGCAAGTTATCAATAGGGATGGCGAAGTCACCGAGGTCCAGACCATCCTTCATCTCTCTCAACTCTTTATCCAAAGCCGTGCAGCCAGATACGAATGGCTGTTTCTTCTTGTGATTGGGCGTAGGCAATTGCATGATTGAGGAAAGAGACTGGATGAAGGTGACTATGATTGCGAGATCGCCTAGCGAGTCGTACTCTCGCTCTGAAAGGCTGTCTTGCTCGAGCGGATGGGCTCGGTGGAGGTCGGCCAACTTTTGAAGCCATTGTGCAGCGTTCGACCAGTTTGTCTCATCCTGACAAAGCCGAAGCATGTAATGTAGTTGGGGGTTCTCCACCGTCAAAGATTCGGGATTTCGTTTCAATGACAGGCGCGCGATGTCATTTGTCGACGTACGCTTGAACCATTTGCTGCCACCCATGCCGACAGCTACACTGCGTTTGAAACTAGTCTGGGTGCGCAAATACTCTAGGTGACAGGTGTTTGAGAGCTCTTTAAGAACTACAGCTTTGAACTGCTTGTCTGTTGACTCTTTCAGTAGATCCAAGAGGCGGCCAATGTAACACCATGTAGCAGCAATCTTCACTGCGCCATGGACCGCATCGAGCACAGCACCGCTGATGTACTTATCCGTATGTACAGGCAGCATGCGTCCTTTCTCATCGGCGACCAGCTCCGGTCGGCTAAAGAAAGAAAAGTTGACTTCATGAGTTAGAACTGTTGGCTCAGTTGAGATCAGAGCAATCAGATCCTCGCTAGACGACAACCGGTCTTTTGCCACATCAACAAGATCCACGAGCTCTACCTTTTTTGGAGGTGATTGTATTGACAACTTTGCTAAAGCTTCAGCTGTATCCTCATTCGACTTATTTGGCTGCTTCGTCTGGGCTCGCGTGGTTGATGCAGTATCAAGGATGTCTTCGATTGCAATGTTGAGAAGTTGGAGCAGGTTTATTTGTCGCATGAGAATGAGCTCTCCGGTAGCTTGAGGTACAATAAACCCGGCTTGCATGGCTGGTTTCATGTTCGCAAGAACTTCTTGCTTCTCGGCAAGGATCTTGACTGATTCGCCGTACCCGTCTTCGGTCAAGAAAAGTGTATAACAATCCTTATATTGGGATACGTCGTTGAGTCTCAAGTTCTTTCTCTGCATCATATCAAGTATATGTGCATGGTCTCCTGGTCGCCCATTGAAGCCAGTCGTGTATTGTGCTTGCAGCGGGGAGGTTGCTCGGTGCTTAAGCATGTCGAGAAAGAAGTTTGACGACGGCGAAGTGACGTCACGTAAGTTCCATTCGGGGATGAACTTATAGACATTCTCCAGGCTTGTGTCTTCGGCATGCTTCAGGACAGCACCATCATGAGAGCCAGCCTCCATGATCTTTTTGCGTTGTTCCTGACTGAGCGAACGCCACATTCCTTCGACTCGCTTGCCATGCTGGCGATATTTCCTGGCAAGATCATTATGGAGTTCTTTGACGGATTCGTTCATTGCGTATCTGTGAAAAACTGAGTGACAGAGAAGTAGTTGCTTGAACTCCGAATATGTTTGGTTTTGATGCGGGGACAACGGTAACAAAGTGCCATGCTATACCGCATTTGGGTTAGAGTGGATTGTCGGAAGCGATCGGAATTATGAGGACGTTCCGAAGGGAGCTGGCCATCAATGTCCGCCATCAATGAAGCCTGATCAATTACCATCCTCAGGGACGTATCACTGAAGAGATAACTGCTATTCACCCTGGATGATTTGAATCAATTTTCATTTTTGAAGCAAAATGATCAATAGAAGGGATTTCTTTTGGCAGATTGATTCTTTCGTCATGCTGTTGCACCATCCCAGAATTAAGATTGTCTGTCTCTCTTTGTATTTATCGCTCTCTCATCTATATTACTTAACCTATCTAACAGTACGTCTTCAAGTATTATCTTTTAGTAAGAAGCAATAGTTTTACAGAATGAAGAAAATGCACTAGTCCTGCGCAGAGGACTTGATGTGGTCACAGTATATATTTCCACTATAAAGATCGTATGATACATTTGAGTCAGCGAAGCTAGTACTTCTACCTGAGAAAGATCAAACATAATAAGATTCAAAACCGAAGAAAGACCCTCTACTGCTTACTACCCTCATTTTTCACAACATTCGAATGCAATTCTGCCATCGGTCGCCCCTCATCCAACTCGTGCGTTACCTCATGTTCCCCATACGGCTGTACATAGCTCATCTGGGGATACTTTTCGGTTGCAACCATACTCGCCTGGTGCTCCGGCGGCACATAAGCGCTATCTTCTATCACGTCCTGCGACTTGGACTTCTTGCGCCGGAAAATAAGCAGCCACGCAAGGATACCTACTGCAATGACTGCGACTCCGCATCCCACGCCGATCCCTACGGTAGCGCTGGGAGATAGGTGAGTGTGTGGCTGTGGTGTTGATTGCGAGCTCGGAGACGTGGTACTAGTCTCAGACGCAGAAGAGGTGGCGAGGGAGGAAGTAGTAGAGACAAAGTCTGTGGACTGCGGATATATCGTAGAAACTGTAGCAGGTAAACTCGTACTAACCAATCCCCACCAGGTTGGTACGAAATTTGAGCCATCCTCGCTGGCATTCTTGACCTCGCCTGTCATGGGATCGATGAAGTATGTTGGGCCGGTTTCGCAGCAGGTATCGGATGAACTGTCGCAATATATGTTGTATCCGCAATAGTTCATGATGATCCATTGATCCTTAGTTTCTAGCGGCCTGAATTAGTGCATGCATTACGATATGGTGGGTAGTGGACATTACCTGACGGAACGTTGGAGCAGTTAGTCCAGCTCAGGTCAGAGCAATAGCCTGTGCTATAAATATTTCTGTAAGGGTCATGACAAAGCAGGTTGCTGCCACATTGTTCATCGGAAAGGCAGCAGTTGTTTGTACCTCTACCGCAGGAGAAGGGTTCGGTGTCGCTATATGATGGGGATTCGCTTGCCAAAACGCCTACGTAATGCTTAGCTTGAGTTCTTTACGTGTAACCTATTTGGGTTGCGTCTAATGTACCATCTCTGGCATAGCAGTCAGCACGAACACTTCGTAGGTGTACATCCGCCAATATTGCGGCAGAAAGTATCCAAGACCCGTGATACGACATTGTGAGTAATGCAATTTGCGTCAAAGTGAAGATCAGAGCTCAAAATTGCACGGGTGCAACAAGGGGGGTTTCTATCAAACAATGCGCTTCGCGTCCGTAACGTACTACGCGCCATCTGAAGCCGAGATTCCAAAGCACCTAAACTCTAAATGTACAGCTCTCAATAAATATGGGTCTCGCTTAGCAGATGGACCAATTTGATACTAGATGTGGCGGTATGTGGTGGTATGTAGTATGTAGTATGTGGCAATGGTGGCGCCAGTCTCAACCTCCGATTAGTGTAGCCAAGCGAGGCTGAATATTCAGGAGTTTCCAGCCTTGCGGCTGAGGGACGTCTTGGAGGAAAAAAACAATTTAGCATTATAAGCGTGCTGAGATGGGTGCACTGGTTGAATTTAGCATGGAGATCAATAACTGCTCGCTGTTGGTACTCTCGTATCATCGTCGAATGTCGGCATATCGACATAAGACAGTTAACAATGCACTCTACGAAAGCCTGGTCAGCCAGTCTACAGGGACAGCATATGGCTCATCCCGCTTCTTGCGGGCCATAGGCAGACCCGATCAGAGCCAGCTGGTTTTGAGATGTTCCGATATCTACTTACTCATGCGCCTGTTATAGCCATGTCACAACCAATCTATTATAAGCCAGATCCACACAAACCGCCACCAATATTGTAGCCGAATTTACCATTTCGGTGAGCATCCCTTGAACATCGAATCTACTCCTTGAGTTACAATTTCAGCTTTGCTGCAAAGTTGAGATTAATCTATGTACTTTCGAGTACCATATCTTAACCAGCACAAGTGCTAATACAACGAACATACTTTCGCGCAAAATCAGCATCCACCAAAGGTGCAGGGAAGTGGGCAGAGCCTAGGACATTGTCCTTCAAGGGCGGTCCAGTAACCATAGCAGTCGCGCCTTTGTCGTCAATAACACCGTCAATCAGCGCTGTGATACGGGCAATTAGACTCGACCTGTGTGCCAGGGCATAGTTCAGAGCTCTTTCTCTCCATGCCAGAAAAGGCACGATTTCCTGGCCAGTACTTGCGTCACTCATGAGTTGGAAGAAGTGGCTGAAGGTGGGTGCATGCGCATTGGCGAAATCATAGTTTTGGCCGATGAGGTGCAGGTCCTTGGTCATCATGGTAACTATGGTTTTGGAAAGGTAGTCAACAGGTAGCACAGCGGCAAGATTGGCGTCTATGGATGGAAAAAGGTCCATTTCCACGCAGCCGGCGATGAAATGGTGCAGAAAGTCACCGCGGTCGAGGCGGAAGCGACCAGTGGTGGATGATGCAGTGACAAAAGGAAGGCGGTAGACCGATACTTTGGCACCACGCCATTGGGCTGCAGCCATCATGCGCTCGGCCCCGTATTTTGATGTAGCATACCCATATTCCTGATCTCCTTCTTTGACGTCGTAGCCCATGTACTTGGGTATTGTGGACATTGTGGAAATAAGATGGACCGTTTTAGCCTTGCCTTGCGACGTCAAGCGCAGCACTTCATGCGCGCTCACCATATTAGGGCCGATATAGTCTTGGAGCGGACGCATCCAGTCTACGAGTGCGCCGGAGTGACAGATGGCATCCACATGGTCCGCAAGGAAATCAAATGTGTGTTCGGGCAAGCCAAAAAGAGGTTGGGACATATCCCCTACAACACAATGGAGCAGTGGTGTGTATTCCGGGTTCCAAAGGCTGTAACTTGCAAGGGCTGCGATCAAACGCTCCATAGCTTCATCATCGGTCTCGGCACGTACTAAACAGTAGACGGCGATGCCAAACTCCATCAGATCATGAGTGATGTGAGCGCCAACAAACCCCGTGGCACCGGTGATGAAAACAGATGAAGGGGATGTAGGAGCTTCGCCTGCATTCTCAAAGGTGAAGCTGGGATCGACACAGCCTCTCTTGATGGCTTCGAGGTCAAGCAACGGGACCATATCGGACATGAGCGTGGTAGTGGCTGTGCTACTCCCAAGTGAAGAACCAGATTCGCTATCATTCAAGTTCAGCTCTGAAAGTAAGGTCTGTCCGAGGGCTTTGAGGTTGGGATGCTGGAATGTGATGTTGGCCATCAATGGCATGCCTGTCAAGTTCGCGAGTTGATTGCGTATCAAAACCGCAGTCAAAGAGTCTATGCCGATATCCTGAAGAGGCTTATCGACATGGACGTCACTTGGTTTTTTGAAGCCCAAGGCTTTGGCTACAGTTTCTTGAAGCATGGCCAGCATGAGCTGAGGGCGCTGCTCGAGGTCTGCCAGGAGTAGCTCTTTACGCAGATGGTAGCCTGAATTCAGTGGTTGCTCCTCTGCATTGCCCCCACTGAGAATGGAACGCAGAAAAGGAGGATTGTCACCTCGTTCCCGGTGACATTTCTTCAAACGAGGCTGATCCAAGGCAGCGGCGACAGTGAGGGTTCGATGACTACGCACAGCATATCCAAGTAGCTCTAAACCGTCTTCCGGAGCAAGCATGTCGAGGCCAGATTGAGCAAGACGTGCTCGAGTGGGGCCGATGATGTTGGCTGCCATGCCATCACCCTCCCAGGGGCCATAAGCTACAGACGTAGCAGGCAGACCTTGGGCATGACGTAAATATGCCAGGGCATCCAGAAAGGTGTTTGCTGCAGCGTAGTTGGCGAGCCCAGACATGCTCAACACCCCAGAGATGGACGAAAACATGACAAAGAAGTCAAGGCTGAGATGTTGGGTCAGTTGGTGTAGATGCCAAGCGCCATCTACCTTGGGGGCAAAGACGGTGGCACATCGCTGCGGCGTCAAGGCCCGAAGAACGCCATTGTCTTGGGCACCAGCAGCATGCACCACACCGCGTAGAGGTGTCTTGTTGTCGTCAAACATGGCCATGAGCTGCTGGACGCTCTGGCGATCTGCAATGTCACAAGAAACGACGGTAGCTTCTGCACCCAACGCAGCAAGATCGTTCACGAGCGCCTGCGCACCCGGCGCTGCCATGCCGCGCCGCGAGGTCAACACCAGAGTACGTACGCCGTGTGCAGTCGCCAGCCACCGCGCAACTCTTGCACCGAGATCGCCAAGCCCACCTGTGATGACAACGGCGCCATCTGGACGGACCATAGGTTGTTGCTGCTGGGTAGGGGGCGGCAGTTCTTGTGGCATAGCGATGGGTTGTAAACGAGGCACTAGAACCTGTCCGTGGCGTACTGCGCATTCAGGCTCCGATCTGAGCGCCAACGCCGCCGCGAGGGCATCGACGTTGATGTCGTCGTCGCTGTCATTGTTGTCATCGTGGTGGTAGTCGATGTCGAGGAGGCGTAGATGCAAGTCGGGATGCTCGCTACGGGCCGTACGCATTAGGCCCCATAACGGCCCGGCAGCCAATCCGGTCCCAGAATAGTGGTTGTCGTCACGTGCATTCACGCTAGCACCGACCGCGTTGTGCGTCACCCATAGCAGCTGCGACATGAACTGTGTGCTCGCGGCATCCTGCAACTGAGCCAATCCTTTGGCTGTCAGCTCTCTCGCCTGGTCTGCGACATCATCAGAGTCCGTTTCTGCGTTCCACAGGCACAGCACGCCGTCGAGCTCTCCACCATCTTGTAGCCGCTCGATCCGTTGCACGTACAAGCCAGCAGACATCAGGCCCGCTTCGAATCGTCTTATCCACCCTTGTTCCCCATCTGGGCTCGCACATAGGAGGCCCCACGAACCGCCTTTTCTCAAATTCGAACGGTCGGCCTGCTGCCACGATACCTCAAATGCAAATCGATCTACAGCACTGAGAGTCTCGTGCTGGTCCTGGCTCTGGTCGTGTTGTTGTACACTATCAGCATTGATTCTGCTGCGAGCACGAGGAAAGCGTTCTCGCTGGAATGCATATGTTGGCAGCTCCACCCGCTCACAGTAGCCCAGAAGCTCAAAGTAAGCATGCCAGCTTATAGACACCATGCGCTCGTGCATCTCTGCGAGGCTGCTCTGCATCGTTGACGCGCCGGGCTTTCGGGTGGTTAGTGATGGCAGCCAGGCAACTGACTGATCTGCTACAAGGCACGCTGCTCCCAATCCGCTCAAAACCGCTTGCGGTCCCAGCTCAAGAAATATGTTAACGCCCTGCTGATGAAGTATCTGGATGCCATCCGCAAAACGCACTGCGCTGCGTGCCTGTGAAACCCAATAGTCGGGTTGTTGAAGCTCATCCGCCTCGACGGGTTTGCCGGTCAGGCTGCTCACTATCCACAGCTTTGGTGGGTGGAATTGTACACTGTCAGCCACAGCTTGGAATGCTGCAAGCATGCAGTCCATATGGTGCGAGTGAAAGGCGTGCGATACATCGAGTACATTCTTCTTGCGTCCGAGACCAGTGAAGTATGCCACCAATTTTTCAACCGCGTCACAATCGCCAGATATCACAGTTTGCCTTGGCGTGTTGTGGCCCGCAATATCGACCTTGTTGACAACCCCAATGGTATCCATCGTTCTTGAAACCTCTTCCGCGCTAGCTTCTAATGCAACCATACTGCCACGAGTTGGGACAGCCTGCATCAATCGACCGCGTGCCGCGACCAGACGACAGGCGTCTGAGAGGTCCAAGATCCCACTGACATGCGCTGCCGACAGCTCTCCTACACTATGACCGAGGACGTAATTCGGCTCTACACCCCAGCTTTTCCAGAGATGCCAAAGAGCAACTTCCAACGTAAAGAGGGCCGGCTGTGCAAAGTCTGTGCGCTGTAACAGTGCGGCAGCCTCGCTATCTGGAGCGGCGTGCATTACCTCCCTCAACGGCATCTCCAGTTCTGTGAAATGGGCTGCTATGTCGTCTACAGCATCATGGAACACGGGGTATATGTCATAGAGATCTTTACCCATGCCTACAACTTGGCTTCCCTGGCCGGTGAAAAGGACAGCTATACATGGATCGGCGGCATTCTCGCTTGTACCTGCCATCGAACTCAATTTATACATAAGCTCCGTCTTATCTTTGGCCAAGAGCACTCTCCGTCGTCGGTAATGGTTTCTCGTAGTCGCTAGTGAGAAAGCCATGTGACCAAGACGATCTCCATGATTTTCTTTTGCACTCGCGATGTATCGTCGTAGCTTATCGGCTTGTTGGCGAAGAGCGGCATCAGTGTGGCCTGATAGCAGGAATGGAAATCCAGCTGGAAGTAAGGCCGGCAACGGGTGCGATGTCTCATCCTTTAGCGGAGCCTCTTCTATGATAACATGGGCGTTGGTGCCGCCGATGCCAAATGCACTGATACCTGCTCTTCGAGGCCGATCTGCTCGTGGTAGCCAGGGCTGTGGTTCTTGTACAAGTGCCATGTTAGCACCCTGCCAGTCTACCGCTGATGTCGGCTTTTCAGCATGCAGAGTCCGGGGGATCGTGTTGTGTTGCATCGCTAGAACAACCTTGAGTAGTCCAGCCAAGCCAGCTGCCGCTTGTGTATGCCCGATATTCGACTTTACTGAACCAATCCACAGTGGCTCTGATTCAGTTGTTCGACTTTCGCCGAATACTTCGGCCAGGGCTGTGCCCTCAATGGGATCTCCCAGTTTGGTTCCTGTACCATGTGCTTCAACGTAATCGATGTCGCTAGGTGCCAGATTTGCTGAAGCTAATGCTGCATGCACAAGTCGTTGCTGTGCCATTCCACTCGGCACTGTCAACCCTGGGGCGCTTCTTCCACCATGATTCACAGCGGTGCCCCGAAGAAGCGCGTGAACCTTGTCGCCATCCCGGATAGCATCGCTCAACCGCTTCAATAACACCATCGTGCACCCCTCAGCCCAGCCAGTTCCCTGTGTATCCTCTGCAAATGCTCGACACCGGCCGTCAGCAGACATGCCTTTGAGCTGGCTGAACTCGACGTGCATTCCAGGAGTGAGCAAAAGTGTAATTCCACCGGACACAGCCATATCACACTCTCCTTGACGAAGTGCATTACACGCCAGATGGGTTGTCACAAGAGACGAGGAGCACGCTGTGTCCACAGTGAGGGCCGGTCCTTCGAGACCAAGAGCATATGACAAGCGACCAGACATAGTAGCTCCTGCTGAACCTGTTGCATCGTACCCGCTAAGTTCCTGCAAACACGGCGCTGTCGAGTGTGCTGGCATGCTACACACACCCATAAAGACACCCGTACGGCTACCTCGTAGTTGCCTATCTGTATATCCAGCCCGCTCGAAGCCTTCACAGCACGTCTCCAGCACGATACGTTGCGCAGGATCCATAGCCCGCGCCTCCTTAGGCGATATGCCGAAGAACGAAGCATCGAATTCATCAATGGACGACATAAATCCACCTCTCCGGCAGTATGATTTTCCTGGAGTGCCTGGGTTAGGATCATAGAGGGCATCGGCGTCCCAGCGGTCTTTTGGCACGTCGATTATGACATCGGCGCCATTCTCGAGAAGATCCCAGTACTCTTCCGGAGATGCGATCTGACCTGGTAACCTGCATGCCATCGACACGATAGCAATATCCTCATTATCTGGACTTATGCGATGATTTTGTGAAGAGATAGGGTCTGTTGTGATTTCGCCTTCTCCTTTTAGGTAAGCCGATAATGTCTTGATGGTGTAATGTTGGAAGAGCCGGGCTGGAGACAATTTCCAGTGAACCAACTTTTGCACCTGCTTTTGCATTTGAATCACTCGTACAGAGTCGCCACCTATCTCAAAGAAGTTGTCATCCAGCCCGATGCAGTTGTGACCCAGAACTTTTGCCCAGATCACCCGGAGCTTGTCCTCCAAATCAGTCAGCGGCCTGCTGAGCTTGGACTTGACTGCAACCTTTGGATCTGGCAAGGCTTTTCGATCAACCTTGTTGTTCGGCGTCATAGGGAATGTTTTAAGGCTGACGAAGAAAGCTGGCATCATGTACGCTGGTAGAAGCTGCGCTAACCATGGACGCAGCACGCTGTCAAGTGTTGGTGTCGCCTCGATTTCGTGGCTGCTTTCGCCGTCAACGCTGATGCAGTACGCTATCAGTCTGTCGTTTCTGCTAATCACAACAGCGTCAAGGATATCACTATGATCAGTTATTGCTGCCTCAATGTCGCCCAGCTCAATCCGATAGCCTCGTATCTTTACTTGCCCGTCAGCACGGCCTAGTACGATCAACCTGTCTGGACCATCGAACTTGGCTATGTCGCCGGTACGGTATATGAGACCATTGTGAAAGGGGTTTCGAACGAAGCGCGATTGCGTAACTTCAGGCATATTGCGGTACCCATTAGCCAAGCTCACTCCGCCGATATATAGCTCGCCAGTGCATCCAAAGGGTACCGGCCTAAGGCTTTCATCAAGTACATAGAGTTGGTAGTTGGTGATAGGCTTTCCAATGACCACATCCTTTCCTGGACATACTTTCCAGATACTTGCCCAGACCGTCGCCTCAGTCGGGCCATACATGTTCCATACCGACTCTGCACACAATAGTAGCCGGTCAGCGAGCCTACGAGACAGCGCTTCGCCACCGCACAAGATCCTGGAGAGACGTGGGTCCCCTTTCCAGCCAGCATCTAGTAGCATCTGCCAGGTCGCAGGCGTCGCCTGCATCATGGTAACATTGTGTTGCTGAATCAATCCGAGTGTAGCTTCTGGATCCTTAACCTCGTGCGCCTGGGCCATGATCATCGTTGCGCCACACAGCAACGGAAGGAAGACTTCTAACGCTGCAATGTCGAAAGATATCGTTGTTATGGCAAGTAACCGATCTGTTTCCACGCATCCTGGCTCTCGCTGCATCGCACACAAAAAATTTGACAGCGCCCCATGGCTGATCTCTACCCCTTTTGGCTTACCAGTAGAGCCTGAAGTATAAATCACGTATGCGAGGTCTTCTGCTTTTGGATCCGTGTCTACGTCATCTATTTGAGACTTTGAGGCGACCATCATATCTCGCGTCTCATCAAGGCCCAGTGTCGCGCATCCCCAGGATTGAGATGCCAGTCGTGTGCTGGCGCTGACGATGACAAGTATTGGGTTTGCATCCTCGATCATGTGTCGGATGCGGTCGGTAGGGAAGCCCGGGTCGATGGGCATGTACGCTGCGCCCGTCCTCATGACAGCCAGTAGTGCTACGACGAGGTCGATGGAACGGTCCAGGGCGATGCCAACGACCTCGCCACGCCCGATGCCTTGGGTTACCAGAACATGGGCAAGTTGTGTTGCAAGTGTTGTGAGTGTTCCGAATGTTACTTTCTCATCGCCGCATATCATGGCAATCTTGTCATGATGTCTTTCAGCGGTGTTTTGGAGAAGGCGGGGTAAGCTGTGTCCGAGAATGGTGGTGTCGAGCGTGTCATTGTATCGTTCGATGATTTCTTGGTAGTCTTCGGGTGAAATGGAATTGCTCATGGCGGACAAGGTTGTATTTGGTTGATATGAGGTCGAAGAGGACTGGATGGCATTTTCAATGATAGCCATTGCTTAACAGATGTGTTCAAGTGAAGGAGAAGTGTTTTTGCTTTGACCTCTACTGGATAATTGCTCGTTCGGTTGGGTTAATGTTGAAGCTATAGGAGCACCTTGGACGATTTCAGATATCCAAAGAACAGTACGAGATTTTGTAATATCAGCCCTCGGCCATATTCCTCAATGGTGGACATCAAGATTGACCCGACCCCGATACCCTGAACAGGCAAGGCGACTACTCCATGCCTCCGTGGACTAGCTCCGGGTCGGTTACGGGATCTCAAATCGATGATCAGCAATCCGGACCTGCTTATGCGAACCAGTCTCCGATAGTCGGTGATGACGAGATCGGTGCCGCGGACGTGACCCATGTCATATCGCGATCGGTACTGACTCCTTCTCCGGCTTTGCAGGACGACCATCACACACAGACTGTTGCAACGTACGCTGTATCATTCAAGCGTTTCCCAGCTTGTGATTTTTCGTCAAGACCTCGGGCTTGCCTAGGAGTTTGATCACTTTGTCATATCGTGGTTTTTAATCATTAGATCTTATCACTGAAAGTTATACTTCTATTTTCTCTCCATCCGCAAAGTACTTTTCAGGATATTTCATCTCAGAGAACTTCTACCAGTACCCCCTACGGCTCGCATCATGCAAGTAGCAACCGAAATGCCGCTCCCTGCGCCGTTCACGAACGGTTTGGGACCTGCTCCCTCAGAAGAGCCCTGGGACTTTTCCCTTGCTCCCGACCCTACCAGTGTCAAACCTCAAACCAACGGACATAGTTCAATGGCTATTAGTGCTGGAGAGCTACAACCCCCCTTTGCCGATCTTGCATGGGCATGCAACAAAGAGGCATCCAACGATTTCCGCTCCGATTTCTTCACCAAGCCCACACTCCCCATGCTTGAAGCCATCATCAATACCTCCCTCGGCGATGGCGACATGGACGAAGACAAAACCACAAACTCCTTCCAAGACTACGTCGCCAGCCTCGTAGGCCATGAGTCCGCCCTCCTAGTCGTCTCCGGCACAATGGGCAACCAAGTCGCGCTTCGCTCCGCCCTCGGCGCCCCGCCACACTCCATCCTCGCCGACCACCGCGGCCACATCATCATCCTCGAAGGCGGTGGCGCATCCAGCCTCTTCGGCGCAATGATCAAGCAAGTGGTCCCGTCAAACGGCCACCACCTCACCCTCGCTGATGTCAAAAAACATGCCACCACCACGACAACCGTGTATGACTGCCCCACCCGCATCATCAGTTTGGAAAATACCCTTTGGGGCACCGTCATGCCGTTGGAGGAAATCCGTGCTATTTCCCAGTGGGCGCGCGCGCAGAACCCGCCAATTCATATGCATCTTGATGGAGCAAGACTATGGGAAGCAGTGGCGGCTGGAGCCTGCACTTTGCGCGATATGGGCGAATGCTTTGACAGCATCCAGATGTGTTTTACCAAGGGTCTTGGGGCTCCCATTGGAAGTATTGTGACGGGTACTTTGGCGTTCATCCAGCGAGCGAAGTGGAGTCGCAAGTTGCTGGGTGGGAGTACGCGGTCGTCTGGTGTGATTGCTGCGCCGGCGCGTGTAGCTATCGATCAAGTTTTTCTTGCAGGCAAGCTGAAAGCTGCGCAGGATAAAGCGGCGAGGGCGTCGCGGCTGTGGGAGCAGCTTGGTGGGAAGCTGGCGGTGCCGACGGAGACGAACATTATTTGGGTTGATCTCGAAGCGTCGGGGTTGGTGCCTGAGGTTTTTTATGCGACGGCGGGGAAGTTTGATGTTAAGATTGGGGCGCCAATTTTTGGGCGGATTGTCTTTCATTATCAGATTAGTGAAGTGGCGTTTGGGAGACTTTGTGAATTTTTCAGGGCGGTGTTCAGGGATACAGGGAAACTCTAAGGTTTGGATGGTATAGTTGGTGTGATTGAAGTGGAGTTATTTTGAATTTCCTAATTTCTCGCACATTCGTAACTGAGATGTTCATCTTCGATTCTTTCACTACAATAAACATGAACGTATCTGTTGTACATTTGCCTGCACTAGGGTTCGCTCATCATATACAATACAACCAGAGGCCTGTACACCGAACCGCCTTTTTCTTGCGTTTGCTGGTAAGTAGATTTGCACGCACATGTCCCATTGTAGTTCTTTTGCGACATGATTGGATCGACACTGACGAATTGGCAATCAAGACTTGGAGCCTCTCATTACCGCCAGCCTGGTCAATGCCAAGGCCGATCGAGATGGTGATAGAATACCGTGTATACAACCCCTGTTCGGAAGTCCGACGACTATTCCGAAATCTCACCTTGCAGCCGATACAGTCGTAGGAATAACGGATGCAAGATCGGCTACCGTTCGTGAAATCTCTATGCGGGCCCTCCGACTCCGGGTCAGCATCATCATAGGCTACCATGGCAAAAACATCGTCGATGGGAAACCGACTGAGATTATGCAGCTTTCTCTTTACCGGAAATGCTGTGTTTAAATGATGAATGAAATGAGCATAATATTCGGGATTGAACTCTAGTAACAAGCCACTCTTCACTATTTCATCTTGACAATATTACTTCAATATATCTTGGACTTTTCAAACATTACCGCCAACATGGTCAATATGAATCTCCGAACGCTAGACTTTACCAAGTTCACTGGTACTGATCAAGAGCGCAAGGAGTTTTGTCAAGCATTCCTAGATGGCATTACTGAAGTTGGCTTTGTCAAGCTGATTAACCATGACTTGGACGACAAGACCAACTCGGAGCTATTTCAACAGGTAATTTTGCCAACAAACCCAGTACACTTGTTTCCATATATGACTAACGACACACAGAGCCGCAATTTGTTCACACTTCCCCGGGAAGGCAAAGAAGAGTTCGCCAACGTTATTGGCCCTAAGCCGCAACGTGGATGGAGCTGCATCGGTGCTGAGACCACTGCGACGTTGAACACACCAGGAGTGATCAACATGGTCAGAGTCAATAACGAGGGTCTAAAGGACCTGAAGGTAAGCATGCCTGTTACTAACAATGGTGGACATGTACTAAGCTTCTTTGCAGGAGCATTTCGATATGGGACCCGTTGACGATCCCGAATTTCCAAACGTGTATCCCTCCGAAGAAAAAGCCCCTGGGTTCAAGAACTGGATGGAGCAGTACTTCATCAAGAGCCAGCATCTCTCGCTGCAGCTAATGGAAGCGCTCGAGATTGCGTTGGATCTGCCCAAGAGCGCTCTCGTCGATCGATGCGAGGGCCACGCGAGCGAGATCCGAATGATATACTACCCAGAAACCAACGTGAAGGAGCTTGCAGATGGGAAGTCAAAGCGCATTTGGCCGCACACGGATTTCGGCATTCTGACTCTGTTGGCGCAGGGTAGTACGGGCGGTCTCCAGATTGAGGATAAGAACAATCCTGGAGGGTATGTATCTGTGCCTCTTGTTGAAAAGACGGAACTACTCATCAATGTTGGCGACACGCTTGAGCGATGGAGCAACGGAAGGATCCCGGCTGGACTGCATCAGGTTGCGGCGTCGGGTGAGACGGAAGACGGGACGCTGCCGGAGAGGTACTCGGTGGCATTCTTCCTGAAAGCCAATCGCAAGACGTCTGCTGGACCGATTCCTATCTTTGTGCCAAAGGGTACCAAGTCCAAGTATGAGGAGATGACTGCGCTCGAGTACCACCGACGCCGTACTGCAATCATGTACTAGTCATTTTTGGATATTGTGTGTAGTTCTGGAGAATTGACGTCTTGTTCTGTGAAATAGCCACTTTGATTTGCATCCGCCTGGTGCTCTTTCTTGCCACGCATTGGTGATGTTCCCCTAAGCTGTGACGTGTTTTTCAGAGCGACGGCGAGTTTGAAATTAGTGGTCGGGGTAAATTCAAAAGGAAGGTGGTGTGTATGCCGAATAGCTACGTAATTAGCTGATGGGGTGCCCGGTGTTTATACAAGCATGATCCGAGTGTACAACCCCAGTCAGTTGCCCTGTAAAGTGGCTTCAACTTTGGTGAAATCTAAACTGGATCTGGGTGAGGCGCTCCTTGGTCGTCTCCGCGAGATATGCAGCCTCTTCCGAGGCGAGACATGGAGCCGCTTGTAAGGCGACCAGCGATGAAATAATATTCATCACTGCGAAATGGCTTCAGCTTGAAGCGAGCCAGCCATGCAGAAATGTACGAGCGTGCCAATGCCAATTCCTTGTTCGCCTAGTATGCAGCGCCAATGCGAGATTGCGGCACTGTGGTAGATGTCGGAGCACACGAGGTGCCTGCATTGTCCATTTTGATGCGTAGATGTGTGTAGCAGCTAGGAGATTGGTGGGTGTAGAGATGCCGTACCAGGATAACCATGCACTTCGGTCTTGGTAGTGTTAGGACGGATGCGTTGTGATGGTGAAGGTAAGCAAGGGGCTCGTAGCCAAGCAGCAAAAAATCATCGATCGGAGACAGACAAACGCTCCTCCTCGGAAGTCCGAACAAGGATCAGACGGTGGCTGCCAAACACGTCGTATAGCGAAACCAACACCTTCCGCTTCGGGCAATATCTCAACTCGAGGGATCGCAGCCAGCCCATGGCTTCACGTTGGATGCGTGACGTCAACATGACGGCCAAGCAGCCACCACGTCGCGTTTGCAGCCCCCAACATGGCGTTTGCTCCAACAATCTTCATTCGCCAACCACTCTAAAGTACATACACGCCCTGAGCAGCTATGCTTTGGTTGCCTGCTTCACGGTTACTACTATCCTCCTCGCAACCCATTCCTTGACATGGCTCCAGCAACGGTCGAGCTCGACACCCTCGACTCTGGCCGCCATTCACAGGATGCGAACAACACACAGTCTCATCTTCAGACTACTCACGATGAAAGCACGCTCCCGCCAGTCGACAGCGGAAAGGCAGCCTGGCTGTTCTTAGCAGCGTGTTGGGCTGTCGAGGCTTTTGTGTTCGGTGAGTGTTTCTTTCTATGCTTTCGTCTCTGTTCCCTAGACTTACTGAGCCCTCAATAGGATTCGGCTTCTCTTTTGGCGTCTTCCAGGATTTCTATTCCACCCATGAACCCTTTGCCGGTTCAGGCGACATTGCAGTCATTGGTACCACCACTCTGGTAAGCGAGTTTCCAAGCATGCATTTCCTGGTATGAAAAACTCATCAATACTACAGGGAACTCTGTACATGGGAACACCTTTTGTTCTCATGCTTTGCCGCCTCTTGCCACGCTGGGCCCGCTGGTTCACGCTTCTGGGCCTCTTCACCTCGACTCTATCCATGGCAATGAGCTCCTTTTGCACTACCGTTCCCCAACTCATCGGAACTCAGGGCCTCATGTTCGGAATCGGCGGCTGCTTCGCTTACTGTCCTTGTGTCGTCTATATCGATGAATGGTTCGCCAAACGCAAAGGCATGGCTTACGGCGTCATGTGGAGCGCTGCAGGTACTGGAGGTGTTGTACTCCCCCTGGTTCTTCAAGTACTTCTCAACAATCTCGGATTCGAGACAGCTACGAGAATCTGGGCTGGTATCTTCTTTGCTGCCACACTGCCTTTGTCCTTCTTTATCAAGCCCAGGCTTCCAAATTCTGCAACTACACACATATCGCCATTCAATGTGCGCCACCTCATGTCAAAGTTATTTGCCCTTCATCAACTATTCAACTTTATACAAGCTACCGGCTACTTCCTACCGGGTATCTATCTGCCCACCTATGCCCGCAGAATTTTTGGCGCGTCCGACTTCTTGTCCACATTGACAATCATGCTTGTCAACATATCTGCTACAATTGGTTGCGTTATCATGGGTTGGATGACTGATAAACTCAAAGTCACGACGTGTATTGTCGTCTCGGCTCTAGGCACCGCCATGTCTGTTCTCGTTATTTGGGGACTCGCGACATCGTTACCCGTTCTTTACGTATTCTGCGTCTTCTACGGCTTGTTCGCAGGGAGCTGGACTTCTGTGTATCCAGGGATCATGCGAGACGTTGCAAAGAAAGGCGAGAGTGCAGGCCACAGCTCAGCCGACCCAGTGGTGGTCATGGGCTACCTGTTGCTCGCCAGAGGTATCGGAAATATTGTGTCGGGACCCTTGAGCGAAGCGCTTGTAGAGGGCGAGCCTTGGCGGGGACAGGCCTCAGCAGGCTATGGAAGTGGATATGGCGCGCTTCTCGTCTACTCCGGCGTGACTGCTCTCTTTAGTGGGACTAGTTTTGTACTCGACTATCTCGGTTGGCTGTAGGTATGTTCATGGTAGATCAAGTTTACTGCATCCGCAATCGTGGGGAGTAAGAGAAGCAATACCATCCAAAACCATCAGGAATGAACATTTGACTTTCCCGCCCCCCCCCCTAGGACTTGATGTGGTGATTCGCCAGCTCGGCAAGTTCAATTTGTAATTATACATAACATATGACGCGCAGTACTATGTGTCCGTGATTTCAGTCTCATCATTTCATTTGCTAACATGCAAATGTCGACAAGGCGAAATTCCATCGCGCGTGTCCAACCGCGCCCACACAATCTAGCACCTGCATGATGCCAAAAAGATACTAGCGACATAGACATGCTCTAAATGAGCCTCGTTGGATACGCGTTCCACTGGTCGGGATTGGATCTCAGTCCGCGGCTGACAGATCTTAGCTGTATTCGTCAAAACCCGAATACCCACACTGACAACTTTCAGGGCAGTGATCACACCCGTCAGCATGCTGTCTGGAGCCCGAGACTGCCGTCGGAATGCAGCATATGCATTTCAGCAACTGCATGGCTTGCATCGGTGTGGGCGGGTAAGTTTTTAGGGTCCGTTTTCGGGCCCGGGATCCACTTCCCTCGGCAACCCCATGGATCGACAAGGGTGGGTATGTCTGCCCCGGGCTAGCCACTGGTACTTACAGACACGTGCGTCCGCGGCTCTGGTTAAAACGTTCGTACATGCACACGTTTATAAACTGACTAAGAGGATGTCGTGAACAGGACTTTCTCGAGGATGGTATGGGAGCTCGGGTTTTTGACATTCCATAAGCATGCTCCGAATCAACCACGCTGCCGGATTGGTCATTCACCTTTTACACGGCAATAAGACTGCCTAGGCTCTCGAATCTTGAACGGATCTCACTCTGCCGTCCCATAGGTAGGATCAGATAGGGCCACCAGCGGCTGACGCCTGACCAGATGCACATGAGAGATGCCGGTGAATAATCCTTTGGGATCCCCCTCATAATGGCCTCAAAGCTCGTCATTCTGACATATTGACATACACTGGTGGTTGGTAGTCATGGCAATTGGGATTGGCATGCAAGTAATCAGTTGAAATATCCAGGCGACAATATAGGCAGGTTTTCGTAAAGCTGGGGTGGCCACGTAAGACTTCCTCTCCACTCAGTCCACCTGTTCTGTAAATAAACTTTCACTCCATTTTCTGGGCTCCTTTGCAACACGGTGACTCAAAGACGCTATCACACAACGCTTGGGACGATTCCAGCATCTTCAATATGCAGGACCAGGACCAGTACGCGGATGTCGACAACGAACTACGCTTGAAGGAGATTAGTCGACGATCAGCATGCGACCGATGTAGAAGGATGAAAACACGCTGCGATCGGGGCAGCAACTGGGATCTTGCTCAACTACAACAATGTCGTCGATGCTGGCAAGCACGCGTGAAGTGCATCACGTCCATGGAGGGTCAGCAACATCTAAACAGACCGTCAGATGAGCCAACTCACAGACACTGGAAACAGCTCAGGACCCCTTCTTATGCATCTAGCAGCAGCTATCAAGTTTCCGAAGTTGTTCAAGATGTAGGCGGGCAGCATTCAAATACACCAGCCGAACAGAATCGAGGACAATTCACCGCCGATGTTCCCCCATCATATCCCATGGCAACAGACGCAAGATCCGACTATGATATATGGTCAACATATGATATCGACCATTCATGGCGAGATTTAGGCGAGGGTCTGGGCCAAGAAGGAAACTCGAAAAATGCAAGAATTGCCACTATCCCGCCTACAAAGAGGATGTTGCAAAACCCAAATTCATCAATCGACATGACGGACTCATCCACAGACGTCCAGGGCCTCCTTGCTACCACCCAATTCAACCATACATCGCAAGAGTGTCGCGATCTATTCCTACACGACTCTTCCATGTCTCTAGAATCCGAAACTCTTGACAAAACTATCATGAGCGAACTCATGAAGTTCAACAACAAAGTGTCACTCGATCTTCAAGACAGCCCCGAGACTTCTCAATTCCCCGCCAGCAACAAAAGCGTACTGGTCAAGACTTTCCAGCACTCCATCGTATTCACAGAACTGCTGGCGCGCATCCGGCAAGCAGGAGACACTTCAGACGGCAGTTCCTCTGGCTCCGAAAGCGCCGACCTGCGCTACGGATGCAGCGCATCAGAGCCCTACAGCAAAGTAGATACAGACCTAGCCCTCCAACTCCTGTCCTGCAACATGAACGTAAATAACATGTACAAGCGTCTCTACATGGAAATGCGGACGCGCAGCTGGGAAATCGGAAACGCACACGTTCTTCCAACCCTATCGCTCGAGGGTCTGCAGAGCCTCGATGTCGTGATGCGTAATCAGGTGCTGTTACATGTTTGTCTGTTGAATTTTGCGAAGATCCAGAGTGAGTTCGAAGTTATTAGGGGTAGGGGGTACTTGACGCCCACTGCGGAGAAGACGTTTCAGATTGTAATTGGAGCGAGTAGGAACAGGGCATTGAGTGATGGGCTGGGGATAGAGCAGAGTTTGGAGAACTTCAGGCAGATGCTTGTTGATGGGGGTATCCTGTCGCTGTGAAGGATGTTGTCTTTGGTGTATGAAGGTGGTATTGCTAGCAATGCACCGCATGGGCTGGACTGATGGGATTGCCTGGGTCAATCGAGTCCTTGACGTTATTTATCATCTCATTTTACGACATATATCATTCCCACCGAGCTCCAGGAACTATGTAGTCTCGCTTTACTGGTTCATCAATATGAACAGCTTAGAAACTGCCCAGCTTTTCCGAGGGAAGTGAACCATAACACGTAAATATGCTGATTAGTTATTCCTTACTTGCACTAAGACCTGGTTTCAGATGAAGAGCCGCATATTTTTAGTCTTGACGCACCTTACTTCAGCGCATCGCTGATCCCGAACACGTATCCAGACTTCCATATACAAATTACCTCACCATCCGCTCTGGGGGCTGATAGATATCAAACAAAGTAAAGATTCTGCATCATACCCAAAATCCAACCTACCAGTTCTCAGAAAGAACCATGTCTGGGCCACTCTCAGAAACACAACTGTCATTAGGCCTAGAGCCAAACGAGATCCTCAGTAGACCAATCAAGATTCAATCAAAAATGGCTGAAGTATACATAAATCAGATCAAAAATAACCTCTCGAATTGGTTGATTTGATTGATTCCAAATCTGGTTCTGAGGGTGAAATAGATGGGCTATGTAAAACATCTTCGAGCCCCTATAGAGTAATGTTCACGTTGAAATCTGTTCAGGTAGGCGAGAGCTATATGGGGTACCACTCGGCAGTGGTTCGAAATTAGGAATCCATTCATTCACTCTTCGTCTTCCCGCTTCAGCTATTCTTTTCAGACCAGCAAAACTTGAACATTACAGTACCGTAACTACACTTCAAGAGAACCATGTGACATGGATTACGGAACACCCCTAGCTCGAATTTGATCGCACTAGAGTATCCTCTAGATCTGCTACCGGACACTACATAGCATGGAGGCAGGGTATCATGGAGACTTTGCATCACGCACCAACTCGACCTATCAGATGCAAGGTTCTCAAAATACCATCATCCACCCATCTCTACCTATCATTATCAAGCGCACTGATTTCACCTGGCCACTATAGCCCCAGCCAGTAGCTTCATAAAAAACATGCAGGGCGTGCATATCACGATTCAGCTCTCCTCCTCACTACCTCCAATCCTCTTCGCTAAGTAAGTATCAAAAATAACCACAGAGTGTCAGCAAAATCTCCGCCAAGTTCCTCCCTTGGCGCTTCCTCCCTGGGGTCCTTGGCGCATCGAAAGTGCAACCGCGGCTTACTTCGAAGGAATAGGATTTGTCTCGGCAACCCCGATATCTGCCGGTCAGCCGGGGGACAGTTACACAGCATGAGGCTTATGGTTTGTGGGAAAGTGGAGGCTCTTCTAAGCGGAGCGCGCTATGCGCGGAATAGGTGGAACGAACATTACAGTGTGTTTTGACATTTGTTGTGAACGGGAAGATGGATGGCGACATCAAGGATTATGTCCATTAGAGTACTGCGTTGGCAACATAGATAGAAGCCATGTAATATCTTTTTTCCGGGGCCAATGCGGGATCGGCGGAAACGACATCGGATCTTTATGGAAACTCGTCATCCAATCCGCTAGCATTCTGATGATATATTCCGGGACTTTACAGGCAAAGACCTGGTAGTATCGCCAGATGATAGAATACGCGATCTGGACACCCATCTCGGCTTCAGAAAGAGGGGTAATAAGCATCGCTGCTTCTATTCCCCATCTTATCCTTATTGATGTGAAAGATTCCTGGTGCACTACTTGCAGAAATTCTGGGAGACGATTATTTCACAAAGGACTCATCTAGATCCGCGAAGGATAGATTTTCCGTCCACTCGGGTATCCGTAGCTTGCCTCCCAGACTGGAAGACTTACTAGCTAGGAAGCCGTAAAGCGCGAGCAGGCAATTGATTGTCATAAGACTCGCGCAGTTTTTGAGATTATCTGGCTTTAAGTAGCTGAGTACCTCTGAGTTCGAGATATGAGCCTACGCAATCTGTTGCAATCCCTCAAGTTATATCGTAGTTATGATGAAGTCTACATTCCTCACATACGGTGCGATAACTGCCTCAACGTTTTGTGTTAAAAGTTGAACTAACATCCATCCCTAGGTGACGCAAAAACTCACGTACTATACTAATCCTATAGGTTGATAAATGTACAGATTTGTATACTACTCATATCCCTATAGCGTAGTATAAGCTATTTTACAAACCTTTCTCTGTACTTTTAAATTTCAGGAAGAAAAGATATGTAATTCTAAACTCTACTATCACTATTTGTGTTTTCAATGAGATAAAGTTGAACATTTACGAGTAAAAAAATATCTATATTAGTAAATTTGATATCGATGAGTGGAAAGCTTATACGCTCAATCCTTGATTAAATAGACGCAACAATCTCATTCTCCTCCAACCATCTCCCTATCGGCTTTATTGACATAAACTAAGATACAAGCATCCTAGCACTTCCGTAAACAGTCGCAAGAGTGCGCTCTCAGGCCTCCCCAAAAACTCAATGTTCAGGTCTTGACCGAGTCGACCAAGCCACCTTCCCAATTAGTGTCCGCATCTGCTGGTGGGTGTCTACTGCTGTTCTCCCTCCATCCTATAGCCTCCTTGTCTACAGTCTTATCTCCTATGATGCTAGCATAGGCTAGGGTCCACCTTATTGTCACTAGCCAGCCTATATTCTAGTATCTTTACCTATTCTGCGATGTTTGCGAGAATGTATGCTCCTGATCAGCCCTCAGCCTTGACCACGGAGTAGATAGCTATCTTCTGCCCCTCACCTTCTCGCCGATCAGGTTAGGTGGGGTGTGCAGTTCACTGGTGGAGCAGGTTATAGATAAGGCCGGGTTACTAGGAAGTTAAGCAGAAGTTAAGTCAGGTCTTACATAAACCTTACCCAACCCAACTTCCACCCATACCCACCTATCATAGTAGATAGCACACACTAGTTCTGAAGATGATTAAACACAGTAGAGTAGTTAGCTTGTTTGTAGGCGCGACTCACTTATAGAACGCGATATATTAGAGAAATATTGATACAAAAACATGCCAGCAGCCAACCATCGTAGAGTCCAGATATTTGAGCAAAGTCTAAGTACATACAGTAGTGCAGTTACGTCATTTAATTTACTAGGCATTCATTTGATTGATTTTCTCCCATGCCCTGTCGTTCGTCGACAGCAAAACCCAGTAATTTCCGTGGTGGTCTTTTCCCTGTATATGAATTATACCAGGCAGTGCAAGCTGCGGATGCGTTACATTGAGACACCATATCGGTTTCCCGCTTGGTGTGTCTGTATTCTGAGAAGCCAGTCCTCTCTTAACAACAGCGGGCTTGAAGTCAACAGCATCTTGGAAGCGGGCCCTAGAAACATTGGAGACGGTGAGAAGAAAACCACTAGGGTCTGTATATAGAGGCAGAACACCGCTCTTAGAGTAACTTTGATACTAAAGCCGCATTAAGGATTGTAGTTGCGGCTTTTCAAGATGTTGATCAATAGACTGGCGGAACAGTCCTGCAGCGTATCCTAGACTCCGGCCTAGAAAATCCTGTACCGTGGTCAACGTCCAAGCATGGACCACTAGATTGGATACGTATGCCTTCCTTGGATTTATTATGGATTCTGGTACGCGACCACGGGGATCGACTGCTGATCCAATGGCAAGTGGCCGACGAGACGATAGAGACATGTGGGAACAGACCAATCGTATTAGCCATGTTGTTATGATTTCACTGTCGCTCAGATTAAGAGAAGAGTTATCCTCGTAAGCTTCTTCTCGCAAGCGTGTAACAAAAACTGCTGGCAAAACTACCGTCCGCTGGCGATTGCACGGACCGAAGAGAATATCGGCAATGAAGCGGCACATGAAGAGAACGGTTGAGAACCCTCTCAGCATCTTATACTCTAGGAAGTAGGGTTCCTCTTGTTGAGACTCTGGCATACTGCTAAGACGATAAGCTGGATCGTCGGCTGGATCGGCCATGGGCGACACAGTACCCGTATCACCTTGCAAAACTCTTGACCAGTTCACAACCAACTCACGCATGCCCATGCCATCAGTCAAGCAATGGAGTAAGGTCAGTGTAACGAAAGTACAATCGGAAAAGGTAATTATATGTAATGTCAGAGCTGGCCGATCAGTCGAATGGAAATAGCAAAAGCCTTTGGGAGCATCTGGCCCAGCTAGTTCTGCACAATGGTTCTGAGGGATGTCCAGGATGTAGGGGCACGCCTAGTCTTTTGGTAAAGCTTCAAATAACGAGTGTTCCAATATGCTCTTGCTATACGCCACCTTTGTTAAGTGCACAGCAGGGCGATCAGATGTGAATTGCTGAGGAATATGCACGTCTACCCGACCGGCCGCCTTCATTACATGACTGTTAGCATTACAATTCTCTGAAAGGTTTCATGCACATTAGGTACCATACATTCAATCTAAGGCGACCACCAAGCTTTCGCCAATTTTCCATCTCAATTAGACCTCGCAGTGATTCATGTAATTTGTCTGCATCCAACACATCGTAGAAGCAAATCGACCATGTCATGAACACTATCCATATGTAAGCCATGGGCGCATCAGGGCATCGGTCGAACAAGGTAATTTTGGACGTACTGTTTCGAAACAATGGTGAACTATCTATGACACGCAGCACGAAAACACTATCAGATTGTATTTTCTTGCATAGATGATATCTAGCTTACTATTGTCGGGTCTTCACTAGGATTTAACACATGAATTCCCACACCTCATATCTAGTTGATGTACAGTTCTCAAGTTCTCGCTACTTTGATCTGTATTACAATCTATCCGACTAGCCAGTTCACTTCGCCTCAATGTCAGGAACCCTTATCAGCGACGTGCTTTTCCGCACTATAACTTGCAGACCGCTGCATCCTACCTTCGGGGCTGAAGTGGTTGGTGCCCATTTCAACAACATGTCAGAAGAACAGTTGCAAGAGATTAAAAGTGCAATGGCCAAAGTACGCTTGATGTGTTGTGTTATTTTGCAATTGCTAATATATTACAGTATAACGTGCTTGTGTTTCGCAAAGCAAACTTGACTGATGAAGAGCATATTGAGTTCTCCCGAAGGTTTGGCGAGTTAGACTATGTTAGGCGCTCTGTAAAAAAGCAGCGCTTGAAATATTTTGAGCTGTTTGACGTCAGCAACATCGGTGAAGACGGCAAAATCGTAGACCCTGAGTCACCCCGTGCGTACTTTAGCAAAGGCAACTATGTGTTCCACAGCGATGGTACCTTCAACCGGCAACGAGCAAGCTGGTCAATCCTACGTGCTGTACAGCTACCTCCTCCAGGTACTGGTGGGCAGACCGAGTATGCAGATAGTCTGGCCGCATGGGACGATCTAGACGAAGATTTGAAACATGAATTGCTTGAAAGGGACTTGATTGGTTGCCATTCGCTCTTGCAACTTCGTAAGCTTGGAGCCCCTGAGTACTTTAAGGATGTCAACCCCTGGAGTTCGCCCTTTATGCGCTTTCGAATCGTTTCGACCCACGAACCGTCTGGACGCAAGACTCTCTATGTCGGCAACTACCTTCACCACCTCGAGACTCGCGATGGCACGCCTCTACCAGAAGAAGAGAACGAAAGACTGATGAAGAAACTGATTGGACAAGTGACACACCCAAAGAATGTGCTGTCAGTAGACTGGCATGAAAATGGAGATATGATTGCGTGGGACAACATTTCAACATTGCACCGTGCTACTAGAGGCAGTTTCGAGGGCAAACACTTTCGCGATATGCGTCGAACAACCGTCAAGGATAACAGCAAGGATGCTTGGGGGCTAAATCCGCGGGATGAAATGGAAGGTCAGAACCTCTCTGCACCTGCTACGGGGAGTTTCGGTTCATATTTCTCTTCCTGGGTCCCAAGTGTTACAGGTAACAAGAAAGATTCTCTTCCTGACGCGGTACAAAAGGTTGAAGGCTGAGCACCGTATACGTCAGAAGGTAATGATCACCGCGGGGCAGTGATCACTTGACGTGTCATTCCCACCAAGGAAGGGATGGCAGTAAGGTAATGGGATGGACATGCCATCACAACCATCCTATAGAAGCGTTCTCCTGGGGAATGAGCGGAACAGCAGGACTAGAAGCAATAAGGATTCAAGAATACATAGATTTTATCATCGCTTGTTATAATAAACTTAAGTTTTCTTTTGTTACCAGTTACTTTACTTTCTAAGACTGCCCCTGATCACTCTCTACGAATTAACTAGTGGTTTCTAATAATGATATTTATATTGTGGTGTAGTACCACGTAACCAGCTCATAGTATATATTGCGATTTTCTTTCATACATGAACAGGCACCTTTTTCAATCAACCTTTTGAAGCGATGAAATATCAGCTTACTTCTATCTACTTGATTGCGTGTCACATCTCTGATCCTTTGAGCTCGATCACGTATCATGCCATAATATATAGAATTAAAATAAAAATTATATTCTGGAAGTAGTACAAAGGTTAGAGCTTCATAGATTCAAATACTTTAATTAATCTTAGTTCAATAATAGCTTAATTAGAGTATTTATTTTTCTCGTTTCTAGATCCTAAGTTAGGTTCATAAGACATGTACTATACTCGTTCTTCAATGTTCCAAGTTCTCTCTTCCTATTTACACTAAAGCTATTTCTTCAGTGTTTATATAATTTGTCATATTATTCCATCTATGTACTAAGAATAAAAGAGAAAGAAGATAATACAGAGTTTTTGAAGATTATATATATAATAGCTCTACAGCCGATATCTTGTTTAGAGACCTTTTAGAAAAGGTAACATGTCTATTCTTTCATCGTCTGGGTAGGAGAAGAGGAGCTAGAATCAAACCAATGACCTCTGCTGCGGGCGACGGCACGGGTGTGAACCAGATACATCCCCCAACACAACGGTCCCCTTCTTAGCTTCGGAATGGGATTAGAAGTCTTTACCTTGCTAGGTCTTTGTTCTGGTTTGGAGCAAAATATTGTCATCTAAACGCTATCGAAGATGAAAAGCCAAGTTTTGGACAGGTGCACAAGAGGCAAGACCAGCTGCACAGTCTTGACACTTTGTTGATTTTCGATCAAAAATAAAAAATCCTCTTAGTTGATATCGTGTTTCTCTTGGATGCTAAAACTGTTTGTTAATCCCGTACTGTTGGTGACCGAATCGCCTGAGTCTTGAAAAGTATGATGGGCAATTTAAAGAAATGTATAGTATTGCTTCCGACGACACGCGCGTGAGAAAAGAGTTTCCGGGTCTCTCGGAACATGCGGAATCTGTTGGCTTCCACAAATTTAGGGAATCGAAACTCATCATTTGCTTCATGGAAAGTTGATACCGCTACCTTCGAAGATGGGGCTCACAGCCTCTTTCAATCGCTCTCCTCATCTATTCATACCCCTCACTCTTCGCATTATGACTCGGCTTAGTCCCCAATTTCATCACGGGGCTATTAATAAAATTGTCCAACCCATCATGCGTAAAGAAGCTCTGCGCTTTAGAAATCTGCACCTCATTCGCCCCCCGTTTCCATATACTCTCATCATACGCTGTAATCGCATTCTGTAATGTTGCGCTGCCAGTTTGTACGCTCTTGATAGCTTCGACAAGGCAGTGGGCAGAGTAAAAAGCATTGTTGGCACCTTGACCGCGGTGGAAGGTCATGGCGTGTGCTGCGTCGCCGCATAGCGTTACACGCCCGTCTTGGTTGTTCCAAGGCACTGTTTTCCAAATCTTAAGCTGATCTCGCAGTACGTTGGTATCATCAGGTATCCACTCGATGGCGCTGTTGTAAGGTTCCGCCCAGCCGTCTCTCTTGATGTGCGCTTTTAGTCTTTGTAATCGATCATCTTCATTGTCGTGGTCTTCAACGTATTTGAGCGGCCAGGTGGAGAGAATTTGGAATGTCCAGGTACTGGCATCTTTTTCATCAGGCATATCGAGCACATTGGCGCGGATGTAATGGCCAGCCGGATGAATGGCAATGTCTACAAGGGGATGAAGGCGCTCTTTGATAAACTTTGCTTGCTCAGCGGTGTAGGAAGCGTTAAAGTTCATAAGTGCGAACGGCAACGTTTCCATGTTTCCCTCTTTGGGGAGCAAGCAACGCCGGACTTTGGACATGGCACCATCGATGCCAACGAGCAAGTCGCCTTCATCCGTTGATCCGTCTTCAAAGTAAACTTTCACACCGCCCTGCTCTTTTACCTCGTAGTGCGAGAAACTCTTCCCATACTGGACATTTAGCCGTTCTGCTAGCAAGACACGTAACTTTCGGATGTTGATCTCTCTCGCTTTGGGGATCGGGAACGCAAACGCTTCTTCCCGGGTCTGGCCATTGTAAATCACAATACGATCTTCGCCTATCGCTGCGCAGTCCACGTAAGGATCGACTTGACACGAGTTGATCTGCGCGCTGAGGTCACCGGGTATGAGGTCAAATAGGTATGGCCGTGCCCAGCCAAGGGTAAATGCCCAATGGCGGTGTCGGTAAACATCTGCGCCCTTGTCGTATATGCTGAATGGAACCCCGGCTTTTTTAAGACCATGCGCAAGTGCACATCCAGCCGGTCCTTAGACCATGTAAGCAGAGTTTCGGCGGTATTATCATAGTGGTCATGTACCTGCTCCGATGATGATCACTTTCATCGCTGTGTCGATGCTACCCATTGCACCTGGCATCAAGCGGCGCACAGGGACTTGGGCGTGTAAATTAGGAAGCTGTAGTTGAGGATGCAGTACGACAGGATGAGGGGTGCTATTTTGAAAACTTGTTACCACAAAGATATGCGGAATGAAACGTCCCCGTAGCTGGGGTTTCTCATATATAACGGACCCTGAGGTTGGAGCCGGACCCTCTGCTAGTGCATGTTGATGCAACGGAGCGGGAGCGGCGTTTGAGGGGCGTCAACTGATCGGTTCTCCTCTTCGTCATTGCCGCATGCCGAACGTAGCACCTTCGGAGAATATTAGTATCTGGATGATATACTTGATGATGTTTGGTATAGTGCTGAATTTGTTTTCAGAATCGTAGCACGTTTTGACTAGTCTGTTCGAACTATTTTTGTATGAATTGAAAAACAAATTCGATATACCTAAAACAAGAAAAAGCCCAGCACGCTGTTCATTCCATGTCCTCGTAGATATTCATGCTTACGGCATGGCATACAGCGGCTCTAACAATTTCTCGCACAATCTCAACCTCATCCTCGTTTCTCGGTGCGTACACCATGATCCAGCTCGGAGGTGCTATCCATGTCACAGGGAAACGCTGACCCCAGCCTCGTTTCATGACCAGCTTCGCATCCTGGGGACTAACATAAACGTGTAGCGAGTTTTCTGCAGGGTGAACATGGGCGACTTCGTAGAAAATCTTGTGTGCGACAGGATTGATAGTCTTGACGCCTTCTTTTACATAGATAGCAGGACCAGTACCACCCTCAGTTTTGCTTGGTCGAGTGTCAATATACTCGTTGTAAGGAGCAGTGCTGGCAAACTCTTGCATCAGATTATGAAGTGCAGCGGATGCGCCTGCTGTAATGTTTTCTGGGACTTGGCGCTGAGGAAGTGTCCATCGTGTAAGTCCTGGCCGGGGTCCCTGTCTGTTTTGGACCTTTTCTGGCTTGAGGTATGATTCTCCAGAATCAGGAATTGGCGATGGATCCAAAAGATTTTGTCGCGAGTAGAGTAGATAGAGTCCCCATCGCCGGATCTTGAGATAGCCTTGCAGTGTTGGTGGAGTGCCGCCAGTGCCTGTCAGTTGTTAGTTGCCAACTTTTGCGTGGAGCGAGATGTCGTCACCAAAACTCTGCCAGCTCTTGAAGTCGTACCAAAAAATCAATCCTGCTGCCGTGATACCAGCAAGAAGATATCGAGACGCCATGATCAGGCCGGGTAAACAAGTGTGCCGCGGGGTAAATTGGACACTATCTGCGGGCGCAAAGGGCGTAATGCCTGTATAATGCCTTTGGTGGCTGGCATAACAGTCTCTCCCGATCAGGGAGATGACCCGGTCGAAGGATTCTTGAGGGCTTGGGGTGTGGAAAAGAGCGGGGATGCAGCGTCGGAAGCCTAACGGGAGGGCTAATGCGGGTGACCCTCGGGTCCCCTCAGATGGACCCAATAACCCCGTCTCTGATCCCCACTCGCAACACCACCAGCACGTCATCAGCCAGCATGCCACGATACGCACGCGATATTCCACGTTTTGGAGATGGGGCAGATCCCTGTGGCCCTGCTTGATCACCATGTTGTTGTACCAGTGTTGCACTCCAACATTGGCGCCACAGGGTTGCAAAAGAACATCTCTGGCTCGAGATCAGCATCTGCCGTTTCAAACATTTCTATTTCCACTTCAGCCATGAAACATTTGCCAAAAGACGCCTTAAGTTGAAGGCCATCCGCAGTCTGTATCGGGTCAACCGCACCGAAAATAAGTGCTGGATAAACACATGGTACTTTGCCAACGCTGCAGCGCTGACCAGCATCGACTGCCCCCGGTCACTGAGCCGCATTCACCTATCCAATCGAAATTCCAACCACCAACTATTCCCCCCAAGTCTCCGCAGCGCCAGAGGATCCGGGAACGAAGTCAAGAACTGCAGAGACCAGAGTTTCGCCTAAATCCCACTCCGCTGCGAGCACATTCATCCCCACCTCCGTCAACACCCCTTCCACAAGTGCCCTCAATCCCGGCCCACCACCGAAAGTTATCATATCAACTTCTACCCTCTGTAGAGTTATACCGGCCACGAGATAAACCCCGAGAGCTAAGCCTACCGCGAGGACGGCCATCGTCCCGATTTCGAACAGTCTCACAAGCAGCATCCACCTCAACCACATCAATAGCATCCTCGTCCTCCTCAGTCTACTCGACGCAATCCTCGCTCTCCCAAATAAAACCCCGGGCAGAAACTCCCCAGTCCAACCGCTCAACCATCATGTCGATCCCGCCCGCCCTCCAGCAACAACTGCGCCTCCTCATCCGCGCAAACCACATCCTCCACCACCACGGCCTCGTCGACGCCTTCGGCCACATCTCAGTCCGCCACCCCTTAAACAAAGACCAATACATCCTCGCCGCCTACGATCCGGGCGCCCCAGCCCTCGTCAAAAACGCCAGCGACTTCAATTCCTACTGGGTCCGCGACTCGTCCCCCGTCGACAAGGACGCACCCCAAGGCTACAGCGAGCGCTTCATCCACGGCGAAATACTGCGGAAGTTCCCAAAAGCTAATTGCGTGGTGCATTCGCACTCTGAAGACGTGATTCCTTTTACGGTTGCGCATGGCGCGGCACATGCACACCCTGTGCGTCCCGTATTCCACATGGCTGGGTTCCTAGGGCAGAGTGGGGCGGCTGTGTTTACCATGGATCGTCTGTACGGCACGGCGCGGGCGCCGGCGGAGCGCGACTTACTAATCAAGAATGCAGAATTGGGGGAAGCACTGGCTGCCCAGCTGCGCACCGAGAGCCCCGTGGTGTTGCAGCACAAACATGGTTTTACGACGTTTGGGACGAGCATCGAGGAAGCCGTGTATCGCGCCATTTACACGCAGAAGAACTGTGTCTTGTTGCAGCGCGCCATTGCGATTGCAGGGGGTGATGTGGACGCGGTGCAGTATCTTTCGTCTGAGGAAATCAAGGATTGTGCGGTTATGAACAGGAAGACGCTGGATAAGTCGTTTCGGCTCTGGCTCCGCGAAGTCCAGGTGAATCGGCTATATCAGAATGATGAGGGGGAGCCGGAAAAGGGGAAAGTGGCAGGTATGAAGATGTAGCAGTAACTACTAAGTTACGCAAACATGTATTTACATTTTTCATGTCGTTGTTCGTTATATTTACACTTTTTTCTTCTTCTCTTCTTCTCGATGATACATTATGACTATTGCTTAATTTCAATGCCAGGGGATCCCTCACACGCGCTGATGGGTCCAAAGTACCACAAGTGCGAGTTGACGTCTAGTCCAAAGTCTCCCTCGTTTCCGTTGAGATTCAATGTACCAGTGAGCACGTTGATGTCTCCAGTGCCAGGCTGCACGTCGTTTCCGGTGGTAATGTAGTACTCGGGCGAGATGTGGCGGTAGCCCAGGGCCGCAGGAGGGAGCTTTGGCACAGGATCGGCCTTGTGGGTGACACGGTAGTTTGCACCCAAGTTCGTCTGGCTAATGTAACTGCTAACTGCCTCGAGACCGATCTTGGGGGCGCCATAGGTGTAAAGATCGACCGCGATTCCCTGGGAGCGGAGCACTCCAGCGCCCAGGGTTGCAAGCGCACCGCCCAGCGAGTGGCCGGTTGCAATTACTTTGAAGGTTGGGTATTGCTGCCTTGCCTTGTTGATGGCAGCAATTACATTGGTCTGCGCTTCCAGCCAGCTCTGCCAGAAGCCAATGGATGATGCGCATGTAGTGCAGATGGAGGTATTCTGTACAGGGAATTGGACATTGGTAAGCCAATTGCGTACACTCCTTGATCCTCGGAAGGACAGAACAATGAGCTTGTTGGTCGTGTCAGTTGCAACAAAGCCAGTAACATCTGACTTGATGCTGTTCTCAAACTCGGTGAGAGTATTGGTGTTTGCTGCCTCGACACGAGCACAGTTACCCTGAGGACAGGTAACCTTGGTGTTTGGGCTGTTGTTGTTTCCGAGGCAGTATGCGGCAGCTGAGTACTGGGAGAAGAATTGGAGCTGATCCAGGACGTTTGCCGACACAGCTGAGCAGAGTTAGTCAAAGCCTCAGTCACTGTGCTTCAGATATGCATACCTCTCTTCTCAATCTCGACTGGTGCAGCAGTAACGGAGTAAACCGCACTGAGCAGGAGGGTGGCTATTCCGAGCATTGTAAAACGCTGTGTATGCTTTTACGTGATCTTGTTACGAAGATGGGCAATTGGCTGGACAGCAGCAGCAGCAGCACAATGTAACTTGAGCGAATCAAGAGACTGGGACGAGGAGGAAACAATGTGCAACGCCTGGATCACCCAAGCAGTGAGAAAACATCCATTCTATATACGAGGTCCTGAGTCCCTCAGAGTCATTCTGCTAAGTGGTATTGACGGCAAGTGGATAGCCGTGATGGTGTACAACCCCGGTCAGTGATCGGCATCGGTCAAGACCACACCACGCGAGCTGGGGTCGAGTAGCGCCCTGTCAGGGATACAGGGAAGCAGACTTTACTAAGGTTAGACGTTTCGCCGTTGCTAGGTAGCCGCTGGAGAACCTCGTGCCAGGTACGCCAGGGGCCACCATGTTAGTGCCATACTCAGCCTCGTGACCGTCTTTGTACGAAAGCGGAAGGCCATCGTATGCACGCTCAGGTTTCTGGGTAGAACACTGACAAGATTCGGATTCCGAGGCCATATCCAAGCTCCACCAAGCCACTTGGCCGCGACATCGAGTCTAGAGTCAGTGACATGTCTCGACACATCACTGGTGGCTTTTCCTGCACGCGAATATTGTATGCATAGTACAGCACGCCGAACGCATGCACGGATATGGGCGCTGTGTAGCTCGCGGCGCGAACGACAGTTTTGGGCTACTATCTGTTCCCAAGAACACAAGTTTCCAATAAGTCAATAGGTCAAGAATCAGCATTCGCGGACAAAGTTCGACCTAGGCGGCCGTACCCAAGTTTGTGAGTTTGCAGGGTGAAGAGCCGGAAGAATTATTCTTTTCTGAAACGCAGAGCTAAAAACATACCCTCTTGACAAATCGTTATAGCAATAAAAGCCTGGGTTCTGCCTCGCACGGTGTTTCACACTCAGGTTACTGTGTATGCATGAAAACGCTGTGGCTGAGTAAACAGGCCGTCTGTATTGGGGGCCAAGAGGAGTTCGCTAGCATTTTCCCAACCATGGACGATGCGGGGTAAACAGTGGTGACGTAGTGGGCGTAAGTGGAGAATACGCTGATAATAGCCAACAGTCTCGACACCACCACAATCAAAACAGTCCGAAGCGTCGACTAATAGGCACAAGAGGTTGCCGGATTGGTGTAGGCTGGACTAGACGACGTTCGGTGTCACTGCTTGTTACAGTTAGTGTTTCGGGACTTTCGCGGGGTATTCAGCGCCGCCTGACAAACTGTGGCTCATGCATCCACAACAGGAACATGCCACACTGCTCCGATAAGGCGTAAGGTACCCGGAGTCAGCTGTCAACGGACATGTACAACAAAGGGGAAACAGTTGGTAATCATCTTGGTAGCAGCGATTTCGATTCATGTATTTACTGCCGCCATAGATCGAAGCTAGTCGCTAAAGGTACCATTCTCCGTTCACCTCGAGTCGTGAAGTGTGGGGGAAAAACGGACAACGTGGAAAAAAACCTGAACACTAGTGCTAATTACCGTAGGGTGGAGACGGCAAGTCGTCGGCAAAAAAAGAAAACTACCGCTCTTTTGTGCCTGAACGTCGCGAATGTGCCATCGGTTGCGTGCATGCGGCCCTTTGTGCCGTTGGATGCGCGGAGTTACTGCGGAGGCACGAAAGGGTTCACGAGCATTTCGCTGAATCTGGAAACTCGTTTAGTATGATACTTCTCAAGTCAGCGCGTAGTTACCCACTTCTCAAGTTTTTCTTTGCCTCGCACTTCCTCAACCAACAACGGCATCTTGACCACGTTGAACTCATCATACAGTTCTTCGATCTGGTCAAGATACTTCTTCTGCATTTTCCGTCGCGCGTTGCATTGCTCGCAGGGATTGCTTTGCTTGGGAAACAGCAGCTGGTTGACGACAATCGAGTGTGTATCAATCTCGTAGCTGTTGAGTTCTTGAATCATGCGCTCCGTCTCGTACAGACTAAGGAACTCGGGAATGCACACACAGACAAATGTTGTAAGATCGGCGTCCTTGAACTGGCCGTTGACCTCACCTATCGTCTCACGTAACGCCTCCATTTTCTGAATCAGCTCATCCATGTTCTGTCCGTTTGGTAGTCTACCCGACGAGCCAAGGAAGGAATTGAGCATGGGTCCAAATTGGCGGGACAGCTGTGAGACCTTGGAGAGGGCCTTTTCCATGACAGTGGGGAACTGGAGGAAGCGGAGCGTGTGTCCGGTGGGCGCCGTGTCGAAGATGATGACTTCGTACGACATGGACTTGACCTGCTTCAGCACTTCGGCAAACGACATGGCTTCGTCTACACCAGGTATCTGTCCGTAGCAATCAGTTATCCCCGTTTTGCTTTACTTGGCTGCGGGCTCAAGGGCTTGGTATGGTGTACATACGCTGAATGCGAGGTCCTGCATCATACTGCCCATTCCCCCTAGGCCAGCCATAGGATCCTGACCCTCTTCTGCTCCACTCGCCAACAAATCCTGTATACTGCCGTTGGGATCAATCTCCATGGCGCTGAGGTTATCGAAGCCATTGATGAGTCGCGCGTCCTTGCCAAACTTTTGGTTGAAGGCATCCGATAGATTGTGGGCGGGGTCGGTGGAGATGAGGAGGACTGATCTGCGATGCTTTGCGAGCTGGATGGCGAGCGAACACGATGTCGTTGTCTTGCCTACACCACCTTTTCCACCAACGAATATCCACCGAAGTGTCTTCTGGTCGAGGATAGACTGGAGTGTTGGCGCCATGTCGGCATCAATGAGCGCGGTCGAGGCCATGATTGCGATATAAGTCAAGCGGGCGCACTGAGATGTGGGATCGAGGGGTGCAGGTGGTGCAGTGGTGGGAAGTGGGAAGTGGGAGTCTGTTGTGAAGGCGGTCGATGCCACTCAGTAAAAGACCGGGCTACAAAAGAATGTTCTCGAAGCACTGCACAACACACGCAGAACTCACCTGGACTACCAGCAGTAGCGCCGAAGCAGTGCAAATATCGACGTTGTTGTTGGTTATGCTCAAAAGCTCAAAAGCCAAGAGAACCAAGTCACCATGACAAGGTGCGTCACCCCGCAGCCGCCGCCGCCGCCCTCGTGCGCTTCGCTAGTAAGCTCTCCGACGCGCCAATCACCTATCCCTTCACGTGAAGACCTTGTCCTTGCAAACCTCTTGATATTCTCTCAATACTATTACACATGCAGAATGCCAAGTGCACTACACCAGAAATCGCCTTGCAACATCTAGTAAAACTCAACATGCCACCTGCTGACCATGCCGAGGATGGTGAAATAGAATAAAAACATCCGCTGTAATCCGGCTGCACATGCGCCAAAAACACCATATCATGCCCGCAACCCCATACCGAGCCCTTGTCATGCCTTATTTCTTCTTGCCCTTGCCTTTGCCCTTTGCCTTGGTTGCTGATGCCTTGGTCGCCGATCCATTCGTCGCTACACTGCTTGCTCGAGACGGCGTTGCCGAGGCGGGAGAAGCCTTGCTCTTTATAGTGTCCAGTTGCTTGTTCTGCTCCATGTTAGCGGTGTTATTGGGACAAGTAGACCTCTCATCATCTCAACGTACCTTGACACCGTTCTTGGTCTTCTTCTTTGGTTGCTCTTCCTCCTCTTCCTCCGTCTCCTCCTCCTCGTATCCCCGCTTGCCATTCTTGTTCTTGGCATCCCCGTCACCAAGCTCGCGCACAATGGCTGAGATCAGCGTAGTACAACGACGACCAATCTCTTGTGGCGTGCGGCTCAGGAAGAACCAATCAAAGCGGAACAATGGCGACTCCCGGATCTCGTCACGTATCTTCTCGTAGATAAAGTCACCCTCGACACCATGCTTGTGCAGCATGACTACAAGGAACTTGTCTTCATCTTCCGTATACACCTTCTTGTTCGTCGTCGATACCGTGTACTTGATCTGCATCTGCTGAAGGGGCATGCGGTACATGCCAACCTTCTTTGCAATCAATCGCTTCTTCTCCTCTGATTGTCGTACACGTTGCTCGCCCTCTTCAATCACACCCAAGTGCTTCTGCCAGTTGTCTAGCGTCTTGTACTTTTTCCAGAATACCTTGGCGTATGCTTCAATCTCCTCGGCAGTCTTGCCATCGACTTCTTCCGAAATACCCTCGTAATTCTGACGGCCATACTTTGCACTGCCGTTGAGGAACTGCTGGAAGTCACGCTTGTTCCACTCGGGGAAACCCTTTTCAATCAGTCGCTCTTTCTCCGCCTTTTCCTCTTCTGTCAATGGCTCCGCGTTGTCAATCTCTTGCTGTGCAAGCTGTTGGTCAGCCTCGCGAGCCTCGAGGTCCTCATCGGAACCCTCCGGAAGGGGCGCCTTGAGATTGTTCTCCTTCCGATACCATGCTGTTTCCTTGTCTTGTAGTTCCGCAAGACGTTCTGGGAAGAACTGGTAGTCATGAATGACAATCTGCTTTGGTGCGCGAGGTATCCTGGGTTGCTTGTTTTCTGTTCGGCCGCCAGTGACAAGAGCTTTTCGGTAGTACGAGTCGATACCGTAGTTTTGTTCCTTGCGCTCACGCTTTGATGGGTTGATCCAAGAGATTCCAATTTCCTTCTTGCGGGGCTGGAACGTCTCGCCATTCCATTCGTACGTCGAGTCGGATGTGAACTTTTGAAGGTCATCGAGACCGAGCGCCTCGTACCTCTTGTTCAGCTTCTCAGTCATCTCCTCACCACGACGCATGACGGCGTCAAACTCCTCATCTCCGAGTTCGCCGCTAGCAGCTGATCCAACAGGGCCCTTGCTCTGGAACACTGCCTCTGCGCCATGCTGGATCATGGTCAAAAGTTCATCTTTGGACGCTGCATTCTTCACAGGCTGTTGAGTGCGGCCCTGCTGAATGACTAGTTGATCTAGACGTAGTTTTTGTGCCGCGCGCTCGAGCACCTTTTCTTCAATAGCCATCTCAGTGACAAAGCGGAATACATATACCTGCTTGGTCTGACCGATACGGTGTGCGCGGTCCATGGCTTGAAGATCGGCCTGTGGATTCCAGTCGCTATCAAAGAGAACGACGATATCGGCAGTAGTCAAGTTGATACCCAATCCACCAGCGCGCGTTGTTAGGAGGAACAGGAATTTGTCCGAGCCTTCCTTGTTGTAGTCGTCAATCGCTTGGATACGGTCCTCGTGTGCGGTTGAACCGTCGATACGGCAGTATTTGTAATCGCGCATGACGGAGTAATCTTCCATGATATCCAAAACACGACTCATCTGGGAGAAGATGAGCACACGACTGCCTTGGGCCTTCATACGCTTCAGCAGCTTGTCAAGCATCACCATCTTGGCGGAGTTAGTAACCAGGTGCTCGTCGGTAGTGTATGGAGGACCGGGCTCGGCGCCTTCGAAGAGGTAAGGGTGGTTGCAGCACTTTCGCAGCTGCATGACAATGTTGAGAAGGCGTGTTTTGGACTCCTTGTTTCCAGCACCGCCATTGACTGCATCAATGTCCTTTTCGAGAATCTTCTTGTACCACTGAACCTGCATGTCTGACATGCCTACGTAGAGATTGATTTCCTTCTTGGGCAGCAGTGACTTTTCGACGTCGGCCTTGACACGGCGGAGCAAGAAGGGCCGAAGAACCTTGTGTAACTGCTGGACGACTGCATCGGAGTCCTCGTTTTGCTGTGAAAACCAGTCGTCAAAGGCAGCTGAGTCACCAAACACATCTGGAAGAAGGAAGTTGAGCAAAGCCCAAAGTTCGTGGAGGTTGTTTTGAAGAGGGGTACCGGTAATGAGCAGCCGGCTTCGCGAGTTGAACATGCGAACCATCTGTGCAAGTGACGACTCCTCATTCTTGATACGATGCGCCTCGTCAATGATGATATACTCCCACGCAAACTTTTTCAGGTGCGACTTCTCGCGCAAGATCATTTCGTAGGATGTGATACACACGTCAAAGCCATCTGGGACAAGGCGGTCCTTGATGAGTTCGGCACGATCATCCTTGCTACCCTGTAGCACCAAGACGTTGATTTCAGGGCACCATTTGGCAAACTCGCGTTTCCAGTTGTCCAGGGTCGACTTGGGCACTGCGACCAGATGGGGTCCAGTGATGCCGGCGATATACCGGAGGTAGCCGACGAAGGAAATAGTTTGTAGTGTCTTTCCCAAACCCATCTCGTCAGCCAGGATACCTGAAATACCGTTTTCGTGCAACGAAATCAACCAGTTGAGACCAGCGATCTGGTAGTCACGCATTGTGCCGCCTTGAATGTAGCCTGGTGACTCGCGGAAAACTGTCTCGTTGTGACCGCCATGCTTTTCCTCGCGCACCAACTCGGCGTCTTCCTCTTGCTCAGTCTTGCGTCGACGCTCGGCAGCAGCGCCGCCTTTGCGAATCTTGTTGGCCTTTGACTTGCTGCTCTCTTCGGCATCCTGACGGTCAATCTCGGCGAGAATCTCCTTGATGCGCGGGTTGGGATTTGTGTCGATGAAGTGGCGGAACAGGTCAGTGAGACCAAGGAGATATCGAAAGCGGCGAATAGTGTCGTCTTCCTACAATAATGTTCCCGAGTCAGTCAAGGCGCCTTTGGGACGCGATGGGCCGTTTGATGCTGCGTACCATTGATGCCCTCAAGCCCTCAGCCTTCTTGCCGTACATGGACTTGCGCATGTTCATCTCTTCGGCGCGTCGCTTTCTGCCATCAGGGGGCGCGCTGTCGCCTGCGACACTGTTTCCCCTAGTGTTTGTGTCGGAGTCCTGTAGGGCTGTTAGTTTGTGGACAGAAACCACGCGGCGCGGCAGGCAATTGGTGCGTACTGTGTAGTCTGGGGTATCTAGATTGTACTGCCATGACAACGTTAGCGAAGGTCCAATGTGCAAAGAGGTCGCCTTTCGCAGCGCAGGAAGGCGCCAGGCCAGGTTGCGCTTACTCCAAACTTCTTGAAGCCGCTCATCTTGTCTTCCTGCTGGTCTTGCATGTCGACATCGGAATGCGCCGACACGTCTTCAGAAGATGGCTCTTCGGCCTTTGCAGCGCTCTTCCGCGGCATATTGCCTGTTTGGGCTGTTCGCCGCGTCGATTTAAAGCCGTCTTGCTGTCGCCGTCGTCCAGAATTTGTGGTGCGGTGTGTGGCGACTGGGCGGGGTCGTGGGAGGGTGCCAGGGACGCGTTGAAAGTGTGTTGGTGCGGAGAGGTGAATGCGCAATATACAGCCAGAGCCATGGGAGAATAATGTCGACGGTCCTTGGCGCGTCTGGACATTTGGCGCTAGTACGCTTGCGTCAATACCCACTACCCCAGCCAGGTACCATTGACGCCAATTGTCTCCCATTCGCCCACCGCCTTCACTCCTACGCGACTCTAGGACTCGCGTTCAATACCCATCACTTTTCGCGACACGTGAAACACAATCCATCTATGAATCGACGCGTGAGGAGAACGCGACTGTAAAATATGACGTCACTCTCACACGTTTGGTAACGATTCAGGTGAATAGAAGTACAGATATATGGAAACTAGACGGTATCAGCTTGCATCTGGCCATTGAAGATTGGTTGCATACACTGTTCTTTCAAGTTCGGCGAGACCTTTGTACTGGGGGAAGATATCCAAACTTCTCGATTTTTTGTAGCTCAAAAACCTCTGATATTCAGATGGTTGTGCTACCCCAGCCCTATAAAAGCATTAAAGACGAGGCTCAGCACCTATTTCCTTCGGAAAAAAAACTTCCCCAAATGCCTACTCTTCCAGCCTAAACTCCGTTCCCCAAGCAAAGCCTATTTTTTCCATGCGACAAATGCTGTCGACTACATACCCTCGATCACGTTCGAATCTCCCACACAAAGCTCGGCAATCTACAAAATCCCAGGAACCCCTTTCCATATTTATCCAACAGTTCCAGAAGCATGTAGAATGATACTGGAGTCCATATCGTAGGCTACTTCATCATGCGTTTACTACACCATCTCCATATCGCTTAGTTTCCCTCGTTTCTGAAAATGTGCAATTATTCGTATAGTTTCTTTTCCCTTTTCTTTTTTTTAAAAAATTCTTACGGTGAAGGTCTTTACCTCCGGTTTTACCGCTTCACAGGGGGACAATATGCGTTGTCCCAGACCACTCATGCCATTAGTGCCGAGCTGTTGAGATTGCTGGGCGGGAAAGGGTGGTTAAGAAGTTTGTGGTAGGGTATGTCAGGGAGAATTTTGAGGATATTGTGGTGTTCGGAAGGGAGATTACCAGGAAATGTGTGTTAAAAATACTTCGGAGGGGGCAGAAAAAGAAGAAAAATAGTCCCGTATTCCCAACAAGTTAATTTCTAACACTACATGACATCAGAAGAGAAGAATCAAGCCCCTTATCACAAAACTGTACCGACTGAATGTATATAAGGATGCCAGAGTCGAATATTTCACTCAAGATACGTATAATACAGGCTCCAAGGCTTCTTGCAAAATACTCGCTTCCCATCCTCCCTCACTCGATACATCTTCCGCTTGACGCGTCCTTCTAAAACCGTCAACATGCGCGCTGCAGCACCCCTTCCAGCTCTTTTGTTTCTTCTATGCGGCATCGCAACTTCATAGTCCAGCGCGATGCCGACCCCTGCCGTTGAGCCAGTCCGCCAACTCAAAGAGAAACCATGCTTAGGGAATGGCGCGACGATTTCACTTTGGCTTCAAGATATGCACGTTTGTGGTTACCTTCAAAATCGAGTATTCAAGGAGGCCTCAATGTTTCCGATAAGGGAACTCTTCTTGGATACGCTTCGGACCGACGGTGTACAAGATATAAAGTATATATCGACGGGAAGGAAGTGGGAATAACAAAAGCTTGTCCATTTTCAATGAATTGCTTGGGTGATATCAGTGAGCGGAGTGCTTATATCACACTACGCAAAGGTCAGCCGCAGATAATTTCCGATCGATTGCGTGCCCAATCTGATAAATATGATAAATGATTTTCCCTGTGGCTAAAATTACTTCTAGGACGTTATGATGTGGTGATCGGGTATAATATGACGGAAGTGCCGTGTCACCCTTTTGGTGATCAAAACATAGTGATAAGGCTATATAAGCAGTGCGAGAAAGAAAAGAACCAAGCTGTGGAGAGGTAAGTTGAGATCGGAGAAAGAAGAAGAAGAATAAGAAGGAGAAGGAGAAGATGACGAGAAGGAGGAGGAGCAGGAGAAAAGAAACAGTACGACTGTATATAACGTCTGGATAGTCGGCACCAAGTCAGTATCATGTAAAGGCGTTTTCAGGTAGTATGGAATCAAGTTTCACAAATATCATTATCGTGAAAACTAAAGCTGCTTCACTTTGAAAACCGTATATCATTGAACCAGCCACAACCTCGAAATCTTCGCTACATATCCCCTTTCCGCAATGCGCTTTTGTAAGATCCTTCTATACCCACGTCGCTACTTCTCAATTATGCCGTGGTTGCTTTTCCAAAAACTAGAAATACACTTTCTGCATTGTTCTATAACTCCAAACTCTAACATCCTGTTACCTGACGCTTCATTGCTACATATGAGCGCATACCGCTTCTTGCAGCACGAGTGACGCAAAGACATCCAGTGCACTGTCTGTATCTGTATAGGAATCAGTTTAGAAGGGTCCAGTATGATACCAAAGCGCATCTTGTAAGCTTGGCTGTACTGCATAGTCTAAGAAGCATTGGCATCGCTTTATTCCTATTTTGATAATACGCTATAGTGTTCCTACTTTTTGTGGAGCCACGTTATGTAGATTGTTGCTTTTGTGGATACAGGCTCATAGTGGCCTGTGACATTTCCTTTGGATACTGACTCTGTAAATGGGAACTTGGGAATGTCTGAATAGAAAAGAGTCCATAAGACATTTAAAAAGACTTTTAGTGGAAGAATATAAATGACGAATCATGTAGAGATATTATCTTCCATTAATGTTCGTAGCAAAGGTTCCGAATGGAAAATGTCCGTACACCGTACCTTTGCTCCCGCATTACCGTGCTCTCAACAAGTTTACTTTTTAAGCGACATCACGGGGTAAAGGACTATTGAACTAGCTAGTATCATACCATAGCTGCGAAACGCACGAGAGTATTTTGGACATTGAAGGAAATCTGAAGGTATATAAGTCAAATGGTTTCTGCACAAGATTTGCTATCATCACCTACTGCAAGATTCATCAGCTACTCCAAACATCTTCTACATCACCTGTTTTCTAAGAACAAACTACCAACATGCGTACTTCAGCTTCCTTCGCAACCTTCCTTCTATGCGGTATCGCAACTGCCCAATTCGGTGCAGATACACTTCTCGGCAGCATGTCAGGAATGACGTGCTCAAACGGCGAGTCAACATTGCCGTATGGCCAGAACTCTCAAAGCTAACATCAGCTCGTAGGCCAAGTTCCCACAATAACCTGCTCGGATCCTGTTCCAGAAATGTGTGGTTGCACGTGCAGCGATGGCGCCATGTTCAGCCACGAGCGACCTTCACACCTGGGACCATCCCCTATCCCGCCGCCACCACCACCACCAGTTGTTGAACCACCCCACCAGCTCACGTAAAGACCATGCACTGGACAAATCCTCCAGTCTTGGAAGCCAGTTGTAGTCAAACGTCAGGCGCACTCAGGCGCAGATTCAGACTTAGTAAATGTATCACTTGAGGCGCCCGAAGACGGTGTCCTTGTGATATCGGACTCACATGGCCGTTGCGAGCACTTTGAAGTATACATTGACGACCAGTTGATAGGAGAGACATCTGGAACTGGTGCTCTGGACTTCTCTGCATGTGGACTTCCAGATGAATGCATGGAGAAAAACGGGGGCCAACATGGGTACTTTGCCCTTCCCAAAGGTAAGCCAGAAATCCAATTCCAAAAGACATGTTCTGTGCAGATTTCTTGAATCTATGGTAGTGTTGGGGCTAACACTTAGTGTAGGTAATTACAAGCTTGGGCTCAAGTGGACCAAGGTTACACCTCAATGCGATAGATCTTCTATTGGAGAGGGCCACTATAAATTCCACCGTAAATGCTAGAGACACAGAGGCAAGGTGGATCAAAGGGAAATTTGGAATAAGAAGAGAAAGTGCGGTGGTATGTAGAGGTTGAAAAAGGAGTACGATGGCAGAAGTGATGAGGTGATAATGGGTGATAATGGAAGTAGTCAATTCAAGAAACACATCTCCCACCAAGGGACTAAGCTGGTGATCTAGTGATTTCCAACATATTTCAGAAACAATCACGTAGTACGTAAGTACCCGGCCAGATAAACCCATTTTGCAAATAAATAAAGACACAGTGGAAATCATCAATGTATATACAAACACGTATACATATACTTATCTGAGATTCGCACCCCCATTGCCAAAATTTCCTCACATCCCAATAGAAAACGACAAACATCCAAGTAACTAAATCTTATTTATCCTGATCTTTCAAGAAAAAAGAAAAAAACTTTCCTCCTCGTCACACACACATATACACAAGAATAAGCTTCTCTAGCACAAGGTACATTTTCTCCACCACGCCCCCTCCTCCCCAGCAACACCTAAACACGATTCCACAGTCCCTGGCATTCTAATACTTCCTCGCAATTTGCCCCTCCAACCCCTCCCTCTCTCTTTTTCTTTTTCATCCACTATTACTAAATAACCGCCATACCCTCAACCCCCTATACTTCCTTGAAATGTCAATGGCAAAACCGCACAGCAAGCGCACCGTATCGAGTAGCAAACGCTGTTTTCACACTTGTGCATTCTGAGATCTTGGAAAGAAAGAATGGAGGGTAATGTCTGGTTATGAATCAAACCCCTCCCCCCCCCCCGTCTTTTTTTTCGGCTAGCTTCGAAAGAAAGAGACTTCCATTTTTCCATTCGCACCTGTTCAGAAGAGGCGTTTAGCATGCATACTCATGGGAACTCCGGTGATGCAAAACCAAGTTCACTTGATCAGTGGTTGCAATGATATGGCATGGATACACGTTTATCCAGTCTCAGCATTACACGTATTTCCAAAGCTACCAAGAGAAAAAAAAATGTAGAAATATAATATTTTCTACCGTTTTAAAATAAATCCTCCTATCCCTACTCCGAATCCCCACATCACCTCCGCAACGGACTTCTAAACCCCACACTCCCAAACTGACTGCCCCCCTTCTTCGGCGTAGTCAACGGCTCCGGCACCTCACTCCCTCCCGCAGCAGCGCCAGCAGGATTAGGCGGAGGATGATGCCTCCCACCCACCGCCTTCCCCCCACTCCCGGGAGCCTTAAACCCCACAAGACTCCCCTTGGCATAAACATCATTAAGAATCTGCTCCAGGACCCCCGCATCATCGAATTCCTGCCACTTGCGCCAGAGCTTGAGAGCGGTGGTGGCATCTTCAATCGAATCATGCGTATTCTCCTGGATACTTTCTTTAAGGACGCACCAGGCGAGGAACTTGAGGTTGAGTTTGCGCTTAAAGTCTGGTTTGAACCAGAGGTTGCTTGTGTCAACGACTTGGTTTTTGGGCACGTGGATGTTGATTGTGCGGAAGTCGTTGGCGAGGGAGTGGCCGACAAAGACGCAGCCAAGGTTGAGGAGGAGCCAGAGTTTCTTGTAGGCGTGCTTGAGTGAGACTGGGGCGTGGGGGGAGGTTTCGCGGTTGAGGTCGCCGGGGGAAATGCCGGACCATTCGGTGAGATAGTCGACGACTTGCTCCGTCACGGCGATGTAGTCGTCGATAAAGGGAAGGCCTGCATGTTCGCCTTCACCACGACAAACGGAAACACGGGCGAGGCCTTTGCGATCTGGACGTATAGTTTGTCGAGTGCCATCAGCCTTCATTTCAATTTCCTCGGCTTGAAGGCGGATAAACTCGGCATCGATGGCGACCGGATAGCCAGGGCGAGGTGCTTCTGTCGCATGATCAAGGAGCTTGAACTTGGTATCTGGAGGCGTTGGATTTGATGACCACCACCTATACAGGATCGATGTGTCCAGGGTGTCTTTCCACGAGTCGTCAATCTTGTTGCGAGCAGACTTGAGTTGGAACGTCAAGACTGACGGCAGCTTCCAACTTGGTTCGAACCGCAAGGCCTCTTCCTTTGGTATTGGTCGTACTAAGAAATCATTGAAGAGATGCCACCTATCTTCTGCATCATCTTCTCGTGACGACGGCGCTGTATTGATGGTCGCCACCAAGTGTGGCTTTTGGTGCTCTCCACTGTTAATGTCGGCAACTACACCAACGAGCTCGTACACCATGATTTGATGCACTCCACGTTGCAGATGCAGCTTCAAGTCCTGGCCTTCAAAGCAGAAGAATTGGCCCTGATCTACTATGATCCCGATCTCTTGCGGCAACCAGTTTGGTATTGACCACAGCAGCTTAGCGTCGTGGCTCTGGATAGCTGCGTTTAGCATGAGTACGCCAGGAACAGACTGTATAGTCTTCCTCTGTATCATTTGCTGGTAGCGATTACATTTTGTACACCAACCTCTAGTTTGATCTTGTCGTTCGACACTCGCCTTTAAGATTTGTGAGAATGTAGGGCGTGGTATGCGTGTGTTCTTCATGACGTGTTTTGCCGGATATACGAGTTCATTGACAAAGTTCTTACCCCCGCGAATCGTCTCGTTGGTGCATTGGGCACACCGCATGCTTGCCCTGGCCTGTGTCTCCAAGACTTGGTCCATGGCCGATGGGCCGGGCTGACTGGGCAGCATCTGTCTAAACTCGTCCGATATCTTCTCAAGCAAGAATCGATTGAGATTTTGAATCATGTTTGTGAGCGCCACATTTGGGGCAAACTCTTCTAGCAGATTCAGTGACACTGCATTAGAGAGTCCACTGAATGTTTTCAAAAAGTTAGAAGCCTGGCAATTTAATCCTGAAGCTTTTTCGAGCATGTCTATCAGGAAACCTAGCTCGCAAAGAAGACATGACTCGAAAAGGCATGGCGATGCGGTGTGCTGTAGCGCCAGGTTGCGAATCAACGGTGTAAAGCGGAGAAGCTGCAAGAGTGGGTTGGCGTAGGAATTTGTAATGTGCGTCTCTAAGCCTGAATAAGATGTTTGATTGTAGTACCTGGATCCGAGTCAGATGAGGAACAAGTAAGCGTAGGTGTTACGGCATACGCGAAGTCAAAGTCGTCTACGCCGAACTTGCTGTATTTGATCTCCACATTTCCGTACATTGCAGGAACATCTCGTCTGGTGACGTCATCAAGGTGTAGATCAGTCAGTTTTTCCATTGTCTCTGATGATTTCGAGTCGGTTTCTGTCAAGGACTGCGAGGCGCGCGTCTTTTCGCTCAAAAACTTGGGTGCCGACAACGATTCGCTCACTTTGTCCGCATGTCGAGTCGCCTCGGCCTGGTTTCTACGCTTGGTTTTGGGATTTTTCGCAAAGAAGCCAATTTCAGCACGCGTCATGTTGTTGAGGATTGCGCTATCAATCTTCGGGGCAGGGGAGCCGACTTCGAATACCAGATGACTAGGCCAGCTTGAGAGAAGTTGTTCTTTGTAGTAGGGCATACCCACGGTGTTCAATGGCCTGATGACTTCGTCAGTAAAGCACTCGCCCCGCCGTTGAATCTACTTACGTGTCCGGATTCCAATCCATGGCTGGGGGCGGCGGGACATTATGGTCCGCAGTCTCAGTTGGGTTGCTGTATTCTGGAAAATGAACCTTGGACGGTGAACCCCATAGATGGATATGAGAATTGGAGTCTGCCAATGCAATAGCCTCGCCCGATGGGGCCATCTCAAAGCCCGTCAGATAGGATTCATAGAGATTGAGCTGGCGAAGATTTGCCGAGTCGGGGTTCATCAGGTCGATAACCTGCATTTGGCCGTTTTGCGATGCGATGAATGCCGTAGTCGACATGCGTGGATGCATCCGGACAAAGGCCGCGCCCGTATGGAAAGGAATCGGGGGTAGTTGCTTCAGCGTCTTGAGCGAAAAGACGTTGGTAAAGGGATCGAGCATAAAGGCGAATTGCTGCCTAGGCGACCAGCCACATGTTGCAAGAAAATCCCCCTTTGCGTCCATGTCACTGATGCTGCTGGTGTGGCCCTCGAAAACTTTGATGACTGATAGCGAGTTGGAATCGATGATGTGAATACCGCCATTCTTGGTCGCAGCGCAGAGGTACTGGCCGGCGCGCTTCATGATTGTGTACTGAGCTTCAGCTGGCAGCTGCATAGGTCAGCCGTGTGCATTGTGGCATGGACCGAACACGTACAGTATCCGTAATAACGCCCTTGTCCACGTCTACCTTGAACATGTGCTCCTGACATCCTGCGACGAGGATCTCGCGCGTGCCCTTTGAGGTAAAGTTCATGCATCGTAGATCTTTGAAGTCGGAGCTTCTATACGCTGGCGATTAGCTGCCGCCCTATTATGGTTGCTTGCGTAAACATACGTCAGATGCCAATGTGTGAGGCCGCGCCGGTGGGAGTAGTGAACGCTTTGCTGGGAGACGGAGAGGATGCCCTTGTCGGTGAAGAGAAATTGCTTGACAGGGCCGTCGGGAGGCGCGTGTCCGCGGTAAGAGGTATATCGTTCGAGGTGAGGTCCGTAAAAGGATGTAACCCGTCCCTAGGCAGTGTCAGCTGCAATGCGCCCCAGGCTGGCCGAGTGTGAACGTACTCACATGATTGTTACCTGTCCACAGCAATTCTTGGGTTGTGTCAAAAGCGAATGTGGATATGGGCACGGCAGGGAGATGGGGTCCTGGGGGCGGCAGTTGAACGATTGCTAGCTATCAGGCTGTCTGTTAGTAATGATGATGATGATGATGAGGTGCTTCGACAGATGAACAGCAAGGTACCTCGTCCCAGTCCGCTTCCATGATGAATATGTGTGTCGCAATGCAGTGCGTCTATGAGACGTCTGCGACATGCCTTGTTCGGCTATGTTTACGGTCGCGTCGCGGGTGGTGCAGCATTAGGACGTGGGGTGGAAGTGGCAGTTGGGGCTAAGGGACGCGAGTGCAAGGGTGCGCCGTCTTGGTGGAGCTGCGGGGCATCTATTTGTGAATAGCCACTACCGCGCGACAGTGTTTGGACGCAATGACGAATGGAAGCATCACGCGATATACCATGAACAAGAGCAAATCATGAACAATTGATTCGAAAGGGGATTTGGCTCGTATGGAGAGCCTGCAACTACATAACGACTGAAACAAATCATGTGGACGTGCAGGAGTGATGCTCATGTATGCGGCATGCAAGAAGGAACATTGGGGTGTGCCTTACCTGACACATGGACTTCTGTTCAGCACAGCAGATTTCGCAGTCCGCTTGCGTCAGCTTCAAATGTGGAAGGGTATCAAACGCCTATCGAGCGGATCGTGCTTAGTGACATGGCCCGATAGGTGAGATGTGGTTTGCCCAAGTATCATACCAGAAATATGCAGATGCCGGGAACGCCGTGATGATGCAAGTGACGACTCGTGTTGGGGTGAGTGAGCACCATGTAGGGTAAAAGGCTATGTCAAGTCAGCAAGGGTTCTTCTTGAGTAAGGCTGAAGAGCATGGCGGCTCGACGAGGTGCGTTTTGCTGTTTCCCGACCGACGCGTCTAGGTCTGGTGTGGGCCAAAGGGCATTGTAAGCCAGAGATTCAGACATTTGATACGCTTTTGAATGTACTACTACATACCGCAGAGAATTCAGCCAATTGATGCGTAGCTTTCTCAAGAGCGCCCCAGCCTTAGGCAGGGTAGTCGTCGTTGTTGTCGGCATCGGCTTTGTGATCGTAGCGCTGACGCTTGTGGGTCTCCGTCATGCCCTTGCCAGAGCCTGTGAAGCCGACTGTTGGTTGTTAGCAAGGAGTGGAGGCGAGGGGTAGAAGGGGGGATACATGCCTCTGCTGCCAGCCTCGGTGCTGGTACGGAACATGGACTCCTTTTTGGCGACACCCTTTTTGGAGACTTTGTTCTGGAAGTCGGCCCAAGCCGAAGCGCGCTTCTTCAGGGTTCCCTTTGTAGGAACTCGGCTGGGCTTCTTGTTGACCATGTCTTCGTTGGCGCCGGCAGGCTTGGCAGCCACAGCGTTGGGATTCGTCGTGGCAGGACCAGAGATGACATGCGAAGAGGTGACGGGGGCCGAAGGGGTCGGGGTCGAGGTCGAGGCTGTCTCGGGTTCTCGCTTGCGCTTTGTTGGAAGAGGGCGGACGGCGGTACGGTCGACGGTCATGGTGTCGTCGTACTCGATGAAGCGGACGAGGTACTTGGGAGCCGAGACGGAACCCAGGATACTCTGAATCTTTGCCTTGTACCAGGACCTGTCGGTCCACTGGGCCTCGCAGATGTCACCAATGCTAAAGGTGACTGTCTTTTCGGGTTCCTGCTTCTCCATGGTCTTGCGCAGAACGGGATGCTTCTCGGGGTCGAACTTGGGGCCTGCAGGCTCGGCAGCAGCCGGGGCATGAGGCAACTGAGATTCGAGGGCGGCCAGCTCTGGGCGGAGGCGGTCGAGTTTGGCGTCGTGGGCGGCAATGGTTTGAACCATCTCATTGCGCATGGACTTCATTTCGTCGTTGTCGCCAGTGTCCTTGAGCAGCGCATCCATCTGGGCCAGCTGTTCGGCCCATTCTGCGCGCTGGGCCTCTTCCTGGGCAATCTCCTGCTTCTTCGCGTTGATGGCATTCTTGGTATGTTTGAGCTGGTCGGCCATTTTGAGGGGAGGGGTGTGGGATGGACAGATGAGGGGGGTGGTAAAGGTGGGGGTTAGGGTGGTGTGGGCGTGGGCGTGGGCGTGGGCGTGGCGGATGAGGAAGTCGCGTCGTGCAGCGTTGGAAGCATGACGGCTGGAGGCAGGCACGAGTCTTGGCGGCGCCCCACCGTTTGTGAACCCTTGATTGTTCCCCAGCTCTCAGCCCTACCGCCGCTCTCCACCACACTACTAAGTATGACCGTACCAAGTGTACTGCTTACATACTAGTACCAACTACATACACGATGCATATCAGTCAGCAGTCAGCAGCTGGTGGTTGGCTGCGGGCTGCATGGTAGACCTCGCCAGGATGCATTTCCGACATGCGACGGCAAGGGCAGCAGACCCGGCATAGCCAAGGACAGCGAACGCTAGCGTCTCATACATATGATGGCAATGAGAGCAATGCTTTCTTGGGGCCAGGCAGTTTACTGTGTCTTGTGTAGATGGAGGAGTACAATGTGTGTGTGTCTGGTGCTATAACAAGTGTTGTTCATAGGCAGATAATAATATAATGATGATGATGATGATGATAATAATAATAATAATAACAACACCAACAATAACAATAACAATAACAATAATAACAATACACACCTGCCCATGCAGGAACAGGCGTCGGCGTTGCTGTCGGCCCAAGCTATATTCATGTCCGTGTTCATGTCCATGTCCGTGTTCGAGGGCCTTCTGTCTGCCTGCGCACCCCCACCAAGCCGCATGCTTAGCAATCAGCCACGCACCCCTCGGCGCCTCGCTGATTGACTGCGGGATGCATTCACCGACTGCCATCGGCCTCTCTGATGACCCGACTCCATTCTACCACCAACCACTCTCCCCTCGCCTCGCAGCCACATCCCGAGCCACTCGTTCCTCTCTCCCCCCCTCACGTGCTTTGTTGCTGGTCTGCCGCATCACAACCGCCGCACGCCTGGCTCGCTGCTCGGAAAAAAAGTCGCTCCAAGTGGTTCCATCCGCCAGGCCAAGGGTGTCGCCTCATCCCACTGCGCCCTAAGGCCTCCTCATCCTGCCTCTGCCTCTGGCCACCTTGCTTCCCCCCCCCCCCCCCCCCCCCCCCCCCCCCCCCCCCCCCCCCTCTCCCTCTCCCTCTCCCTCTCCCTCTCCCTCTCCCTCTCTCTCTCGCCAATATTCGTCCGCCCTCTGCACGGGACGCCTTGATATCGGCGCTTCTGCACCTGCTCAGCGGCCGCTTACCGGCAACCTACCCGCTTTTACCCACCCTGCACACTGCTCTGCTCCGCCCACACCTTTTGCGTCATCTTTATCCCTCACACACGTAGAGTACATACACCCTACCTGCTCCCCGTCCCGTGACGCCGCGCCGCGTCGCTTCAGGTGGCAATAACAGTCACTCGTAGTTTGACACTCTCTCCCATCGACCCCGCGGAGTCTCCGCAGCTACCCAGCTCACCCACTGCCCCAGCCGCCTTTCTATACTCGCCCCAGCTTTCGCAATGGCCGGCACAGGCAACGATTTCCAGAATGGCGCCCCCTTCTACCTAGACGCCACGCAGCAAGACTTGCTCCTCGCTGCCCTCGCTTCCAACAACCAGAACCCCAACGACCTCTTCTCCACCGGCCTCCACAATGGTCACCACAGCAAGCAATCCATGGACGATGCGCAGTTTCAGTATCCCGTCGACGCCCTCGACCCCGCCTACTTCACCTCACCCCAGCAATCCACAGGCGGCACTGGCTTCAGCAACGTCGGTATCGAAGAGAGCCCCTTCATCGACTACCTCGACGGCGACAACGGCTTCGACTTTGAAAATGCCGACGGCGACATGATTGGCGCCCTTCCTGGCGACACTCCCGGAGACTCGAACGAGAAGCGCAAGAGTCCTGGTGACGAAGAAGCTGAAGACGACGAGGGAGGCGGCAAGCGCAGAGAAGGCGAGGACAAGCAAGCTAAGAAGCCAGGTCGCAAGCCGCTGACTTCTGAGCCTACAACGGTAGGTCGCTAACAGGGAATCACGAACCGATCAAAAACTGACTCTAGCAACAGAAGCGCAAGGCCCAGAATCGCGCTGCTCAGCGGGCTTTCCGGGAACGCAAGGAGAAGCATCTCAAGGATCTCGAGACCAAGGTCCAGGAGCTCGAAAAGGCCTCTGATGCTACAAACCACGAGAACGGCTTATTGCGCGCACAGGTACAGAGGCTGCAGATGGAACTTCGCGAGTATCGGAAACGCCTGTCAATGAACAGCAGCGGCCTCAGCCGTACCCCACCCCTCGCTGGAGGTTTCAGCTCCATGCTCAACACCAACACCACCGTGAACAACTTTTCCTTTGATTTCCCACGTTTCGGCGGGCTTCCAGGCGCTCAGCTCCTCGACAACAGCTCACTGACCAAGAACAAGAACGCTTCCGTGTCTTCGAGCGTATCGGGACGACACAATAGTACCGGACGAGACCTCAGCCCGAACAGCAACTCCAACGGTTCCATCGCCGAATCTCCCGCCCCAATGAGTGCGGGAGCAAAGACCCAGCGCTCTGGCAGCTTGAACGATTTCTTTGGCTTCACCAACAACAACAATAACAACAACAACAACAGCAGCAGCAGCAGCAGCACAACAAACACCGGAGCCTCTCGCAGCAACACTACAAGCTCTACCGGATCGCAATCGCGTATTTTCCAATTCAACAGCGGTTCATCTAATCACTCTGACTCGCCTTCGAATTCTTCCACATCGCCCACCAATCAAAACTCGTCCTGTGGCACATCCCCAGAACCAAGTCATGCTTCGCCCAACCAGCAGGCAGACACAATCACAGACGGCTATGTGTGCCATGGAAACTCCGAAGGTGAGGTGCTCTTCTGCGAAAAACTCAACATGGCCTGTGGAAATCCTCGTAACCCCATGCCTCGTGCCATGTCTCAATCTGACGCCAAACCTTCTCCCGCAGTCTTATCCGCCAAATCCCCAACTCCTGCCGTCAGCGGCATCGACTACCTCGCGAACCAAAACGGCGGCCAATTCGACCCTACCCTCTTTGGAGAGTACCGCGATACCCAAAATGCCATTGTTGGCGACGGCGACTTCACCGGTGGTTTCTTCAACGACGCATTTCTTAACACCGGCTATGTCAGCCCCTTCCACTTTGGCGATACACCAGCTGTGCAGAAGCCAAATCCTCTTGAGGAAATTGAGCGCGCACAAGACGGCCAAGATGGTGACGACGAAGTCGTTCCAGGCGAGGACGTTAACTCGCTTCTCAACTGCCACAAGATTTGGTTAGTCGAATTTGCAACCATTGAAGCAATGGCTTCACTAACACCATGCAGGGACAAGCTCTCAAGTCGCCCAGATTTCAAGGACGGTACCATCGACATTGATAACCTGTGCAGTGAGCTCCGCGCCAAGGCCCGCTGTTCTGAGGCTGGCGTTGTAGTCGACCACAAGGATGTTGAAGAGGCCTTGAAGCGGTTACCCAAGGAGAACAAGACTCTTGGATAATGGTTCTCATCTGGCTTGAAAAAAAAAATTCCTGTGCATTGGGTCGGATGGTTTAACGGCGCAATGATGATTGATACCTCTGCGAGTTTTGAAAAACTCCCAGCTCACAATTCTTTTCTTTTTCCATATTCCGGGTCTTTTTATTCTCATTGGGTTACGCTGCAAACTTGCCACATTTCCACTCGCTCTCTAGCTCCTCTATGGGTCGCAATTTGGTTCATGTGGCACCACGCTGTATCATGCCTTTGTGATTTTTGATCTGAGTAATAAGGTTTCCATTGTAATGTCTGGATTCCGTTTTCGGTTCGATGGCAGAAGGCTGGCGTATATGATGAAATGATATGATGTATAGTTGCTAAATAAAATACATGTTTTTGGACTGTGCTCTATTCGCGAATATGAACAACTGATAGATGGCTTTGTGATGAAATCCTTTGACTTGCCTGTCGACTGGGTAATAATGCAGAAAAGTAGTAGTCGTTATTTTATAGTTTATTTCACGTGTGTTTGTATTAGTAGAGAGGTAGTTGGGATACGATTCAATGACAGCGCCGTCACATAACGTATCGACGGTATCCGATTCCAAATATATCGGTTTATCCCATGGTGCAGTGGTGAATCCACACCCTCAAAGCCTTGCTGATGCTTTGGGCTCACCCGTTGCACCAACTTTCTTCAGTGCATCCCAGAGCCTGAGACCCTCTTCCATCCTCGTATCTTCTTCAATGACAACCCGACCATCACTCTTCAACGTCCGCAATTGCATCGCATGCTCCGTGCCCCACTCCATGTCCTCTCCCTTGAGAAACTTAGTCAGGGGATGATGGAACGTCTGTGCTGCAATGTGCTTTTCCTCCTCAGTCAAGTCGCTGCCATTGCCCCAAAACCAAATCGGAATGTCAGACCCATGCGTGACGCCAAAATGGCTGGGAAGCTCTTTGTCCACGCACCGCGCACGCCACTCGATACGATATCTATGGATTAGGTTGCCGGCTCCATGTTCCGCCAGCGCGTTCACCATTCCTCGTCGTAGGGCATGGATCTGGACATCAGCGTAGATGTGCCCAAACGCCTCCTGCCAGCTCTTGAACCGCGATGGAAGCTTCCGGTCAGGAAAGTAGTGTGACATCAGCACCTTACAAGCTTTGCGGGGATAGTCGGCTTCGAGGCGGTGCAGCATGTTCGTATAGCCTGGCTGAGGCGGCCGCCATGTCCCGTACATGAAGTGCTCATCTTTGCACTCACCGATGATGAGGTGGATATTGCGCCTCCTCAAGCGTTCCGCGTACACACCATTGGACAGCTCTTCCAATAAACCCTGGCGAACAAACACCCCATCCGTCACCGCGCGAAACTGATGCAACCCCATCTTCTTGCTCGCCTCGACAATCTCCTTAGCCGGCACCTTCCTTAGCCTCGCCAGCGCCTCCGCGGGCCCCAATCCGTCCTCAATCCCCAAACCCCGGACCAACTCTTCAAACTGCTCCTGCGCCTCGTCCAAACTCTTTGGCTGCATCCCCGGTCCATTCGACAGCATCATTGCGCGCCTCACCACCGCCTTGCCCTCACCCAACCCCAAATCATACGAGAGCTGATGAAACACGGAATGCGAGCCTGCAGAGTAGCCCCCGACGGTGATATTCGCGGCATCCCCCCCAAAATACGCGATGTTTTCGTGCGTCCACTGCAGCGCTAATCGCTGGTCCCAAAACCCTACGTTAGCATCGTAATCCGCGCATCCACTGTTGTTGTTGTTGTCTTCGTCGTTGTCATCGTGATGCAAGTGACGTGAGCCCAGGAACCCGAATACGTTAAGCCGGTACGCCGGGGCGACGACGATGCAGCGTGTGGGCGAGTTGGAGAGGAGAAGCCGGAGATTGAGGCCGTTCGGACTGCCCCATTGGAGGAAGCCGCCATCTAAAGTTCAGTAGAATAGGTCTCGAGTCAGTTTGCCACGTGCTTTTTTTTTATACTTATGTTGTGCCGCTGGTACGGGACGTGAGGAGCATGTGCCGTCCCGTATTTGATATGGGACTAAGAAAAAAAAAGGGTCGCACAGGCTTTGTTTTGCGTTTGGTGGTTCCCCATGTTCTGCCCAGGTAGTCGGGATATTTGCCATGGCGGGAAAATGGGAAGATCACCCGCGGACCTGGATATTGGGAATGCAGAGAAAGTGGCGCAATCTCACACACACACGTACGCTCGGTATTACCCTTTCCCACAGAGACAAGGCAGAAATCAAAAACGAAAAAAAAAGTGCCCGAAAAAAAAACTGGGGAATTAAAGGGAGGGGAAAAAAGGAAATGGAAAATACTTACGAATCCAAAATAGTACTGGCCACCCTGTTCCCTCATGTTAGCCCTCCCATCCTCTCATCTCTCTCTCTTTATCTGTCAACCAGTAAAACTCACCTCCCTCGGGCGCCTCGCCTACTGGAACCCAAACATTGCACTGCAAACAATCCTCATCCCCGACTTGATCCTCCTTGCCCGGTCCAGACGCTGGCTGCGGACATAGACCGCACGCGCCGTCGAACACGCCTGGTTGGGACTGCGTTCCGTAGCGGTAGCATGGCGGGAGTGGGTTTGCACGCTGGAACCGCGCTGCAGGGAGAGCGTAGGGGATTCCGCCAAAGTAGTGGCATTGCGGGTGACCTGTTTGAGCATCGTGATATGTGCGACCTTGGGCGTAGCCGCGGTGGGAGAGGTCGAGGGTATATGGGGTTAATGTTGATGTTGACATTGTCACGGGTATGGGTTTGTGCAAAGGTGGTGGTGTAGAGGTGAGGTGAGAGGTGATGGATAGATGGAGACCTCGGTTATGCAGGGCGGGTGATTTGCGCGTTTGCATGTGGTATGCAGGGTGCAACCTCAAGGGTAGGGGTGTAATGTTTGCAAATCGTGGACATCATTTGTTCGTTGGTATAATACTTAATAGTTACATTTGAGAAAAGAAAAAGGACAAAGGAAAAAGGCGATTATGCCCATTCGTCTTGACGCCGTGAAATTGCACTTCGATCGTCCTCTGTCACAGTGACATTTGTTGTTTTCGTAATTGCTTGGTCGGAATTAGTTGTTGGCCTTGCGGCCTCTTCGTTGGGTAGTATGCCCAACTCGCTATCACCGTCTGTTTCCTGTTTGCCAGGCCAAGACTTGGCAGTCGACCGCGCCTCAATGTTGTCGAGCATGTAGCTCTGTCGAGATGCTTTTGAGCCTTTACCTGATGAGCCAGTAAGACTGGCGGGAAGGATCCTGCGCAAGAAGTTTTCGAATGTTTTTCGCAGGGGAGGTAGTGAGGCGGTGAATGCGCCGACGAAGACTTCGGCTGAGGCGAAGATGCTTAGGTTGACGGATTCGAAGCTTGGGTCTTTGGTGTTGGCCAATGCCTTCATTTCGTATAGTTTCAATGCGGAGATTGTTGTTGTTCTGCAGTTTGTTAGCGGAATGCGCAGGGAAATTCTAATGTGTTGCGACCTATGAAACTTACACAAGACCACAGAGAAAGACTGCACGGACACCCCAGATTGTGCGTTTCGAAAGCTGGATCCGCGAGATGTATACCAAAGGCGCCATTGTGTACAGCAAATCCGTCGCAATGTTGACTGCTGCTCCGGAGTACCCCGAGATAACCCTGGGTTCTGGTCCCCAGCATGAACCGGGCTTGGTTCCCGCCACGTCCCAATGCTTCGAGTAGGGTGTGCACTCTCCGAATAGAATCACTGTGGGAAACACAAAGTTGACCCCGACATGGACAACAATCGATATCCAAATCATGACGCGAAAGGTCTTGGAAAAGTCGAGCATGAAAATGTAGGCGCAGACGCTCAGTTTGACCAGCGCCATTCCGTAAAGATTGAGTATCTGGCTTAGCCAGACATAGTAGAGTTGTTTTTCCAGACGTGGTGGTGTCATGAATGGATCCCAGACGTGCTTGCCGCCACCGTATTCAGCCATTTTGTAGCAGCATGCACCGCCTGCTATAGCTACTACCTTTGATTGTATTAGCACCAAACGTGTAAGAGTCCAAGGGATACACCTACATGTCCAGTCCATAGCAAGTGATCTGTAAGAAGGAAGAAGTTCCTGTTTCTCCAATTGATACCCAATCGAATTGCAACGAAGACGGAGCTGAATATGATCAATACAATAAGTGGTATTTTGATAGCATTTGAGCGGTCGTCCAGAGGAAGCCCTTCTGGTGTCGTAGGCACAGCCATGGCGATATGGGGAAGTGCTCAAGGCTGGGAAAAGAAAGAAAAGGCCTGGGCAAGCGGGCCGATGTGTATTGTTCCGGTATATTAGTGCCCTTACCAAGACAAATGTTATGCAGTAGTTGTACCGTGTGCCACGTGGGAGTGCGAACCGTTATAATATTCGCTCATTAATGCTACGGATGTACACAGCCTGCCGCGAAAACCTGCCCATTCGAAACACACGATTACGAAATCCTACAGCGGCCGGAGTACCTGCATATGGTTTGGTGGTAGTCGCGCGAGTCAACGCTTAATCCGTACTTGGTGAGTCAAGGGGTGATCTCGCCCGAGTTTCCCCACCCCAGATCTCTCTTTATCTTTTAGTATGAGGATAAACAGTGATTAGCGTACTTGCAAAAGGCATATGTTAAAACACGGGTTCTTTTTTGTTAATGTTTACGCTTGTCCAGGGTCACGTCGCTATTGTTTCTAGTTCAGAGTGGCAGAGAGTTTTGAGATAATGACCAAGGGCTGGCCTCGAGGTAAGTTCAATAGTCTTGACCGTTGGAGAATTTATCGAAGACTTTTGCCCATTGCTCAGGTGGGATGTTTTGAGCATAGTCAGCGGTCACGTCTTTGACTGGCCAGGAAAGGTTCGTGTCGTTGAAGCAAGGTTAGCTTGTGATGGCGTTTAGGCCAACAGTTTTCAGGTTCGGCATGGCCGTGCTATGGCATGTGGCTGCCGCCGGAATTACATTCAATTACGAGCCCTCGAGCTAAACTAGGAAGGGTGCAAGTACACGAGTTTCGCTCGCGCCTCTTGACACAACCTACCTGAAGTAGCTCGCCAGGCCGAGGTTGTCAGCCAGTAGGGCTAATGATTGTCCTACGGACGTAGCGAAACCCTCAGGCGCCCTAGGTTAACCGTTTCAAGGTCCCGCCTGTTTGAACATTGAACGTTTGATCTGCAGCGGGGCTGAGAAAGGCTTTGTTGGATGGAGAGCTGTAATTGTTGCAAAGTTTGAGATGACGCTAGGTAGTTGCTGGTCGCTGTGCAGGTAATGTGGCTTGGCAGCTACAGCTCTCGATGCCTAATTAGGCAATGCCAGACGCCACAGGCGATCCAGACGATAGATAGCGCTCGACTTAGCCAACTGTCGATACTCTAAACATCGGGATTAAGACTAACAGGACTAGTCAGGAGCAGGCCGATAATGAGCAAAGCGGCGCTCTCGCCAAGGATTAATATGCCGTGTCTATTATCGCTCGCTTCCAGGCCACGGCTCCTGCAGGATTGACCCAAAGTTTCAACCCCCTGTCCCTACATCCACAGCTACGCCATCGCCATTTCCCCCACCTTTTATCTTCGGCATCGACATAAAACAGGGTCACCGGTCTAGGCCTACACGAGAGCTACCCTCTTCTTCGTCAGGTGGCGCTTGTCATACGATAATGCACAAAGTTTTTTTTTTGCCTACAATAGCCAGCCAGCTGCGCCGGATTCTTCTTCGTCTTCATTGTCATGATCTTTGGTTCTCTCCATCGATCTAGACCCTGGAAACATGCCATTAAACGGTCCGCTGATCGGAAAATGTGCTATTTGGAAGAGCAACCAGTAGACAAGACATATTCTACCTATTATGCCCACGCTACGCTGGTCCAGACCCAGCATTACGCTGTGTGAGCGCGTTGAGCTATTGACAATCTTCGCTTTCCTGAGCGTTGAGAAAATCAGGCGATGACACTCTTATGATAGACGATATTGCCGCATTCGCTGTGCTTGCTGTGCCTCGCTTGCAGCAGACCACTGGCTAGTTGTACAAAGTTTCGGGTAACTATGCTGCCTCAGGGGAAGCCTACCGACAAACTACGTACTAGCAATTATCGATTCTGGCCAGTAGCGACTAATTTCATGTAAAAACCTTCCATTTATCTCGGTTTAAAGAGCTAGAGGAAATGTTGATTTCCCATTTTGCACCTCTCACTGGGTGCCTACACGTTCCTTCAGCTTACTTACGCCCATTATCATGTCTTTAATTTTATCTGGCCTTTTGTTTCTTTCCTCTTTCGTACCTCATATAACCAATCCCCTCAATGGTGGTAACAGCAACGGAGAGCCCGACGTGGGCGGGCAAACCTTCGACTTCATTATTGTGGGCGGAGGACTAACTGGACTCACTGTTGCCAACCGGCTTAGTGAAGACTCGGGCCGTGAGTGTTTTCCTTGGACTTGAAAGTTCCAATTTGACCTTCTCCAAGGCACTGTGCTCGTGATAGAAAATGGATATGCGGTCGACGATGTTTCAACGCGAGTACCCAGTTTCGCAAACAGCGTCAACACGCCGCTCATGTACGATATTACCTCAGCATATGATGCAAACACGGGTGCTTCACACCCCGTATGGGTAGGGAATGTCCTGGGTGGAGGGTCAGTCGTTAATGGCATGGCCTTTGACCGCGCATCTGCTGCCGACTACGATGCTTGGGAACAACTAGGTAACAGCGGATGGAACTTCAACAATCTCCTGTACTACTTCAGAAAGTCAACGACTTTTACACCGCCGAACCAATCCAATATCAAGGAGTTTGGCACCACGTATGACGCATCATACTACGGCACCAACGGCCCCATCCAGGCTTCCTTTCCCAAATTCGAGTACGAAGACACCAAGACAATTTGGGCGGCCTACAAGAAGTCGGGTGTGCCCTTGCCCAAGGAGCAAGGTTCAGGCCAAGCTGTAGGCGCCTTGTGGACACCCACTGCCCTGCGTCCCAAGACACAAACACGATCCCACGCAAAGAATGAATACTACGATCCTATCAAGAACCGCAAGAATCTCGTAGTCATCACCGGAAATACTGTAAATGAGATTCTCTTTAACGTTGGTCTCTTGACCGGACTCACAGCCAACGGTGTTCAGTACAAGTCGCGCAGGGATGGTTCTGTTAAAAGGGTGTACGCTAGGAAGGAAGTGATCATGGCGGCTGGCGCAGTCTTTACGCCTCAATTGCTTCAGCTGAGTGGCATTGGCCCTAGGGACGTGCTGAGTGCTGCTGGTGTACCAGTGAAGAAGCATATGCCAGCTGTCGGTGCCAACATGCAGGATCACCCCAACGCCAACATGATGTTCGATCTGCAGAACCTCGCTTTCCCGAACCCCTTCAGCGGCGCCAACCCGGATTTCAACGCTACCGTGTGGTCTGAGTATGACAGCACCGCTAGTGGACCTCTCACTCAGGCCCATGGTAGCAGCTTGGCCTTTTTGAGTCTGCAAACCATCACGGACAATTGGAACGAAATTGTGCAGACAGTAAAGTCGCAAGATGTGCGCAGCTACCTCCCTTCTGTCTATGGCGACTATAACCTCTTGCGCGGATTCCAAAAGCAGCGCGACATCATTGCCAACCTCCACGCCAGTCCCGATGCTGCCGTCGGTGAGTTTCCCATGGTTCCCTTCGGTCTCGCCATCAACGCCCTGCAGCGTCCGCTTTCTCGCGGTACAATCACACTCAACCCAAAGAACAAGTACGGAAACCCCGTTGTCCAGTTCAACTCTCTGCAGAACCCCGTCGACCGTCAGATTATCCTCGCAATGGTCCGATGGACGCGCAATCACTGGACGAACCCTGAGCTCGCCAAATTCTCTCCTGTCGAACTCTCACCTGGTTCACAGGCGCAGACAGACGACGAGATAATGAACGATCTCCTCAGGCAGAACGGACTTCAAGCTTCTTTTGCGCACATGTCTGGTAGCTGCTCGATGATGCCAGAGGCGTATGGCGGCTGTGTGGCCAGCGATCTTACCGTGTACGGCATCAAGGGTCTCAGCATTGTAGATGCAAGTATCATCCCGCTGATTCCCGCAACACACTTGCAATCCACAATGTATGCTGTTGCAGAGAAGGCTGCAGATCTCATTAAGAACAGATACTCTTTCAATATTCTGGACCCCTTGTCGATCTTCAAGGCGAAGAGAGTCCAGAAAATCTAGTATTGTGTTGTCGCAAAGAACACTCTTTTATAAATAGGTTTATTTTGTAATACAACAAGTTTGCATTCAAGGCCAAGGTTACATGAGTCAGGCTGTTCACGTCATCCGTCTGTCATGTACTAAATACCATACTAAATACATCTCTAGTCTCAATCCTCGTCGCCACCCGAGCCACCACCCGGCTCGAAGCGGTCACAAGAGGGGAAACGGTAGAAATCGCCCGCAGGATCCTCCCAAAAGTCCTTGTTATTAATATAGCAGAAATCGGTCGTCAAGCTCCAGTAATCAAGAGGCCCCTCACTAGGCAGGTTGTTCACGACCTTGAGGCATTGCAGCCAGACCTCGTTGTTGAACTCGAATGTCTTTTCTATTTTGCAGGACTCCTTGGGGCAGGAGCGGCAGTAGGCGTATTCTTCGCCGACGGTGACGTTGATGAGGTACATGACGTTCATATCTGCTTCACGTTTGGGAAGAGGCGCAGGTACAAGCTCGGGTTCGGGCTCAGGCTCTGGGGTCGCCTCGCGCTTGTTTGGGTCGCTTGTTCCGTTTTCGTTGTTATGGTGCAGAATCTCGAGAAACGGGACGGGGCCGCAATCATCTAGTTTGGTCAGGTCGGGTTTCGAGTACAGGTTTTTCCTTGCGACGTAGCAGTTGTTTGTTGTTTTGTGCCAGTACCTGTGTGCGCGTTCGTGTCAGCGGGGCTATCGTGCTGTGTATGTGCTTGTCAAAGGAGAATCACTTACGGGTCATCAATGATGAGTTGTCCGTCTGGATACCAGCAGGTCAGGTCCAGCTCGGTATTTTCCTTCAGATATGACACGACGTCGCAGCTCAGCTCAGGGCAAATTCTGCACTCAGTCTTGTATCTCAGTTTTGCATCTTGAAGGGTAAGCTTCTGAACCTCAGAAGCGGGGCCGCAGTATTTAAGATCAGTGGTGTCTAAACAAGGACTATTAGTTGTTATCCCCAAGTCTAACCTCAGTTGCACTTACAATCTCCAGCATACTCTAGCACATCGTACTGGGTTATGTAACAGCCAGCCTCAGTCTTGAGCCATAGGTTGTCTCCCATGATCTTCGTTCCATGTGTCCAACATGTTACATTGAGTCGCTCTTCGTACTCATAGTAAAGCTTGTTAGGGCAAAGTGAGCGTGGGCAGGTTTTGCATTCTGTACGGTACTCTGCTTCAGTCTGAATGTAAGACTTGATCTGGGCATGGACTATCACAGCCGCGACTAGTACAGTTGCGAGAAATGAAGGGATAAAGCCACCCATGTTTGCTTACGAGCAGCTATAGCAGAAGGAATACTTATCAGTGTGAGAGGGTGAAGGAACATTAGAAAAAAATTAACAGTAAGAGCAGTATATATATTGATTTTCGAATTAACCAACATCTAACAGCTGAGATTTCAGCAAGGGCTGTGTAGAGAAGGATTCCAGACTACTCGTTTAGGATACGAAAATATATGATCTCGTATCTGTATGTCATCATGAACCTTGGTGCAACCAGGAGGCGTAACAGCAATGTACATCCATCGAGGAAATAAGCGATCAGACATCTCGCAAAGAGTTGATTTTATTCATCTCAAAGAACAATCACATGAGAAAAGTATAGTTGTTTTAGCTCTGCTTTTCACAGAATACAGCCAGGCGGAAATCGATGGTATGATGTTGAATTATTGATTGCACAGAAGAGGGGTTATGAGGCTGACATGCAGGGTCAGCGCAGTACACGGGTAAGGCGCCCCTTGAAATTAGGCTAAACGCGGGCACAGTCGGTATTGAGACCCAGAACTTATGTAGAAGGTATTGGTGAGATAGTTGAGAATCAAGAACAAACTTTGACACAATCACATGAAGGCAGGTGTAGCTAAAGATTGGTCCTTGCTCTAGTGACTGCACTAAAACAGCACTCGATGTACCCTAAGCTAGCTTTTGCCAATAAAAATAAAGACCCAAGAAACTATACCCCCTGCATGAGATGTATTGGAATTGGCGGAGTGCTGCGTTTTCGGATTTTTCGGGTTACGTAAAGCCTAGCTGTACCACGAATGATATGATAAATTGTATTTCCGATGCACACTCACAATCATTGGCTTTCTATACATTAGGCAACCAATGCTCAGTACCGATTTATGAAACATGACAATGCCACCAATCCATATGCATTTAGAGTATGAGAGCCTACAATGTCAACACAAGCAAGTCTTTTCTTCGCACGTACCCTGCATGCACGTACTACAAAAACCACGAAGTCACTCAATATGGACTATGTCATTTGGTTTTCAGCGACCATCTTCCATTTGGTCGAGTACTAATACTACTGGGAAAAGAAAAAAGGTCAGAAAACTATGAATACTTTGCCATAAAATGGGCTAATGCTTGAAAAGGCAGCTGCATGTGGGGTGAGTGATACGCAAGCCCACTAGGTGCACATTGCTTTATGAAAACAACATACATATAAAACAGTTGAGTTCAGACTAGAGGCGACTTCCTTTCGCTACACTACCTTAGGGCTGGAGCTAATACTTTGATCGCCGCCTCATGGAAGGATTTGGACACGATCACGTGACTGGTCGTGGGGGCCAAAAGATCCTTCGATGACCTCATGTCAGCGCGACATCGATCATTCTTCAGGGCAATAGAATCCTTGCGTATCAGTTTGAGATACAAAGCCTAGCATTAGGGGCCATGAAGCGAGAAGTATTGCTCTGCTGATAGCAGCAGATTCACACAATCACCAAGCGCGTGACGGCTTTCCGCCCACAACTACTTAGCGCTGTAACCGAGCCCAACAATCTCGTCTTGCCAACTGCACGGACTAGGATTTCCCCTTAATCGTGTCGCAGAATACGTGTCGCCATCAGGATATTCTCGTAGTTGAAGACCAGGCAAAGCCATCACCAATCTCAGAGCAAGATACAACAATGATCTGTTAGGATTTGTCACCCCATATCTCGTGCCTCAGCCCTGCCGCCAAGAAGTCATCAGGCCATCGCATCTCCTGTAGTTGCTCCTAAAAACATACGTGCGACTATGGATATACCTGAGGGGCCGAAGCAAAGTTTGCTTCGAAAAACGTTTGTGGACCCGTTTCGAATTTCCATGTCGAAACGCAAATCCAGTGTAACCGTCATACCCACGGTTACTTCCTTACCCGATCTCCAAGACCCTCTAGACGCACTACCCGCGTTGCAATATGGGCCCTTGGACCCAAACAGGAAAACCATTAGACTTTTGGAAATAGTGCCTGCACCAGAGTACGAACCAATCCAAACAAAACTTTCAACATGCGACCTGGATGAGAAGCCCGCGTTCATCGCACTGTCATACACATGGGACAAGGGCGGTCAAAGGAAGAACATTGGAATTGGAGGATCAAAATTCACAGTCGGAGAGAGCTTGTGGAATTTCCTCAAACAGTACCGCAAGAAGGAGTATCTGCGACATTGCTCGGAAAAGGATCCAAGCAAACCAATGCCATTGTGGATTGATGCCATTGTCATTGACCAGAGCAACATGGCCGAACGTAACCACCAAGTTTCTCTCATGCGCGATATATACACTGGCGCCGAATCCGTCATTGTATGGCTTGGCCTTGCTACGGGAACGGAAGAGCTAGCCTTTATGCTCGCGCGGCATCCACATCTGCTGCGAGTCGAGGAATTCCATCAAGCCCTCGCAACTGTACTCGACAAACCGTACTGGGGCCGTGTATGGGTAGTCCAGGAGTTTGTGCTCGCGCAACGCGTCGACATATGGTGTGGTGATTTCAGCGTCGACGCCACAGTTGTGGAAAATATCTGGAAAGACGGATTGTCGGCCAAGCCAATTGTATCTGCTGCCAGGAAAATCTATGCGAGTCGTGGGTACTTGTTGTTCAAGTATCGGCGCGACTTTAAGCATTCCAAGCAGTATAAGAGAGACGTCATGGGGCGTCGAAACAGCAGAACGTTGAAGGCTACATTCCGGCTGCGCGACCTTTTACAAGCGTTTGCCTCATCCCAGAGCACAGTCGAACATGACCGTGTCTATGGGTTCCTGGGTGTAGCATCAAAGGGGCGCGGAGAAAAGATTCTACCTGACTACAGTAAATCAGCAGTGGAACTCCTCGTCGACGTCCTCCGCAACCAATGCAACAGCGACCACCGCGGCGGCGACAAAGACGACTACAAATTCCTCGCCTTCCTCACCCAAGCCCTCAATGTCTCACCTGAGAAACTCGCCCAACACGTACTCCAACTCTGCCCCCAAGTCCAACCCCATGCCTACGTCTTAACAGCCACACCCTGCATGACAGCCTCGATATCCTTCATCAGCACCATAACCGAAGTGGGCGATTTCGTCGACCACGACGAAGCCTTTCTCCCCAAAACCTGGAGCCCAGGCTGGACGCGCTCAAACATGCACCCAAAATCGCTCTCGAGTCAAGACATCCTTGATCTCGGGGATCTGGTCACCAAAGACGGGACGGACATCTTACTCAGCTTTGCGGACCCTTACGTGCCGTACGGGAACCCCGGGCCGTCGCAAAAGGTGCGCCAGTCCATTATCGAAGAGTCGACGGATCTGATCATCACGGGCTTGATACGCGCGACTGCGGAACGGGATGCGCGGCCGTGGGGGGAGGCGGAGACGGGTGATGGAAGTATAGTTATGCGCGACATTATCAAGCGGAGTATGACGAATGATGCTTTAGACCTGTATTTGGAAGCCAGAAGCCATCGGCTGAGCCGACGGGATACGGATCAGCGGCACGAGCGGTACACGTCGTTTGTGGGCACGAATGGCATTATTGGGCTCGCATGTGGAGGTGGTCCTGGATCGTATGAAGTGCGGCCTGGAGATCGCATTTGCACTTTTTCGGGTGTTACCGATGCGAACAATGCATTTATACTGCGTCTAAGTGCGAGCGGCAAGTGGCTGATTTCGGGGTTTGCGATTATACTTTTGCCTGAGCTGCGGACGCCGGCAGTGGGGCGCAGTAACAGTGATGCTATTCGGAAACAGTCGTTCTTAAGCGAGACGACACTGTGCTTTCACTGCCATCTGAGCGACTTGCTTGAGTTGCAGCGGTGTCAGATTTTGAGTCAGGTACAGATGAATCGCCTGCTGGAACAGACGCTGCAGGGGGGAAGGACGCATTGTTGTGCACAAGGAAGTGGGGAGTATGATGTATTGGAGTTTGAGCTGTAGCAGTTGCTCAGATGATGTAATTTTCGGTGTATACTCAACTGCGAGTCCAATGTCCATATCTTCATCAAAGTGGCTTTTCATGCTGCACGTGTCCAGCAATTCAGCATGCTGTGCTTCATCTCTTCAACCGTTTCCAACATCCATTGTCGCTTCCTGACAGTATGTGTTTTTACATCTATTGTGACTTCTTCGCCTTGGCCTGAGCACCGGTAAAGCCCATTCCGTAGTTGTAGACCAGCTTTCCACCCAGATGGGCGGCAAACAGGGTGGCTGGAAGTGCCAACATACAGCTGGCGAGGATGTTTGTGCCGGTGGGCTCGAACATGGGGCGGCTTCGGCGCGTCCACCAGTTGAGGGCGGCAGCGACAACGGTAACGTCATTGATGGCAGCATGTGCTATGGCAATCTTGGCCTTGCGGGAGTTGAGGCCGTCGCGCTTGATCAATGGCATCAATTGAGAGGCGCCGGTCATGACGGCGGGCACGGAGAAGGCGATTGTGAGGATGGTGAGGTAGTAGCTGAAGAAGGGAAACAGTTGGGGGGCGAGCTTAATGTCAAGAGTCTTATCTGAGGAGCAATTGTTAGTACACGGTGTTCTCTGGCTGAGAGTGAAGCTACTTGCAAATGGAGGCCACAGTAGAAGACGTGGCTGGGTGCTTGTAGAAGAAGTAAAAAGCATCCAGACCGCCCGTCAAGAGGGTCGTGGTGATGGGAAAGTGGACGAATGCTGGATGGGCGGGGAGAGACATGTTGAGGGATTCTAACAAGCAAGCCGGGTGTCGTGTAGGAGAGACGTCGACGCAGGAGCTGTACAATGCGAGGTGATGCGAGGGTGCGCGTCTTTACTTATACAGGCAATCGATAAGCGAGAGGTGCAGAAAGCAATGTGCTGAGCTTACTCGGACCGCGGGCATGAAGTTTCACAGCTGCAGACAGGCGGTCTGTTTCCGCAAAGCCTAGCGGAGAGCCGAATCGAGTGCGTACGTAGTGCCGCCTCATTGCAACAACAATGCCATGCCAATTCACTAAATGATTTTGCTGTGTCGTCACCATCACCAGGTCCGGACGTGACACAAAGAAGAGGAGCGGAAGAGCGTCTGGACTCGCATTGGCCAGTGGGCGCCATTCGGATTCGAGGAGCCCATTGCCTGCGCTGTCATTGGCCAATGGCTGCAGTACCTGCACGTGCACGTGCACGGAACTCCGTTGAGCATCCCTATTCTTCTTCCACTCTGACTCCACATCCGAACGCCCCCATTGGCCTACCAGACATCCATTGGCCAAAATGTATTCACGGAAACTATAATCCATTCGGGCCCGACTATCAATACACTGGCATCCCTCTCCGATACAGAATCTCCCCACCAGTCACTCCGCTCTGTCCGACCTTGCTCTCCTTCAATATCCCCGCATCGTAAAGCTCCGAGATGAGCGAGAACAGCATGCCATCGCACCCCTTTGCCGCCAGCAGATTGGCCGTGACAGGCAGGTACTCTACATGGCCGGTAACCAACGAATCGTACGGCGTCTCGCCCAGCGGCACAACATAGTCGGGCACTTCCGACATGACTGAAATCCGGCCGTTGCTGAAACCCAGCGGGACGCGAGGCTCGCCCCGATACACGTTGCGGTACGTCCTGCTGCCAGTCGAGCCAACGTACATGACGAGCGACTTGGAGCATGTCTCCGCCGAGGGAGCAAGCACAGTCTCGTTGGCCCAATTCTGGAACAAGGTCTTGTCGGCAATGGCCTCCGCCACAGTCATGTTCTGCTCCTCACCCCACCCCCAGCGAGCGAGCGGTGTAGGATTGACAAATGGAAGCCGTCCATCGTGTTTGATTGCGTAATCAGCATAGAACGGTTCGCGGACCAGCTCGATTTGTTGCTTGGTGATGAGAATCGCGTACGTGAGGTTCATGAACGTCCCCAACGGTGCAACGTCTGGGTTGGCAGCATCGAATTCTGCCGTTAAGTTGTATGCTGTTGCATTCGCACTCAAAAAATTGGTTACGTTGCCCAAGAAGTCAATAAGCAGCTGGTCAGCCTCGTCTTCTACCTCCGTAGGCCAACCAATCGTCTGGATAGTCTTGGGGTAGCTACTAGTTATGGTGATGTTGGGACCATACATGACTCTGGCAGCTTCCATCCAGATATTGGGGTTGCGGGCGAGTAGACCGGGTGTGTCAAGTACAGGGCTAAGTGGCATCGTATCATCCAAAGAAACGAGGCCGTGTGATGGTCGGTTGCCATACAACCCTTGAACTTGGGCTGGGCCGCGCACACTTCCACCAGTGTCCGAGCCTAGACTGACATCTAACCATGAGTATGACGCGGTACCGGCACCGCCGCCAGCGGAGCTGGAAGACGTGTCTTGATAGCCATCTCCACGAGGATTGAACGACGCATGGTAGTCTACCCAGTCAGCAGTCGCAGTCTCTCCATTGGCAAATTGAGAGGTGATCATCTTGCCGACGATAATGGCTCCTGCATCAATCAAGTTCTGCACAGGTGGTGCAGTCTTCTTGGCTGGGGGATATAGCCAGTACCACGCTCGGTTGCCGTTTGAAGTGCGAAGGCCTCTGATATCTGGGCCAAGTCAGTAAGATGCCATAGCCACTTGGTCATCTCAGCGTACCGTAAATGTCTTTAATACCGACTCGTACACCCGCCAATGGCTTTTCGGCAGTCTTGGTAAAGTACAGACGAGAAGGCACAGCAATCGCTTGGCGTTGGCCAACTGTGCCAGCGGGCAGCACCGAATATGAACCGTCTCCATTACCAATTGCCGATTCTGTAAATGCTCCCTGCACGTCCGAAAACAGCCTCCACGCCTCGAAAACTTGACCAGCGGCGTTGATGAAATAGGGTCCGACGGGCAATTGAGATGACGCGTTGCCAGATAGAATAGCGACAGATGAGTTTGTAGATTTCATGGTGCTGATCTGCGCATAGATTGCTAAACGATGGGTCAATTCCAAAACTGAACATGTTCTTTGAAATAAGTACCTTGCATGAAGCCTTCCTGCCACACATCGTCGTCAGCATAACCAGCCGTTAGCGATGTGATATCCGTTACTGAGCCATTGCCCTTGACCACCGTGAATGGCACAAATGGTGCATCGTCGAAAAGTGCCTGGATTTCCCCACAACCAGATATCCTGGCCACCGGCTTTGGGGGAAGGAAATAGTCAATGTCCGATAGGGACACCGTGAAGCCTGTAGAAGATAAAGCAGCCTTGACATTCGCTGCAACTACCGAACCTACGGTCAGGACTCTTATTATACCCATTCCCACAGTATACAAAATAGGAATTGTGATACAAACAACTTCATATCTACTGTTGGCACCCCCATATTATATACAGCCACACTTACTCGTGCGTACCAGCAGCATCCGTATCCAACGCCAATCTTTCTCATTCCAAGTCGACTATCTGCATTCCCCATTTTACCAAGCCTTGTAGTTACCCAGCCTTGCTTTCCTATCATCTCCACCCACCGCGTTTTTCTTATCGCACCCGGCACGTGGAGCACGGCGGGGCGGACAAGAGATAAGGCTAGGACAGCCAATGGCAAGCATAGACTAGAGTGCATCTCGGGATATTTTTACACGCCGTTGCGCGTAAGTACTTACGTAGGTAAGTATTCGGGATGGAGCGCGCGGAGATAGCGGCGGGTGGGTTTGAACTGCCGGGGGGTTTCCGCGTTGTTGGGTTGATGGATTAGGGTGTGTCGGAATTGGTGGCTAGTAAACTACTTAGTGTGGGGTTCCGGCTACTACGTAAGTACTACTACGGACTAGATTCATCGGCCCGAGTGTGTAATGATTGGAGTTGATACTCCTATCTACAAAAGATATACTACTCTGTGTTGGTTTCTTGTAGTCGTTCCCAGGCCATTACTCACACGAAAAGCAGCGATAACAGAGAATCAAGGTTAGATCTATATGCACTATTCGACGTAGTAAGGCTTTATCTAGCGAGGTGCGATTTTGGGTTTTAGAAGCGCGCTTCGCAGACTCCAGCCATTCCTGCGTCGATGACGAAGGGCAGCAGGCTCAAAATTAGGGTAATCACGATTAGATAGGCAAGGGTTGTGTGAAGGCGATCTATAGTGAGTTCCGCGTTAAGAATAGTTTGTCTTCCGATTCGAAAGGATGCGTCGGTTGGGCTGGGGCTACGGCTGTCATCGTTGCGTTGCTCGGCGTTCCGGCCCGCAATGCAATAAGTACGAGGTACTAGTAGTACGTACGAGAAGCAACTCCCCTAGGCCGGTGGCATAAATCTGTGCACGAATCATACCACCATACAGACATCTCAATAACCCCCTGTAGTAACAACAGTGCGTAGATTGAATTCTCAGTGTAAGGACCGTTTCTTGATTGGCAGTATGGCGGCTGCCCCGCAGCTAAGTATGCAATGTCCGCCTTCCGTACGCTACTGCGCACGCGAGCTGCGCCTCCTGCCTCAATGTTCAGCTTGCTGCACTACAAAACCTCTAAACACCACTACTCCTCCTCACCTTTGGCTTAGGAAAGCACCACCTAGCGTTCGCAATAGATTTAAGAGCTATCATCTCTCTGCCCTGAGTGGGTGAGCCTCTAGCTGCCATCGATTTCGTCAGCCTGCTTAAAATCTATGACACCTGCCTCTACTCCTCACCCAGAAAGACACACGGCTTGATGCGGCTGCTATATGACACATCCATCGGGTTTGCATTGACTGGAGATTTGATTGGAGGAGATATCCCCGCTTATGCGATCCTTTCGCACACTTGGCAAGAGGGGGAGGTGACCTTTGCCGATCTCGAAGATTCACCTCATGGGGGAAGAGCCATGGCAGGGTATCAGAAGCTTTATTTCTGCGCTCAAAAAGCTGCGCTGGATGGCCTGAAATACTTCTGGGTGGACTGCTGCTGCATCGACAAGTCTAATTCGGTCGCACTTGAACATGCTATCAACTCTACGTTTTACTATTATCAGAATGCAGCAAAATGCTACGTCTATCTATCTGATGTATCTACGAAGGAGGGGAAAGAGATCAGCGAAGACTCCGATTGCAGGTGGCAGTCAGTCTTTTGGGAAAGCCGATGGTTTACCCTGAGTTGGACCCTTCAGGAACTTCTTGCCTCGCGTTCAGCTGACTTCTTCTCCCGTGAAGGCGAAAAGCTTGGTGATAAAAACATACTTCGGCAAACTCTCCATGAGATAACTGGTATTGCCACCCTAGCTCTTGAAGGAAAACCTTTGGCTGATTTCAGTGTAAGAGAGCCGTTGTTGTGGGCAGCAAACCGCCGATCAACACTGAAAGAAGGTCAGATATACTCTCTTCTAGGCATCTTCGGCATCAAGATGACGATGGTTCATGGAGAAGGCGGCTGGAACGCATGTCTTCGCTTTTGGGATGAGATATTTAGGAGAATCGAGGACTACACCATTTTGCTTTGCACAAAGCCCTCGGATACCAACAATGATCGACAGAGTGCAGTCTGGACCTACTAGCCCCCCCACCAACCTTATCAGTGGAAAGAATGAAGGAAACCTCGAAAAAGCTGGATTGGCGCAGCATCGCGCGACATTCTCTAATAGACCTTGCCTCCACAGAGCCTCTCGCAAGCCATCTACCGTCTAGCATGAACACTTCACAACGTCCAGAGATAACCACAAATAGGCTCAGAATGAGCCTTTTTCTTAAGAATTCCGGTCCAGATCTCATTTGTTGGACATACTGTACTTAGGAATGGCATGGGAGGACATATGCAGTGTGCACCCGAGTGGTTTCAATTAGCGCAGAAAAGCTTGCAAATGCACCACACCCAAAAGGATATGCAAGTGGAGAGATATATCATGTTGATGTGAGTCGTCTCAAAGGCTTTGAGTAGAAAACTATCTATCTTTCGATAAAAGAGCAATGATCGAGCTACTCGGGTTGAATATGGATTAGTTACAAAATATGTTGCAATGAAAGGATAAAAGGACGCCTTACTGTGGCGCCCGATATCCATTGATGCTTAGAGAAATCCGATAAAGAGTGCATAAATTCAGTCGGGTATTATACAGTTGCAACCTTCAGATCTTCCACATCCAAGGTAAGAGAAGCGCATCCCTTTGCAATGAGCTCATGTGAGGCCATAGATACCCTTACCCGCTTTCTTCTTGATTCATGATAAAGATGCGGAAGATATAATCCTAGTGTTGTTCGAGCTTCTATGAATGCTTGATAGTTGTACTCATAAAGATTGTGATATCTCGGCCGAATGCTCCGCCAGCCGTCGCCACGTATCAAGTTAAACCGCCAACATGGATCTCTTGTCCGATCAAAACGGCACACAAGAACAAAAGAATCAAACTCGTCAGCCCGTTCAGGCTTGAAATGGAAGAACCCCAGAAACACACCTGTATGTCCTGCAAACAGCATTCTTCGAACCGGGTCCCAGCAACCAACAGGTTCGATCTCGGAAAGTCCGATATCCAGATGATCCAAACGTACTGGCTTGGCGATTAAAAGTACGCGCTCACGGATAGGGGTGACTTCCTCTGCTGAAAGCGTTATAGCAACTTGAAGAGATTTGATAGATCTACGACGCTGAATAGTCGCCAGGCGATTAGGAGAGGCCCTTACGTATAGACTTGGCCTAACCTGTCGCAGAAACACTCCAAGAGAATAAAGTTCAGTGCCGAACATACCGCGGCTATGATTGATAGGAAGCATGTGGCAGCCTGTACCCGGATCTATCGCAAGTGGGACTTCGAACTTCAATCCTCTATTAGTGACCGAGAACTCGCAAATATCGAGGACAGTATCCTGCGCAACCACCAATGATCCAGTATCTTCGAAGTCGGCTGGTGATGAGGCAAGCAGACCACTGTGTTGGTCACCCTCGACTGCCGTGTTTCTTCTTGTCCATCCGAAAATAGACATATCGGGACTGTTTCTAATGATCTCCTTTTGCAGTCTGATAAACGCATTTTCTCCCTCTCCGTAAAGCATAGGCATGTTGATTCCAAGTATCCCAAGCAAACTGTATGCGCGGTCTTCTTCTCGTTTTGTCTCCCTCCTAGCGGCCCATGACATCCGCACGGCTACTGGCACCTCTGCGAGGGAGACAGCATTGGTCAAAACGTCTGGGTCAACTTGAGTAATTGACGCCAGTTCCGAATGTAGGCTCACCTTATCGCCTCGAAAATTCCACTCCTCATCATAGAACCGAACGATGGACGGCGCAATCAGCTCCTGTAGCGTCCAACCCTGCCAGAACCATTTACAATCCCCGAAGAATTATTTTCCGGGTCTTAAATCGCTAAGGAATGCATAGCAAACAACAGAGGCTCGATACCATCTAAACATCGAATTGATGGCCTCGGTGAGCTCTGCGCTGCTTGATTTGTCGATACAACAGGTGTCGACCCAGAAGTATTCCAGGCCATCCCATGCGGCCTGTTCCCCACAGAAAAGAATCTTCGTATAGCCCGACTTATCCTTCCCAGTGCCATTGACCAGGTCTCCAAAGGTGACCTCCTCAGCATCTGCTCCCCACGTATGCGAAAGTATCGCATAACTAGGGACGTCCTTATCCGAAAACTGAGTAATAGTGATGTCGCCAGTAGCGCTGCGTCGCAATAGTCGCATGATTGTGTATGCGCTGGGCGGGTGCGGGGAGCAAGGACGCGGATTTGGCAGGTCCAAACGCGGCAGCCTACTAAAGTAGCGAAGAAAGGCAGCAGGGCGACACGCTCATGTGGTCAGAACATCAGTCCTACCCATCAGGTTTAGTAATTTTGTAAAGAAAACAACAAAGCTCTTCGCGATATAGTAACACGTTACGTGTACAAGCGTAGGACGGGAAGACGACGGCGCTATTCCCTGTCGAAGTGGGGGTCCCGTGAGAGAGCTCTTGATATAGCGCAGCAAGGCTAGGCGAAGATAATCTTGCAAGGTCTGAAGGTCTAATCTAGTCATGGCATTTCTTTCTATATTGTCCATAAAAACTCTGGTTTTTTCCAAAAAAAAAACAATTTCATAAATAGTCAAATCCATTAAATATCAAGATCAATGAGAGGTGTTGGAGTGATTGCTACGGGCTAGCGGAGACCTCAAAAGCTACATAACTATGGATGTATCTCAAACCACCTCTCTTTCCCAACGTGCCGCTATCTTATCGTTACCCCACACATATCCTATGATCTTGAAGCTATTCTTCTTTCGGGTACTGCAATGTTCAAGAAGCATCAGCAAAGTCGTGTTACAATACGGCCTTTGTCGTCCAAGATTCCCATGCCTATACTGCTTACTTATTGACAAGGCTGCGAAGAAATACAATTGGAGTTAACCTGTCGCATAGAAGCTTGCAGGTGGTCCTAAGTAGCTTTCCCGCACACCTCCTAAATCAATAACAATTTTTTCCAGTGCCATGTTCTCAGCCTGAAGCGAAATCTTTAAAGTGTGCGCACCAGCATCGCCAAGATCTACTTGGTGCGTTTTGATCCAAACGCAATTCATGACCGACTCCAACCATCCGAGTGGTAGCTCACCTGCCTTCTTAGGTTCTTGTACCAGCTTGTGCTTCTCAATTTCCTTACCGTCAAGCGAGAGGCCGTAAAGAGCTGGTGAAGTTGGGTTTACATCAAGCGTCAACGTGAAGTACAAGTGCAAGGACGCCTTGGTGATTAACGTGAATGTGTAGAAAGGGTACAGTAGCTCACAACTCTGCAAGCCCGAGTTCGGTTGCATGCGAAAGCTTATCGCCCCGCTCGCTTCTCGGCCAAGGTATGGGTGTCTCCAACAACCAACAGTGTTCTTGTTTGCGAAGTGAGTAGCTGGAATGGAGACGACTCCATCAGCCTCGACATGTCCAACGAACTGAGGCGGTGTGCTACGGTCCTTCACTGGAACGTGAATATGTTCGTAATCCCCAATATCGCTGCGTAGAACCAACAAGACCTCATTATCGAAGTCCTTAGGTACGAGTTGCCAGTTCACCGTGACCTGGATCGTCGGATCTTTTCCTTCGAATGTGGGGTCCAAGATCCCACTAGCGTTCACCGGCATCCAATCTACTGGACTTTCAACCTGCCAGCTGAGTCTCTTCGGACCACGCAAGTACAACTCAAAAGCTCTGGATTGCGGGCCATATGGATCCATCGCCGGTAATGTAACACCAGGTACGAGGTCTCTTCGCGAAGGATGCGTGCGGTCGCTCTCTTCGTTGCACAACCCGGGTCGCAAGCCCTCAGTACCCTCAACAGCAACACCTATGTTTCCGACGATCGGGTTCGATTCTTGAATCGCTTGGACGAGACAAAGCCCACTTATCATGTCGCGTGAAGGCGCATGCCAAGTCTCGCGGTATCCGAGGTGAGGCTGTCGCATGATATGGTTCCACTTCCCGCCAAGCATCGCGTGATACTTCTGAGACAGCTGGAAGTCGTTTTTGAAGAGGGAAATTGATTGGTTGAAGAAATGGTTGGCTGAATTGCGACGTTGTTTTGCATAGAGTGCGTTCTTTGCACGACAGATTTGGAGTGCCGTGTAGGTGTGCGATGCTTCGATGGGGTGTAAAATGAGTTGGAAGAAAGAAGGTCTAGTTGCTGTGTTTAATCGGGTGGATAGAGCTTCAGCGTCATCGGCAAGCGCCTCCCAGCTTGACAGGATGTTGTCTGCCTCCGAATAGTTGATGAGCGAGAATGTCTCCGGTTCAACATGTTCGTGTTTTCGCAGAGCTATGAGTTTGTCGTACCTAAGTAAGAGTTTTGCAGTTTGTAGCGCTAGCTCGCTGCCAAAAGTACGAGAAGTGAATGATTCGAGGAAGGCTGGAAGGTTGCCCAAATTCATAGCGTGCGTATCCCACGCCAATGACATGACAAAGCTCAGTGGTACTTCAAGGGGCTTTATGTCCCCAACGTTGAAAATCCAAATCTGGTCTGCACCATGGCGATGTGCTTGATCGAGTTGGTGCCAAACCTTGGCAAGAGAATTGCTGTTCAGCCATTTGTAACTTCGCGGTTCTCCAACATACTCGAGGTGATAGTACACCCCGGCACCGCCTCTTCGCATCCTCTCTGCTTCGGTTGGAAGTCTTCGAATCGTGCCGAAATTATCGTCGGCAAAGAGAAGTGTCACGTCTTCCGGGATTTCGAGTCCATTTTCATAATACTCCTGCACTTCCTTATACAGTGCCATCACTTGGGGTACTGCGTCTTCTCCACCGTACACGTCGCTGATGATGTTTCTTTGCGTTGACAGGACCTCCTTCAACACTTCTTGTGGGTTTTCAACTCCCATCTCTCGGTCGCCATCACCTCGCATGCCGATCGTGATCACGCTCTCAAAATTCGAGGCTCGTTGCGCCCCTTCAACAAAATACTTTGTGATCTTCTCTTTGTTCTTTGTCCAATCCCAGCTCTGCTCGGGTTCATTGTACGGCACATCGAACCACTCATTCATCGCGCGCTGCATTGGTTCGTGATGCGATGTAGACACTACGATTCCGTATTTATCAGCAAGCTCTTGATTCAGGGGATCGTCCATGAAGAAGGAATTCCCTGGATGCGGATAACCGAACCACATCGCTGGCCAGAGAAAGTTTGCTTTTAGCCGTAGCAGAAGTTCAAAGACGTGCTTGTAGAACTCAGAATTGTACTTTGGTCCATACTTCTCGTGTACCCACGCTGATAGTGCAGGCGCTTCATCGTTGATGAAGATACCGCGGTACTTGACTGACGGCGGTCCTTGCACAGTTCTGACGTCTAGTGCATAAAGAGATGAGCTTTTCTCCACTGGTACATCTGCCCACCAATGCCAACTAGGGTCCCTTAGCCATGGCTGCACATGTTGAGTCACTCATCCCACTTACGGCGAAACACCAATTTGCTCAGACAACGAATAGATACCGAAAATAGTGCCCCGCTTGTCACTCCCGCAGATCACGAGAGCATTCGTGCATCCATCCCATGGCGTACTTACAAGTGCCGTACACCAAGTCTCCCATTTGCTTTCGACAATGGTGATGTCGATGCTTCCACTCAAAGCTAATTGATGGATGTGTCTGGACCTCTGGACACTGCCAACGATGATAACGCATGATGATGTGCTCTGCTCTGAGGTGATGGTAGGCGCCTCTTCCCCAGTCACTCTCGCAATGTCTTGAGCGAGCGTTGTGGCTGCGATACGGATACCCTCGAAGTCTTCGTGGTCGACAATGATAGGTGCATTGACCAGCGATATCGCGCAGGCAGCAGGCTTGTGTGCCACGAAAGCAGCCTGGTGCATGGTGCGTTAATTCACCGCTAGATATGGGGAGATCGGAAGAGCTCTTAAGAAACTCGGAAACCACACAGAGTCTAGTGTATAAGAGGCGGCGGGGAGATCCGGAGGAAACTTCCGCACCACAAAGTAAGGCCTTTGGTTTTGGTGATGGGAGTAACCATTAGGAGGTCGCAAGACTTTATTTCTTAATAGCTTTCCCGCGTGCTCACGTGCACAGCCCTGAAGGAGTATAAAGCTCCGCTCCAGTATGATACCCTATGCTGGTAACCCGCTGAAAAAATAACTGGGATTACGAAATGGACCATAGCGCACTCGAATCAGTGCCGATTACCAAGAACTTTAAAAAAAATCATATTTTATAGGCGTAAAATTCACGACAACGTAAGGATGCCTGGTAAGAGAAACTTGGAATTTGTCCGTGACATATAAGAGGATAGAATTCAGTTTCGGAATAGATCCTAGAACTAAGAGGACGCCATGTTATCGAGACGAGGTACAAACTATTTCACAGTCGCAGTTATTCCTTCAACCGGGTGGCTGGTTCACGGTAAAACCGGCCGAGACGTCTGGGCGGCGATAGTTTCCCTGCTTCCCCACCCAACTGCCACCCATACCTCATCCCCCCGGATTTCTTCCCCCGCAGTTCTGGCCTAGCGGCGCGGCCCCAAGACGGCAAAAAGTCCGGCTGGGCGTAATCATGTGGCCTTGTTTCTCGATTGATTCATGGAAGTTTAGTCTTGTGGTGGCTGAAAGGATAATGTACAAATGTCCCTTGTACTCCCACCCGTTGCACATCTCAACCCTCCCCTTCTCCACTCTTTTCCTTACCAGCATCGACTGGTGAAGGTCGTTAGCCGACGATCCTTTGTCTCCTCCGACCATCATCACAATGGCTATGTCGCAGGTCTCTACTCAGACGGCGGCGATGCCGCGTCAAAGCTCAGCCGATGACAGCGACCCATTAATGCAGCAACAGCTTGTCGAGGCCGCCGTCGCCAGTTCTGAAGCTGAGACTAAGCTGCCGCGTATGGAGCTCTTTAAGCGCTATCGACCTGCCATCACTTACTCTGCGCTTTTATCCTTGGCCCTTGTCATGGAGGGCATGGATGTCGGTCTCATCAACAATTTTTTCGCACATCCGGCGTACCGTCGAAGGTTTGGCAACGATTACAACGTGAAGGGTGAACTGGTTATCTCGACCCGATGGCAGACGATTATTGGTGCTGGTAACAACATTGGTTCCATTATCGGTCTCTTGATCAACGGTTGGCTCCAATCTCGCTACGGTTCTCGCAGGGTATACTTAGTGAGTCTCTCCTTGACAACACGATCTAGAAAAAACGTTACTTACACGCTTATTTAGGGTGGAATGGCACTCATGGCATGCACTATCTTCATTCTCTTTTTCGCCCAGAATGTCGAGATGCTTCTCGTTGGCAACATCATGTGCGGTATCCCGTGGGGTATCTTCCAGACCCTTACCACCGCCTATGCCGCCGAGATTAGCCCCACCGCCATGCGTGGCTACCTGACCGCATGGGTGTCAATGTGCTGGGGTGCTGGCTCATTTTTAGCCGCTGGAGTGCTCAAGGGCACTATCAACATCAAGGGCAACGCTGGCTGGCAGATCCCTTACGGTCTCCAGTGGATGTGGATCCCCCCTCTGTTTCTTGTTGCCTGGTTCGCGCCCGAGTCGCCCTGGTATCTTATCCGTCGCGGCAAGATTGATGAGGCTGAGAAGAGCCTGCGCCGCTTAGCTCGCCCAGGGCACTACACTGAGCAGTCAATGCGCGAGACCTTAGCCCTCATGAAGCATACTAATGAGATGGAAAAGGTAGATGCCCAGAATGCTAGCTATGCTGACTGCTTTCGTGGGGAAAACAGGCGACGCACGGCAATTGTCAGCATGGCCTGGATTATTCAGATCTTCAACGGCCAGTCCATAACCAACTTTGCCGCAACAATGCTCCGTGCCATTGGTATGAGCGCCACCAATGCCTTTAGCTATACCATGGGTATTCAGTCAGTTAATATTTTTGCCACCGGGATCGCCATTGCCCTTATGGGTTCAGTCGGCCGCCGTACCTTCTACCTCTACGGCTCAGCCTCCATAGGCTTCTTCATGCTTATCGTAGGCATTCTGGGCTTTGCTATCAAATCAGCCTCGGACGTTGCCATTCCCGTTGCTGTTTTTCTCATTTTTGTCCAAATCGCTTTCAAGATTTCTCTCGGCCCGACTACCTACGTTATCGCCGGCGAGATACCCTCGTCTCGCGTTCGTGCCCAGACTATCGTCATTGGGCGCTCTCTCTACGTTTGTGGCCAGGTTGTCGTACAGCAGCTCAACCCCCGCATGCTCAACGATGACCCTACCGCATGGAACTGGGGTGCAAAAACTGGCATGTTCTATTTCGGCTTTTGTCTGATCTGGGTAATCTGGATCTTTTTCTTCCTGCCGGAAACCAAGGATCGAAGCTTTGCTGAGATCGATTACCTCTTCACAAAGAAGACGCCCGCCCGCAAGTTCCGCAGTACCACCGTCGACCGTGAGTCTTAGTAGCCCTTTCCCTACCAATCTTTACTCTGACTAACTCATCTTCCCAGTATTTGAAATGACTCCAGAGTACAAATCTGAAGAGAAGTCCAGCGAATTCGACGGACAGGTCCAGCATATCGATGTTGTTAGCGATGCGAAGCGTGCTGCTTAACAGATCGAGATTTTTGTCACTAGGAAGGATCTAAAGATTTATAGACTCATTTTATAATATGAACGAAGAGAAACCCCTGTGTTTACATTCTTTGCTAATTGCGAAAAGGCGCAATTACTCAACTAAGCCCTCTTATTGACGCGCATGTTATCACATTAGGTCTGAGCGTAGTTCTAGTGAGCCACTTAGAAGCTCGCTAAGTGCCAATCATATGTGTAGGAGACGTTGTGAGAAGGGAATTTTAATGTGGTCTTGACAAAAGTAGGCGACTCGCCCGTGAGATACATGGACCATTTTTGTTGCAACCAACAATAAAATGCCGAAAGTCCGAGCGAGTTTCCTGTAGGCATCAAAATTTTGCTCAATCTCTATACATACATATTATATCTAGTGTAAGCTACCCCTAAGCGCCAGGCAGAAGGGCTGTCCATAAATATAACACCATCTCATGTATTTGTGAGGTTGTGACGCAGTGCCTGTGCGCGTACTGGATCCCAACTACAATGACTCTGAAGTTTTGAACAAGCACCTCTAATAGTCTATATCTACTATTTTCGGGTCATAGCAAGTTAGGATAAAAGAAATTTCTATGTGTGCGGTGATGGAATAAGGTATACTGACTAGGGTAAGCCCGCATTACGCTATCCCAGCTGTACATATGGTTATTGGATGGTACGGTGGCTGCGTCCAATATTACGTAGTTGACCTCAGATGCTCAATCGCAGGCCCCTATTTCGGCCTTCCTAGAATATTATTTATTATGCCAGTAATTCTTCTGGTCTCGCCTTCCTTACGTCCAATATTACCTCCTTCAACTGATCGAACATAACTATCGTTCTGAGAGCAGGCAATGGCAGACCCTCTGAGCATCGCGGGGTCTGTAGTTGGCATTACTATAGCCGGTGTACAAATCTCCGTGAAGCTGTATGCTTCGCGGAAAAAGTTGCGACAGCTGGTCAAATGATCACAAGCATCGTGGACGACATCAGCAGCACAAGCGCCGTCCTCAACCAAGCGCGCGAATTGATTATACTTTAGCCTGATGTGTAAGGCGTTCTCAAGCCGGTTTTCAGCTCTGTCGCTTTGAAGGACATATCGGATGCTCTTCAGCGTTGCAGGTTAGTCTTTACGGAGATTGGCATCCTGCTGCGTCGTGCATTTGAATAAGTGGGGAAGTGCCCTGCGTTGCGCTCAAAAATTGAGCTATCCATGTTCGAAAAGGCGAAATGGCCGTTCTTGCAACCCCAATTCAATGATCTTCGCAGCAATCTCCGAGATGCAAAAGGCAATCTAGTTCTTATGATAGCTGTGGCTACCTTTGCCCTTGCGCAGAGGGACGGTCGTCAGCGACCGATCCACGAAACAGAGACACTGGAACTTGGGTCCACTATTGTGCAGCTGGAACAAGCGCTTAGGAGTAAACCACATGAACTGATTGTAGATAAAGTCTCTGAGCAGCCTCCAGACATGACTATTTCGTCTGGTGACAATCTGCTGGCATCTCAGAGTACGATTCTGACGGTAGCGTCCTCGCCCAGCTCACAACAGAACGCCGACCCAGCCTTGGTTTCCAGCATCAGAAAACGTAGAGTCTCTTCAATCAGTAACGGTATTGTTCTAGCGCGTCTGCATTTGAAACTTCCTGATAACACGCAATCGCAAGAGCAAGGAATCCTTGATAGATCGAGCCCAGCTGCCGAAGTAGAGGCAAATATCCTGCCCAAGTCATCCCCAGAGGCGAGATCTATCAAATTTCCTAGATTAAATTTGCCCCATGACCAGCATCCTTCCGAACGGCCTTTTCTTCAGAAGTCTATAGCTTCAACGACAGTTTCCAGGTCAGATGGAACCACCTAACCTCCTAAGAATCGACCACAAGAGAAAACAGCGCCAAAGGATCTCACTCTCACGTCTTCAGCCTCAAGTGCCAGTGATGAAACAAGCTGCTATCAGGGATGGTCTACTGACTGTCTTCAAGGGCTTACGACAAGACCCGGAGACTCTATCACTTTGAATAAGATGAAGCTACCAGAACAGTCTCTCCAGAAACTGGTCAAAACGTACTTTGACGAAGGCCACGATCTACACATCGGGATGCTTGAGCTCACTAAAGAGTAGCAGGAAATAATCAAACAGAATTGCTTGAATTACTCTCATGCTGAGCTTGTGTATGTCTATGCGCAATGCAACATCACCACCTCCAGCATATTTGGCATACTAAACATTGAGATGCTGAAGTGGATCGTCCAGATCAAGAGATCCCCTCAACCCGCTGGTCCGATTGTCCAAGACAAAATGGTTTACGTTCCACGCCCTCCAACTTCTATCTGTCACACAGGCGCCATGAAGACCCTATTTATGAAACTTATAGATAGACTACAATCGAGTCCCAAAGCTCACTTTCGATCATCCTCATCCAATCAAACTCAAAAATTCCAGAAATCCCTGGCGAGCGTCTTCACTAACCGTTTCTTTTTGGAATTAACCCCGTTTCTTTGGAATTTTATATATCACCATCTAAAGCTCTTCAGATTTCTCCTCAGTCTTATGAACCACCAACTGACTATCGCATCTTTCCGATCCAACCACCTCCTGAGGAGAACGGTGAAGACATTGTGAAGGAGCTTCTAGCCCGATGGACAATCTCATGATTTTCCTTTATGTTCTCATACTCTCATGTAATCTCCGTGCTTCCTTATGGTTTTCTCCTTTTGACAAGAGTTTTGCCCTTTATATACTGAGCGATTGTATCATGGGATGCTAAACACTGTTTTCATGCTATGTCTATCTCATATAAAACCTGTTGGCCGTGCTCAGATCTAACAAGTCGACCGGCTCTCCTGAGATTTTGTCGATCTTCAGTTTCGGATTTCCTGAGCAGAAATGGCTAGTCGTTGATTTTCCAAACAGTTCAAAAGCATCGTGCAAGTAATTTGTCATATAAAGTGAACGACTTAAAAGGTAAAGTTAACCTGTTTTTTGTCGCTGTAAAATTAAGGAGTGCCACGTTATAGATCTCTTTGATATGACAGGAGAGAAGGGAGTAAGGAAATGAGCCTAGCCGAATTTTAATCTGCATCCCACGCGACATACTAAGGTGAGAAGTGTCTCATTGTTATCAAAATAACTAAACAAGTACTCAAATCTCCTCAAATTCAAAGTGGAAGTAAATAGTGAGTCCAAGAACAAGAACTACAACCACTCAGTGTCGCGCCGAATGAGAAGTACTGAAGTTGCTAGAATTATCAAAATTCCTTTCGCATTCTTAAATGATGAATAAATGAAGGCTAACTGAAGGCTCAAAGATTCACGTCCAACACCGAGACAGATCCGCTGCCACCTTGCCGAAGAGGTCCCTCTGCTCTTTTAATACCCTCGGATCATCCAATTAGTCGACAGTCAGACATTTAAGTACGACCTGATATATCGGCGTATTTCATAAGGATCCATAGTTTTGAGGGGCGGCATAATCAATAGGTCATCCAATCCGATCACTAATAACATCATACCCGGCGAATATAAATCAAAAGCATATCTATATCTCACCTGGGGATTCTTGCGACGCCCTTGTCTATCTTAGTTTGAAACTCATCTTTTCTGAACTCATAGATGAATACTTTCTATGAGGATACATTTGAATTCCTTAAAGAGGTCGTCGGGCTTTCAGAAGTGGCTCTAGATTAGCTCGTTCGTTACCTTGTAGGTTCTAATCTTCCAAGTCTGCGTCGAGTTTCTCCCCAGTGCTCTACTCCTCCTCTAGGTCTGAAATGACCGTTTCGCCCTGTTTTAGATCATCATTCTGCGGCTCTAAATCGGCTTGTTCATCGCTCTTCGATTCCTCGGCCGGTAACTTTAGGGCGAATCTTTTGTTGCCATGTAGTTCTTTGTCCATCTGCTCTGGGTTTTTCGCTTTAGGAAAGTCATACCCAACCAGATATGGATCTTGCACGTCAAACTCTTCTGATCGTTGAGGATTTAGGCTTCTACCATTTTATAGGAAAAAGGCCACTAAATCTGGGCGGATGTTCTTATGTAGCCAACCACTTGCATATGATAGCACAGCACTTGCCACAAAACCTTTCGCGAGCCTAAGTATTGCGCCCAGCGGCTGACCGCTGAACAGTTATCGTGAGAATTCCCGTAGCGCTCTAGCAGAAAGATCATCTATAGGTGACAAAGAATTTGCCTTTCCTAAGTTTCTAGTAAGTTTATGAACATACTCGATCATATTATATTAATCGTTAAAACCCTTTCGGCAAATCAAGTGAGATCGATGCATTCTAGACCAAGCAAAATTTTTTTCAGTTGGATATCGCAGAGAAACCGGCCTAGTTTGAGAAAGTCTTTCTTAGCAGGGTAATGATTCTGGTATTTCTCTCTTAGACAGGGTCTCTCTTTCTTTCCACGTAGTTGACTTGCTTCCCTTTCTTCCAAGCAGTCGATTTCGGTTGCCAGTTGTCAAACTCGAAACCTTTCGTCTGCATTTTAATTAGCTCTTTCTGTTGCTTCGCAGCTAGATTGTCTCTCTCACTAGTTGCGACGACCGTAGCTAGTCCTGAGTCTTGCATGTGGTGGCAGACAGCACCGAATGTCTGGCTCACTGGCCGCGTTCCACAGCTGTCCTGTGCCATGATGCGATGGTACTGGGCAGCTCAACCAGATCCTCGTTTAGGAAACCCTTTCTTCTGCTTCGTTATAATCGTCCGTGTGGACTGTAGGCTTCTCCCCATGAACGAGTTGAGCCATATTTCTGGACCATGCTCTGAAAAAGGCACTCCAAGCAACTTGGCGCAACAGGGCCCTCTCAGTGGCTCGCAAGAGGCGCGCAAGAGAATCCGGCCCTTGCAGGATGCCCACGTTCGTCAGGTGGACATCAGCATCTCTTCCACCTTTTACCCAATTGTCAACGTCCTCTCGGCTAGAGAGCTGATCGAGCCGCACGATACGCTGCCGCGCTGTGTATGATAGCCCAAAGTTGGTGTCTGCTGATGGTTGCGAAGACTGAGACTCCGCACACCGTAGGTCCATGTAGAGTACGATGTAGCAAACCGCGACTCCCACACTGAACATGTCGTAGCTCGCAAGATGCCGCGATGTCTGGACCGATCTGTAAATGCATGCAGCGTGCCACAGACACTTTCCAGACCTCGCCTCATTGCGCTCTAGAAAGTCCTTGAATTTCATCTTAAAACCCGTCATCTTGGTTGTATCAGTTCGCCAACCGGTGCCCGCAAATAAGGTTCGCAAGGAGATGGAGCGGAGGATAGCCAGAACGTGGGGGAGAGATCCATGGCAGCGCCTTGGCTCCCAAGTCGAAAACGCGACATGGTCGATGGATTCATCCAGCAGTATATTCTCAATACTGGCATCCTCATTTTCGATGGAGGGCTGTCCGATAGTCGCCTTGGGGATTTTGAGGTCCATGGCTCTGAGGTGGGAGCCGAACGAGTTCATTACAAGTCTCGATGCAAGGCGTTGCCTTCTGATATTCTTCTCATCAATATACAGTGCCAATAAGCTCATCATGGACAAGAAGGGATCACATTTTGCCTCAGGCGATGGGACTTCATATGGTATCCTTGGACATAATCGGGCAGCTACAAAAATTAGTCATAGCATCAGCTGTCCGAGTCCTGACACACCTTGAAAGTGTATTTGCTTCGTCTTCCAGTCTTTGATATCTTTGGAGTACCATATGTGACTAGGACAGGGCATTTGCAGCGAGATATCAAAAAGACTGAAGTCTGTAGAGATGTCAGTGAAGAGAAAGTGGATGCATTCGAGCACTGTGAGACATTAGTATTGCCATAGGCGTGCAAAGTGAAGAAGCAAGACTGACTATAGGTGCAGTAGATGAGGCGTGTTTCTTCTTCCGATACAAGCCAGCCTGCCCACTCCTCACTAAGAGTAAGGGCGGTCCCCTGGGCTGTTCTCTGGGTGTCTCTTCGAAACAACATCTGATAGCACATGGAAATTAGCATGTGTCTTTGATGGTGGAATAGGATCATCTCTTTGTGTAAACCGCAGGATGAGAGGTGAATGTGGCGTAAGAAAGTGCTCTGGATGAGGGACTTGCTTGGTCGTTCGATATGCATCATGACCTGCAGAGGCTAGTCAGCACGCGTTTGTAAGAAATATAGGAGCTAGATAGCGAGTTACTTCATTGTCAACTGCTCTGCCTAGTAAGTCGCACAAGATCAGTGTGTAGTCTTTGATATCATCAAGTTCAGAGTAGTAGCTTCCTATAGCTGCCGTCGCTAGGAGCAAGATCCAAGGTAACCCCTCGGCTTCTATGCGTGACAAATGCAAGAAGGGGAATTGAGGGTCAAAATACTCGAAGTAGAGATTGACAAAGGCTTGGACAAGGCGTATGGGAACAAAACATGATGCACTATCCTGGCATTGCGTCGCATAGAAGTTTCGTAAGTCTTCATATGCGCGACGGGGGACATTTTGGACGTGGCCAAACGTCTCCGCCTCGGCGGTCTGCATATGATTGGCTTGCGTTTGTGGGAATCGCCGACATGGAGGCTTGCCGTGCAAACCAGAGCTGTCCACAACTGGATATGTCGAATCCGAATCAGAAGAATGTTCTGGCACAATCTGGTTCGAAGACTCGGCTGAGAGGGCCGACATTCCTCGACTCTGCATGCGATAGTCTGGGGGGTGGCTATGTGTCCCAAGGCCGCACTGCTGGTTGTGGTTTCCAATGGCATATGGAGGAGTGTCAAGGACATCTCCCAGTCCCCCAGGTACCAGCCAGAATGGAATGTAAGCTGTCATAGGGTCCCACCCGGCGGCGAATTCGTTCATTACTGTGTCTCCATGGAGGGACGAAGAGGGGTTCCATTGATTGGATGTATAGAAAGTAGTATCGTCATCCAGCGACGAAGGAGTAAATGTAGCGGGCACAGTAATTGGGTGCGTAGCCACTGTAGAAGAAAATGAAAAGCGAATCTGGCTGTTACTGGCAGAGCTGCTTGACGGGTTGCTGTTATCGTGATACAAAGCAACTTGCTCAGTGGCCTCCAGTGGTTGCCTATCCGTCACATGAAGCATGTTTGATTGACTATTGACATCGTTGGGGTGTTGATCAGTTAGAACCGAGCTGCTCATCACAGCATCAATATGCATCGCGGTTGTTTCGCTCGCTCGAGAGGAGAAAGATGTGACATTGGTGGCCTTTCCCGGGCTGTACAGGCACTTGTTTCCGGCCCGCTGGCAGCGCGCACATGGCAAGCCACCCCGACAGCGCTGCTTGAGTCGGGCACATGAAAGACAGGCCTGGACGCAGCGGCGCTGCATGCCGTGCGTCTGATCTCCGTGGTGGTGAATGCTACTGTGGCGCATGAGGGTATCCCTACGACGATGCTTCTGATTAGCGACATTCTGTGTCTATCCAGCCCTGCAATACTACATATGACGCACCTCCGAGCGAAGGACTTGGAGCAAACCTCGCACTGAAATAGCTTGACACCAGAATGCCTTCGCAGGTGCCGGTCCCAGTGCTCTCTCCGCAGGAACGTATCTCCGCAATGCTCGCATGTGAGGCTCGCCGGATCAGACGCCATTTTCAGCCGGTTCGACTTTGGGTGGTGAGAGAATGCGATGATTAGAATTGCACCGGCACCGACCCCGCACAAGCCGTCGCTGGAGCAGGTGCCAGGATTTCCAAGCTGTCAGGTCTTGGACCTACAGTCCTGGGCAGTTTTCGCTCCCAGTAACGGGCAGCTGGTGAATGGGAGAGGTAACGGTCGAGTTCGGGGGAGCAGCACTAGTCTGGACCCACCCCCACCGGCCCCGTCGACTCAAAGGGCTGATCTGGGCCATACTCCACCACTTGAGAGCTAGCAGCCCGCCGAGGCCATAACTCATAGCAATCTACGGGTCGGGTCTTCTCCGCCGGGCGTCTCAGGGAAGATATTCATGTACGAAGACTATCAAAGTATTTGAAACCAACGCCGCTATCATGGCCCGATCGCAGATGCACATTGCCCACGGGCTCTTGATATAGTCCCCAGGGTAATCGTGTCGGTCTTGTGGCCATCATCTTGCTCCCAATGGCCACAATGGGGCAATTAGAGAACTCTCCTGGCCGTACGACGCTTGAGTGGTTCGGTGAGGACAACCCTTATCTTTTAAGGCTCATCCATAGTAATGAGATCCAGGCGCCACTACGTTTCGGCTTCGTGCCAGAGGCGTCACCATCTTCTTGGACACTTGGCTGGACAAGCCATCCGTCCTACCCAATCATCTTGCAGTAGATGACGTGGCCGAGGCAGACTACATCTTTATCTCCCATGCTCACTTTGACCAGTAAGTCAATGACCCCTTGATCTGTATGACACAGCATGCTGACTGCCTGGGAAGTCTGCCTGGAGCCGATCGTATCGCCATCAGAACTGGCGCTATTATAATCGGCAACGGTGAGGCTATCCACTGTCTTCGAAAAGCGGGTGTTCCAGAGGAGCAACTCATTCCAGTGTCTGGCGGCGAGCGGATACCGCTTTTCACGCGCGTAGTTCGCCAGCACGCACAACAAGATCCATACCTACACGCCAAAGGGCCTCCTGGCGCCCCTATCTTCCCAGTGCATACGCTGGCTGCCCTTTCGGTGCATGTATGGCCCTCGCTACATTGTCTGATGCCTGAGGACCACCCCCAGGTCATTGATACAGCAACGGTATACACTGGTTCAGCAACCCCATACACATGTTCCCTAGACATCACGTTTGGGATGAAGCATGGCCTCTTGCGTCTCGGTGATCTTGTCCCACCCGAGAAGCTTAGCGACGGCCAGCGCTCGTTCATAGAGTATATCAGTGACCGGAAACGTAATGTATTCTCCCACTGTGACGGTGGTCAGTTGATGTTCAACTTCGCTATCGGAGATAAGGCCCTTCTCTGGAATGCCCACCTTGGCGCCTACGATGGTGTCATGAGGGACATGCAGCCCAAGCCAGATGTCGCCATCTTGGCCATTGCTGGACGAGCTAACTTGAACGGACGACCGTTTGACGGCTCGTCGGCTCAGTTTGCTGTCAAGGAGGTTGAGTGGCTCGGAAATCCGCGGACGGTAATCTGGGCTCTTCATGATGATAGGTATGTGATTGCCACATGAAACATAGCACCATTAAGGAAACGATGTACTGATATACATCGATCAGCTGCATCCCCCCTTACCGAATTGAAACAGCAGCAGCTACTGCCGCAGTAGAGGAATGCACTGAATCGAAGGTTCTGGATCTGAAACACGCTGAGACGGTCGTGTTGGATTTGTAGGGTTCGGTGACGATACAAGACTCCACCTGGAATTGTAGATACCGGAGGTGAACACATGCATCCTGTATCTTTCTAGAACTAGCCGAAAACCGATATCTATGATAAAACGATCAAAGCACCCATTCGCATATTCTGTACTACATGCCCAATCTCCATTTCTTTCTCGACTGTCTGTACTGAGTACTTTCATCCGATATTGCTCCTCTGGAGCATGAACCAACGGTGATGTATCGCTGACTCGTCCTCTTCCCGCACGCATCTGAAAGAGATCAAAATACAGACGACTATACCGGTGCTATGTGTCCCACACGGCCCCGTCGGCAAGGCCTGTCTGCCCATCAACATGCAGACGTTCCTAGGCATCTGCCTAAAGAAGGCAAACTTTGCGAAGTTCGTAAATACACAAACACGCCGCACCTTACATGAAAGACTGCTTCAACTCAAAACCTCTTTGGTCTTACTTATATTCGGTAATACTGTCTGTAATTATGTCCTCAACCAAGGACGAGAGTGAATCCAACCCGAAAGTAAACGAGATTCAAAAGGAAACGCCGACGACGAATACCGACGAGACGAACAGTGAAGCCGATTTCTTCCCTGAAGGTGGGCGAGAAGCTTGGCTTGTAGTTCTGGGTGCATGGTGTGCGCTGTTCTGTACCTTTGACCTTGTGAGTTGCGGTGGAACATTTGTCGAATACTATAAAAATGGGCCTCTGGCATCGTACAGCACGGGCACTGTCAGTTGGATCACCAGTGCGCAAGTATTCATCCAGGTTGGTAGCATGGCTGTGGTACGTTTCTCCTTGCCTTCCATAGCTTTGTTCTCTCAGAGCCGCCTGCTCACGTACAATCACCACTAGTAGGGCCGCTTATATAACTCGTATAGTCCGCGTTAGATAATCCTTTTAAGTATACCTATATACTACTTTAGTCTTATAATTATCTTACTATTAACTAAGTACTACTAGATTTTTCTCTTATAGTTAGTTCTTAGCTTACTTAGGTTAGGTACTCTCTTTAACGCTAGTGTAACGATGTTACAGCCTCGCTAAGTATCGGACCAATCCCAGAGCCGGATCGGAGGAAGTATCAGCCGCCCCTTCATCAGCTACTCGTTTCTCAGTCGGATCCGATTCGGACCCGACTAGGACAAGTATATA